GCCAACCAACACGCTCCCCGTCACGCATCAGTCGTTGCACGTCCACCGTGTTTGGTTTACGAAGGTGCCTGTCCTTGTAGAGCGCCAGAACACCATCATAGAACTTTCGAAGGGCTTGGCGCATTGTGCTTTCACCAATTCGATATCTATATATTATATTTGATACATTTTGTAAACACAAATATTTAGTACCTGTCGTCCAAGTCGTCGAGCGAACACCCCGTTGCAAGGTATCGGACACACGCAGCAACCTTTTGCAAAGATGAGAAACCATTTCGTCCTAACATATATCAAGTGACTGGATGCAATGTTTTTTTTATATATGAATATGTTCGACCTGTGACGTCAGGCTTCTGTTGAAAATATGGATCATGTTGCGCAAGATCGTGTGCGATTTGAAGGAAAAGGCTCTTTCACATACGAAATCGTCGTCTAAAATGGCTGGCGTCGTACGTTGGCACTGGGTTGAAGTAATCCGCCATCAACAGCTTGTCGTACTGTGCACGATTGCGTTCTATGTTGGGCCTCTTGCCTCGGCGGGAGCCTTGGCGCCATCGCCGTGAATGATCGCTCGCAGCTGACATGTTACGAAGGATCAGGGCGATGACAAAGTCGTCATCGCCACTGCTTTCGCTGTCGCTGAGAAATGCAGGGTACTCCATTTGGTGGCCAGAGTCACCGAACAAGTTGTTGGTGCGAAACAAATGTGACTTCAGTAAAGTGCACTCCAGTAAGGCCAGTAAATGTCTTATCCGAACAAATTATGCGGATAATGAGGTCGATTTTACTGGTGCCGGTGCAGATGCTCTAAGCCTTTTTACGCTTTCTCAACAAATAAAACGATTTATACGAACTTTCAACTAACGTTATGATGATATAGAAGAATGAATGCGCTACACCATGCATGCTATCTTTGTAGGATTTGACGTATGCTTCACCAAGTTATTGCTGGTAAGAGTCAGATTTGTGAGTTTTTAAAAGATCAGTAGATGGCCTACCGGTAGTTTAGCCTTAATGAATACACTGTACATATAAACAGTGAGATTAGTAATTCTATTGTCAATATGAAACGTATTCACTAGAGTTTATATGAAATTAAATAAGTTTCGTTATGAATAGTGTTTCGGGCCATTCTCTGATATTGGGCAAGCTACTGGTGTTTTACGTTAATAGTACTCCAGAGTACTCCAGAGTACTACAGTACGTAGTACAAAGCTTAGTACATTATTTGGCATTTGTCACATCAAGAAAAAAAGATGCGGTATAAATTTCTAGACCCAGCTTATCGAATTTCGCCGCCGAATCAAATCACGAATCGACGCTATTGGCTAATTAAATTTTGAATGGACCTGATTGGCTCTTAAACAAAAGACAAGTATATTCAGCCAATCAGAGTTCCAGCGAGAGTCAATATTGAACAGAAAAAACCATGCAAAATTTGAAGTTTATATTGTGAATTTCCTTCAGATTTCCTGAATACTAGTATGCCCGTTTGCTGAACCTCGCTGCAAACCTCGCCGCGACATTCGATTAGCTACCAAATAATCCTCAGAAAAGACCTTGAAAATAGAAAGAGTATTTTAGCCAATCCACGACAAGTACTTTCATAAAATCCAATGAAATGTCGCGGCAATGTTCAGTGGTACGGAAATTCGTACAGTAAGCTTAGCTTCAGAAATACTACTATCGACTAAAAGAATTCCTCCAATCAAGATGGCGTATTTCGACCTCTCAACGTCGATTGGCTAAACTATTTCCAATGTGCGATCCAAAAGAACGCTTCAACTGTTTGAATCCGCCGTCGGAGTACAAGCCGCCGGAGCACAAGCTGCTGGAACACAAGCCGCCGGAGAGGCAGACTGCACGGCCAAAGCTTGATCATTGATAGATAACTTTCAAGAGCAATAGCATGCCCCCAGAGATCATCCACCGCATCGCATCCTTCCTGTCGGATGGTCAGAGCTTCGTCAACTACGTCGACGCCCTGAATGGAACAGACACCCTTGGCGGCTTGGAACCGTTCACAAAGCTCACTGGCACGATCGCACCAAACGACCTCTGGCCCGAGCTGCATTTAAGAGCTCATCATGGTGCCCTCCTTCTCCAAGTCACCGCGGCCATCGCCCCATATTTCTCCATCGTGCACATGCATGACATGTACGATTTGAGCGCATTTCACGGTTGCCCCAGCTCATCCTCGCTCGGCATTCGCATCGAGCGATGCCCTAGTGCATCGGAAGTCAAGGTACCGCTGTCGGAATGGTACAATCAACTTGCTCGATTGCCAGTGGCAGCATTGGCATGGGAAGAACGAAGCGGTCGGGCGTGTCCTGACCAAGTCGAGTGTCTCTTAGCCACGTTGCCTCGACTTCCAGCTCTGCAATCCCTTGACCTCAATGGTGCCATCGTACCGTCTGTCGACGTCATTTTCGAATTCATTGCATCGTCGCATGCACTGGTTGAGCTAAGCATGCGAAGCCTGTCTTTGCCTGACCTCGTGGACGGCGTCTTTTCACGGCCTACCATCACCGCAATTGGAATGACGCATCTCGTGCATTGGCTCCAACGACAACCAGTCCGACACTTAAGCCTCAGCCAATGGCACATCGATGCGCCCATCGCCTTGGTCCTGGCTTTCCATCGAGCGTTGTGGTCGTCGACATTAACACGCTTGGTCGTTCGAGATTCACGGGTGCCACACCTGGATTTGCATGTCTTTGCCAATCCATTGGCCATGAGCGAACTGGAGCTGTCGGGATGCGGGCTCGAAGGTGCTGACATCGTCGCATTGTCCAAAGGGTTGCGGCATTCCCGCGTGACCAAACTCGTATTAAGCCACAACCACATCAACCGTGGGATCCCAGCACTCGCCGCGGCCCTGCCGACGGCCCACCACCTCCATACTTTGGTGCTATCCTCGTGTGCACTTTTTGACGACGCCATACCGTCCCTAGTACAAAGTTTGGCCAGCTGCACCGTTACCGCGCTGAACTTGAGCTGCAATGCGATCAGTGCCCATGGAGCAAGTTTGATCGTGCACGCCATGATGTCCAAGGCTGACGGTCGCGGTGACACGAGGCGTGGCAAACTGGTGCTCATGTTACATGGAAATTCACGGATCGCAGACGATACACGACAGCACCTCCGGGACGTCACGTCCGCCTGCACCCATTTAAAGTTGTTTGTGTGATCGTTGGAGTACTTAAGTCTCCCGCCATGGTCGCGGGGTGTTGTGAAATGACGATCATATCGTGCCATGACGTGTTACATGTTCAATCTGAGGGTTAGGCCAGCGCTCGTTACCCTCTAACTAGTTACTAGTAACTTATGGTCGACCGACTCACAAATCAACCCAATCCAGTAGTAGTACAGTTCACACAGGCCCGACTATCCTTGGTCTAGCTATGTAACGTTACTATTTTAATAGTAACGACTTCGTACTACATATTAAAATAGTACGAAGTACTCTGGAAAACTAGAAGTACTATTAATACGAAGTAGTACTCAATATAATACAGTAATATAACGTTATTGGCCAAAATCCTCAGAGAGTAAGTATCTCCTAAACATAACGATACTGCGTCTGGCACATGCGGGGTGTCGTAAACATAACGATACTGCGCCTGGCACAAGCGTGGTGTCAACAAGGCAGAAATCTCGCCATTGCGAGTTTAATGCCGCAATTCAAAGCCTGCGAGACGCCAATGCAGTTCGTTGGACAAAAATTTGTGATTGATGTGGATGAGGCGACATACATTCTAGCATGTGCCGCTTGGTTGTCCGAAATTTCAAGGGTACTGTATAAGGGAATTATTTCCTGAAGCGTTTGGATGCAATAAATGAAGCGTTTGGATGCAATAAATCGACTATCATCAGAATTCAAATGCTCTCATGGTACAGTAACTTATCTCAATCATACCACCGCCTTCCTTTCGAGAATTGAGCTGGCTACAAGTAGCCGAAAGTACGGGGTATGCCTAGGAGAGCTTTTGCGTACTGGAGTAATCCATACGAATGTGATTGCTTCGTTACCAAGTGCACTTCGAAGTATGGCACTGCTAGCGTCATTGGTGCATGCGCATGCGTAGTGTGTAAGCATATGAGAGGCCTGCGCTAAGCTAAGCTTAACGTTAAACGTTATTGCATTGACACGATGCATGTGCAGGTTGCCCTCTATACAGTGGATTTCCTTTAGAAAGTCCATCAAGGTTATCCGGATATCTTGACCTATGATCTTTGTTCTGTTCTTCTAAATCGGACGAGTCGCCAATCTGTTCATTCCGAAAAGGGGACGTGCCATGGCAGCAGCTCCATCGTCGTCGTTCGTTGACAGGTACCGCCTCGTTCAGGAGAGCGTCCTGGATATGAGCTTGTCGGACATTGACATCGTCCTCCTCGGCGGCGACAATGACGACCACTTATCGTCGTCGTTGTCGAGAAGCACCACAATGGCCGTGGAGCAGTGCATGATTTGCCTGGATACCACCACGGATATCGTGCGTAGTGCAGAGAAGCGACGTTCGACGATGGAAGTGAACAGGCCCACTGTCGACATGGACCTGTACGAAGAAGACATTGGCCGGTGTGCCGCGTGCCCCGCCGTCTATTGCTTTCCGTGTTTCCGCGAATACATCCGTCACAAGGTTATCAACGGCGAAGTCCGCGCAAACCAACTCGTATGTCCTGGTGCGTGTCGTTTGTCCCTCACAAAGCGAACGTTGCGCCACAACATGTCGGACATCACGTACCAAAAGTACGTCGATTTTCTCGAGATGCAGCAGCAGGTGTTGCAGGGCGCCCGGTATTGCCCTCGCCCCGAGTGCGGCCAAGTGCTGTCCAACACATCCGCCAAGAAGAACAACAACCGCCGCGTCTACTGCACCGCATGTGAGAAGGAATCGTGCTTCAAGTGCGGGTCCGACTTCCATCCGATTCCCATGTGTGGCGACCGCAATTACAGCTCTTGGTGTCGCAACAACCACGTCCAAGCGTGTCCAAATTGCACGTGGGCGATCGAAAAGACTGGTGGATGCAAACACATGTCGTGCACGCGCTGCTCGTTCGAGTTCTGCTGGTACTGCCATCAAGACTGGTCGACCCACAGCAAGGTCAAGTGCTACCCACTTGCCTACATTCGGTCGAAACACAGGTACTTTGGGCGCACGGTGCCCGTTCGACTCGTGACCAAGACCGTTTTTGCGGGCGTTGCGGCCGGGGCGGTCGTCGCGGGCACTGGCGTTGTGTTGGCAGTGCTACCTCCTGTACTGCTATGGCACTGTGGTGTCTACGTCAAGGACAAGATCACAGGCCACTAGGATGTTTGAATCATATGAAACGTAACGGTCGGTTTATCCGGATGTTTTGGCCGTTCGAGAGCAGCAAGGGTCGCCTGTCTGAACATTATTTCTAGTGTTCAGAACGGCCAAATCTGATAGATATGCAAAATGAAACGTTAGTACGTTTTGATTGGATGCATTTGCATATAGGTAAATTGATTGGTTAAAATACAACAAGAATGCGATTTGATTGGCTCTCAAAGATCCGGATACAACACGCCATAGTCAACGAAGTCAGTTGCTTCGCTCTACCGTTCAAGTGCCGCCGCCGCCGCCGTCGACGACGATGCTGCAAACCTTCAGGGCAGTTGCCGCATTCCGATGGAAGGGCCAAATGATCGGGTACTGGTTGATCTACCTCTCACAAGGAGCGTTCCTCGGCGCCCTAGGCCCTGCGCTACAAGAAATGTCGTACCAAGGAAATGCCGTGTCGAGCTACAATCCAGCGTTTGCGTGGCATGCGCTGGGGTCAATTCTGTCGGTTGGTTTCTTGGCAGAAGTGTTGGTCCAAGCCTGTTTGAGTTCCATCCTTGGCCGGACAGGTCTCCACATCATGCTGGGCACGATGTCCATCTTACTCACTGCGTGGTACGTGTGTCTGCCGTGGGTCAACCAATGGGGCGGGTCGGAGTGGGCGTCGTGCTTCTTCTTCGTCAAGGGCGTCATCGTCGCCATCGTGAACGTCACCATCAACAAATGCGCCGCGTGGACCACCGCCGGCAACGAAGCGACCACGCGCCGCGTCGTCAACTCGTTGAACGGGGCGTTCGCCGTCGGTACTGTGCTGGTACGTGTAGGGATTCCTTGCTCGTTTCATGTCCTTACATGCTTTTTCGTGCAGGGTCCAATTCTTGGAATCATCCAGCGCCAAGCCAAGCTCGAGCTCGAGTACCTCTTCATCATGGTCGGGTCGCTCACGCTCTTGGCCGCCTTCTTCATCTACTTGACCGATTGTCCGTATCCGTCGGGCGAAGAATCGGCTTCCCTTCTTGGGTACGATGTATCATCGTCCTTATCCCAAACTCGTCTGTATACATATCCCATTCATTCCTGCATTAGATTTGAAGAAGATTTGCGCAGTGTGCCGCCCGTGCTGCCGAGTCCGATCTCGGGCAGTGTCTTTTTGCATGTCAAGCACGACTTGGGCGCAGCCAACCTCAACCCAGGTCTGTCTCCAACTCGTTTTCAGGGGTGCTATATATTGTCTTTCGTTTACTCCAAATTTGGCTGACTTTTATGCTGATTCGCCAAATATATCGATTGATTCTTTGTACTGATATATTTTGGTTGTGAAAAAGTGTCCTGTGGTGATGGGTATCACACTAATTGAATCACACACTAATTTGACTTTGATGGTGGTTTCCTGCAATCTGATTGGCTAAATAGATTCTTTTGCCGATTCTTGTGTAAATTTATTTGTGTTTCGATTCATTCTCGCTCCGATTTAGAATAAACAAAAGTCAATATATATATATATATATATCTCACAACGTCGTTTTAGACTCGTACGACCCCGAAGCCAACTTTATCGTGCTGCTCGTGATGATCATTGCGACCTTGTTCTACGGCATCCAGATGGGTCTCGCGGCCTTCTTGTTTCAGTACTTGGAGTTTGTCATGGCGCTCGGGTACGGCGCCAACCTGCACTCGATCTGCTGCAGCATTATGTGTGTATTTTGGCTGGCGCTGGCACTGTCGTACTCGCTGTTCACGTCGTGCCTGTTTGAGCACATGAAGAGTCTCGGGTGGCTCTTCTTCCTCAACGTGCTGTGCGTGGTCACGATGGCGGGGGTGATTTTCGGCCAGAACCTCTTTGGCCCCAACTACGTTGTCGCAGCTCTCACATTCCACCTCGTGCTCTTTGCCGTGTTCATCTCACCGCTGTTCACGGCTACCATCCAGGGCCTGACCAATGTTGTCAACCCAGACCTCCTCGCCCGCGTGTCGTCGCTGCTTGTGTTTGGCTGCTTTTGCGGCGAAGCCTTCATCCCGGTGCTCATGGGGTTCTTCATGGGCGACTACTCGGGCTCGGGGTTTGGCGCTGGCACCATTGTGTACATCACGTTTGCACTCACCATCACCATGATGACAACCACGGGGTGGTTCTGGTACTCGGTCGTGACCAAACAGCAAGTCGTCGATGGCGTCGGCGCCGCCGCCCCGTCGCCTGCCAAGCCGCTCAAGTAGCCACGTGTTGACTGGGAAGAAAATTAATATGTTTTACCGATTTTTCACAGCGGTCTGTCTCTACAATTAAACATATTGTCGCAATTTCATTGTCAATTGTTGAAATAATTATTAATATTGTCGATTTAAATTTGCCAACATTCCTTGGTTCGTTCAATTGAGCACAAATAGAGCTGAGACATCTGATTGGCCAGTATCCACCTCGCCCTTTCTGGTAGAAAATCGAAAATGGGTTGTAGCCAATCAGCGACAAGTAATATCGGATTGACCAATGGGAGAGATTGGTGCTCGATTCGGTTGGCGAGATTCGATTGAACAGGGTCCGGAAATTCATACCGAATCTCCAATAGTAACGTGACTATTAATAGTACTACGTAGTATGTGACTATTAATAGTATGTGACACGTGGATACACAAGGTAAAATATTGTTGGCGGTACAGTGAAGTTCGATTTATTAAGTACTGTATTGAAGGGGGTTGATTTCCTCGAACCACGACACAAGAATCATTGGTACTGTATTATGTAGTTGCCAGTGAAATATTTTCTGTATTTAATTGTCTATTACTGTATTGTATTGATGACTATTTTCCCCATAATCCTCTGGTCTCTACAGTTAGTACTTGCCCTAGATTGAACGTATATATACACTCAATCTATGGAGATTTTGCTTTTAGAAGTGGATTCGGATTGAACAGTACTTTGTTTCGAAAGTGCAGGGTTATAAATAGTGTACATACCGTAGATAGTACTACTAATACTAGTACTTTACGTAGTAGTGAATCGTGATCGGGTTTTCGTGTCGCTCGCTGTAGTGTGCTAACAGTTACATGGGCACTGACGCCACTTGCTTGTCGTAGTCCTGTACCCTTCGCCCGCCCGGTTCCTACAAGCAGGCTACTGTAGCTCGCCATCATCGCCAACTCTTTGCAAACTACTTGTGCAATACGTATGCCCTTTCACGTTGCTTGTGGTGAGCTCAATTTTAAAAGTTCATAATTGTGCACAACTGTGTCTTTCATGTTAGCCAAACATAACGTCCACTTGGTCCGATAGCTGAGATACAGCGGACGACGGAGACGACACTGCTGCTTCTGCGGTCGCCAACCGACTAACAGAAAACGAACGGATTTAGTTGTCCAAACCAGTGTAAGGTTTGTATTATTACGAGTGTATGTGGGAATAGAAGGTTGTACCTGTTGAACTCGGCAGCATCCACGGACAACATGGTCGCATCAAGCACCAAAATGAATTCGATGGCGCTGCGCAAGTTGACAAAACAGTAGCCGGCTCTACGCACCAAAAATATGTATAAAGAAAAAATATATATATATTATTCTAGGCACGCCTTACTTGGACATGAGATCGGCGGGGTTTCTGTACGCGGCAATGTATTCGGCATTCGACACCAAATTCGGCACTTGCGAGTGCAGCACCAAGTAGATGAACACGGGTAAAAAGTCGTCGGCTCCTGCTCCGTCCCCAGTTTTCAACACACAAATCAAAACATTAAAAAAAAATCACATTGTCACACATTTCAAACGACGAAAAAGCGATCATCGCGATGATGCTTATGTACCTGGTCGGCTCAACGCGTCGCCGCCCCGCGCGAGATTGAGGACGCTGAAGATAATGCTGCAGCAGCGCACGATGCAGTTAATCTTGTCACCGGGGGATCGGCAGTCGTTGATCCGGCGCAGCTCGTCCTGCGCGATGCTCCACACGACTTCGTTGCGCATGCTCGGCTTAATGTCCAGCATGTCGGGCGTCACGACCTGGGCCAGCACGTGCATCCGCCGCGAGAGCGCTGCGTCCTCGGCCTTCCACACGGCGCTCGAGGGCAGTCGGTGCAGCGGCACGTCGGCCAGCTTGTCCATGACGTACTTTTCAATGCCGTCGCGGGCGTGGCGCAAGGTGCGCTCGGGCGCGTGCCGCCACGCCGGATGTGACGCCAGCGTGTCATCGATCGATCGAAAGAAGTCTTCGCATCGCGGCTGGAACGACTCGTGGCCGTAAAAGATGTAGTCGACAAAATGCGCCGACGTGGGGGGGCTACAGAAAGAACACACAAGTGAGCTACAGGGGAGGATAATGATAAAGGCGCGTATACCAGCCGTCTCCACGGGGACCGAGCACCGACCCGACGAACCGGCGGATACACTCGACAATGTCCTTGGAGCCAGGTAGGCTGAGCCGTTCCAAGAACGCCGAGTACGACAGTTCTTCCACTTCGTCACTGTTTTGCATGTCCTATTCGCAAAGGAATGATCCATCCATCTCGAACGACCATGTATACAACGTACTGCTCGTTGTTTGAGGTTGGCTTGGAACTGGCTGCTATTGTTGCTGTTGTTGCTGGTGTCCGTAATGTCGTCCAAGCCGGCAAAGAGCGGATCGGAGAGCCGCCGCGTGGGCGTACCGCCCCCTGCTTCGTGCTGCTGCTCGGACGACGACGACGACTCGTGGCTTAGCAGCCCAAAGTCACTGACGCTCAAACGTCTGCTGCTGTGTCGTCGGACGGCGGGGCGGAGGAAGCCAGACGTGTTTGCGTATGCTGGCACTACCGGAGCCGGTGGAGCTGGGCCAGTACTCGTGTCGGCATACAGGAGTTGATCCAGGGCCGAGTTGAGGGCGGCCAATTCGGTTGTCGCGCTGTTGGCAGTCGCACTGGTGGCGTTGGATGTGGCCGTTGTGGTGTCGTGGAACGTGTCCAGCACGGTGCCGACGCTGGTAGCATCGAACCCCATTGTGTCCAAGTGGCCCAGCAGCATTTCCTTCGCTGTTCGCTTGAGACAAGGAGGCGGGGTCGTGGACTGCATGGAAGACTCCCGAAGGGCAGAGTACTGCAGCAGTTGAGCCTCAGACGACGACATGTTGGTCGTGGCATAGATCGCTGCAATCGCCTCGTCCTGCTGCTCCACCGCCACCAAGAGCAGGTCGTAGCGCTCGCGCAATTGGAACAGTTCCATGTCGCGCGCCTTCAATGCCCCCTGCAGGTCTTGCACTTGGCTACGAAGGAAATACAGCTCTTCCGGCGTGGCGGCTTTGCCCTCAACCACATGGTTAACGTTCTTGCGAACAACATCCGCGTCGTCGTCTTCCTGGTTGTCGTCCGACGAGTCTGTGGACACCCGGTCCAACTCGATCTCCTCGCTCTTGATAATTGCAACCTCCTTCCCACCATGTACCGATGCTGCTGCTGTCTCCTTTTGTCGCCGTCGCCGCATCAACGACACTTCATTCATCTCAGGTTGCATGTCTGCCATGATGATGGAATAATTGTTAGATCCACTTGGAGTAACAACTCGTCTTATTGGACATTTTTGTAACGGGTAACTGTCGCTTGCTGAGTTCTCGAACAATGGGAATAAAAATAGTATACCAATTCCAAGTTGTCCACCACGACAATTAAAATATTATGCGATATTCGAACGACAGTCCAACCTCCACATGACCAAAGCAACTGGGGCGACGGACGTCCTTGCATGCAGAACCAAGGCATGTGTTCCCTTCATGCTTTCCATGAGCATAATACGATGCCGCCTACCCTTGGCTTCCAGCCAGGGTACAGTAGCGGGAGTCGAGAAGTGGCTTCAATGACAGGCGCTTGCCGACGTACACAGCAAGAATCCTGGTGTACATGTCTCTCGAAGAACGGCACGTACACGTGAGTGCTGAGGTGATTTGATGGGATTTGGTTTTGATTCATATGCATAATGTCGTTGGAGCGCAGGACTTTGGCTCACTAGTGTACTACCGGTAGTGTGCTGTCAAGATGCCATGCAAGTGTCGCCACTGCGACCAACAAAGACCTCAGTCTTGGCATGCTTGATACACAATGGAAACAATCACAAATTGATTAAGGCCGTGTGGCGGGAGGTTCGTCGCCGACAGTGTACGTGTTGGGCAAAAACACCGCCGCCCCTGCTGCGCCACCTTTCCAACCGAGCATGGGCGAGTCGCACACCATGCCTTCCGACTTGCGACCGCCGACAGTCGCTTTCTTCACTTCGATATCGTCGCCATCGATAGACACGATGGAACCAGCGGTAGCCACAACGATGTACCTCGTCTCGCCGTCGTCCACGCGGGCGTTTGTTACGATGGTTAGCCCTTCCGCGCCATCGGCGTCCACTTGAACCTTTACCGCCCGCAGCTTAGTCTTGGGAATGGCTTCCACAGACACGACTCGTGCGATCTTGTACCCTGCGAACCGACTCACACTGGATGCTGCCGGTCGTGGCTCCTCACATGCCACGCACTCGACTTCATCGGCGGCGTTATCTTGCTCGCATTCCACGCAGATCCATTCCTTGGCCATGCTTGAGCAAAAATACGATTGTAAAATTTCCATAACAAATTCATGTTATAACAAATTAAATAACGAAACTGTTATAATCCATACTTGTTGGGAATAATGGTTGTTATAATGCAAGAACAATACGGTTATAATCCATATTTGTTGGGATTAATGGTTACTATAATGCATTATTCGACCTCTCTTAAATGCGTAATTCTTGTTTATGTACGAGTTGACTCAGCTTTGTTGTTTCAGTGGTGCAAGATGGACATGGACTTGAATGTGGTGAAGGGTCACGTGCAATCGTGTGCGAGCGCCGTGGACGCATTGCTTGCCGAGGTCAATGTGCTGCGGAAGATTATTTACAAGAACACGAGCCAGCACCGTCGTGCCAACTACTTCCAATACCTTGTGCATGTACGAACAACGCGATGACCTCCATGAATCGACGAACTCTTGGCGCATGTAGGTAAAACGGCTACACCGTGGCATGAAAGCGGACAAGACCAAGCACATGATCAAGGCAACCCTTCATCTCTTGGATGTGTTGCAAGTCAAAGACACAAATATGCATCATGTGTCGTGGAAAGTGTTGGGCGGAGACTGCAAGACGAACGTGGATACTGTGTTGCGCCAACTGCTGGCGCTCATCGATACGTGTGTGGAAGCTATGGAAGCTGAGAAAAAGGCGTACACCGCACTGGGCATGCAGTACGCCATGACGTTCTTCATGCCGTTCTGCGTCGTGGCCACAAGTCTCGTCGGACGACTGTACACGCTCCATCAAACGCTTCTCGTTCGCTTTGTCGAAGCGCACCATGCCATCACACTGGCGTACCTGGCTCAAACGATATTGGCCAACCCTCTGTACGCCAGTACAGTCACCGCACAACTCGCCAGCTACCGACTGCCCCCACAAGTGGTCGCTGCCCTCGACATGACCTCGTCGCTGGAAGCCACGACCGCTCCACTCAACCAAGAGAACTCAGCAACTTCGTTTTAACTTATCAACACTATTCACGCTACTTTGTATTGAACTACTGTTCACTTCAAATACTCGAACCGCGTGGCTGTGTATTGTACCCATACAACCAAGGCTATTTACTGCATCTCATACTATTGATAGTCTACCGGCTCTTTTGATTTGTACTCGATACTATCCGATACTACTGTAGTACGGCATAAGGGCTATCGGGGTTTGCGATCACGTCGCAGTGAATACTCGTATCTTTGAAAGGACTATGTACAGTGCACTACTAGTACTGTACATACAAGTGCAATGTACAACAGGGACAGGACGATTCTGGATCTGGCATGATGAAAACAGTGTCCAGTAGGAATGAGGGACGTAGACGCTACAAGCCCGCGTGGGAGAACTCATGGATGAGTGCCTTCGTTGTAGTGTCGTGTATGTAGTACATGTGACGGCTTGAACATTTCAATTCGAAGACGATGGAAATATCTGACAGGTAGCACTGGTGGATGTCAGCCGATTTTCTCTCAGTGTATGCGGCATGGACAAGAGACGTTTGAGACACGATATCAAGGCCGGATAACGTCAAGAAGGTAATAGAAACAAGATCGCGCAAGTGCCGCTGCCACTGAACTATTGTCGAAAGAGCAAGAGCACACTGTCGACTTTGTGGGAGCTTTGCTGTAAAGCAACCATTCGCTAGACATACAGTAGTAGCGTTGCCTCTTCAAGCAATCGTGGCACAGTGCACGTAAAGTTACCATCATTCGCAAAATTGACCATGTTTAAGGGGTAGGGTTTTAATCAAGCCAATCAGAACATTGTGTTTGAATTTTCAACCAATCAACGACACAGATTCAATCGACTGCACATTCATCAAGTGTCTTCATTGATACAAACTGCATACTGGTGATTCGTGTCGACTTAATACAGTACTGTAGTATTCGATTTCTACTAGCCCTTCGTCTAGGATATGCATTACGGTATGTTACTAGTACTGTACAACACGGAGTAATCAGTGACAATAGTTGAATCTATCGTGCAGAAGTTTATTCTTTACGAGTTTCAGCTTATTCCATAACGTTTAACGTGGGTTGTACGGATTAACCGTCCAGTTGTGGCAACTCTGCAAGGCGCAGTTTTAACGGGGCACATACTTTTAAAAAATGCCTACCGAAAGGTCGCAAGGTTAGTTAGCACCAAGTATCACCAGGACTCCGGGCTTCCCCCTCGTAAGGATCCACTGACGCAAAGCTACCTTTGGATTGTAATCACTTTCCACATCGCCTGCAAATACACATTTCTTCCGGTGATTTTTCATTTCTAGCTTTTCATCTATTCGGCTGTCTTGTCGAGATTATTTCAGCTAAATGAGTTATCATATGGGGAATAGTGACTTGTTCAGACGAACCACTCGTGGGTTTACTCCGAAACTCTCTGTAAAAACGCCCCCGCAGTGGCACGTAGACCCCCCTTTCTCCACCATATCCCCCTCTACATCCTGTACGTACCCCCTTCTTATTAAGCAGAGTGACGACAACATAGGGGGCGAAATAAGACGACCACGAACCGCTCTCAGGTTGACGTCAGCACACCTCTATGATTTTATAGCACGTGTAAGTTTGTAACGTTAGGCACTCTCATTTCGTTAGTAAAGGGGAACACGCACCGGCCTGGTTATTGAAATAGCCTCTTAGCAAGACCTCGGAGCGTATTACCACCTGTCACTGAAGGTAGCGGCAAAGGAGCTTGACACGAGCGAAGCCGCACAATCCGCGCATGCCGGCACCGCCAAGTGGCCGTGCCATCAACTCGCAACGATCGGCCGACAAATTCGCTTCGTGGACGTCGTCCTCGCCATGGCCCATGGAGCCCAACACTGCTTCTCTCAACCATGTGGACTAAATTGTATGAGCACTGCCCTCGTCTTTCAATTTGCATATATTTACTTCTCCAACCGCGAGGTTAGATTTTAGTCAATACTGTATAACGTTAATAACGTTAGAGAGTACAGTAGTCTGCATGCCACTACTCCCCAAGTAAGGTTACTTCGATATTCTGACGTCTAATATCAACAAGGTTCACTAGCTCAGAAGTTCAGGTCATTCCAGTTTGGCGCTCGTTTCGACCACTTCACAATGAGTATGTTTGACAGAGTTATAAAGTACAACATCCTCTGGCCAGGACGAGTCTGGATGGCAAGGAGTAAGTAGTATCCGGTAGGAATGAGGGACGTAGACGCTACTGTACGGATGGCCACCAGTGAGCCCTCGTGGGAAAACTGAGTGCGGCGTAGTTCCGTCGTGTATGCAGTAAATGTGACGGCTTGAACATTTCATTTCGACGACGATGCAAATATTTGACAGGTATCGATGGGTGTGAACCGGTCGGTTATCACAATGTACGTGGCATGGGCAGAGACGTTTGAGACAATATATCAAGGCGCAGATAACGTCAAGTAGGCAATAGAAACAGATCACACAGGTGCCACTGAAACTATTGTCAAGGGAGTATACGTATACACCGTTGTTGTTGTGCATATTGCCCTTTGACAACGACACGGTGGCGATGCGTCTATGTAAGTACAACAATCGCGGCACTGTGCATACCAATCACAACGTATCATTCGCGCGAATTGACCATGTCAATGGGTTAGGGTTTGAGTCAAGCCAATCAGAACATTGTATTTGGTTCTTCAACCAATCAGAGACGCAGTTCCTGTCGACTACACATTCATCACATGTCACGTCACTGTGCCGTTTCCCTCATTGTTAACGTTATGAGCTTCATGCATGGAGATTCCCACCGACGCATTCAATATAGGACAGGGTACGCAGCAGTGAGAAGCCACTGACCTGGTACACCGGCAGGCCTACAGAGCCAGTACATCACCGTGTAGTATTTGACAATAACGTTAGCTCAGTCTTTCGTGCAGAAATTCGTTCATCACGGGTCTCAGGATATTCTACGACGTGGGATATAACACAGTCCAGTTGTAGCAACTCTACAGTGCTCAGTTATAAGGCGACAAGTGCTTCAAAAAATGCCTACCGAAAGGTCGCAGCATTAGTTAGCTGCAGTAGCCCCAGGGCTCCGTACTCAGGTGTGCTTCCCCCCTGGTAGGATTCCACTGCCGTATAGTTACCTGTCAATTGCAATCGACCGCCCTTTCACGTCGCAACGATAGCCCGGTGTAAGTTATGTACATTTCTTCCGGTGGTTCCGTTCCATCTCTAGCTTTGCAATTACGTTACCATCATTTCGCGTACCTTACTGTACGCAAAAGGTGATGTGTGTCTGCATGTAGAAAATGTTTCAGCATATGATTCATGGGTGCTACAGTATGTGTACTGCAATGAGTTAGCATACTTGTTCCGGCCAACAAGTCGTGAGTTGCCTCTGAATCTTTACGTACAAAGCACCACCCCCACAGTGGCATGCAGCCCCCCCTACTCCATCACATCCCCCCCGAACAATCCAGTAGGGAACCCCAGCGTAATGTCGGTTTACTAGTGGGTGGATATTATGAATACTAACGACAACCATGAATCATTCTCAGCATGAAAGAGCCACGATTTCCACGTCAACAGACCTCTTTGATTGCATAGCCTTGTACACCTTGTATGTACTACGAAGATCACACAGAGAAACATCCCTCTTTCTTGGAATAGCCTCTAGCAACCCTTATTCTGTTGATGAACCTGTTACAACAACTATCATGTCCGTCGATGAATGGTGACTTGCCTGACTGTCACGAGTAACGTCAAGCCACGCCTGGCTTGTCAGGTAAGGCCATGGCACGCGACGCTCTTCGTTGGAAATGCCTCTTTGATCCTTTCATCTTTGGCTTTGCAATGCCTGAGCCAGCCCCATCTTCAAAACTCGGTTGCCTTTATACGTCGTAATCAACATACTGTATACCAGTAGTATCGTGGTCTACAGTGCGATAATATTGTAGCCACTTTGACGTTTGGCGCTGGTTGTGACTTGTGGTCGTTGCCAAATTTCCAATTCGAACGTCAACCATCGTACGTGTACTCTTCGGTCCTCTTGTAGACTCTGAATGGAACTAACTATTCACTGTGCAATTTGCCGCGCACCCCCCACTCATCGACCGCCATCATGACTACGCCCCGCCAGTTCACCGCGCAGGAGCTTGGAGAGTACTACCACATGCCACTGAAGAAGGCAGCCAAGGAGCTTCAGACGTATGAAGCCGCACTGATCCGCGCATGCCGGCGGCACGATATCCCCAAGTGGCCATACCGACAACTCGCAAAGATCGATCGACAAATGCGCTTCATGGACGTCGTCCTGACGAAGCTTGGCGCAACCGACGATGCGGGCGCGTCGGACAAGACAACCGCGTGTCGCCAGAAGCTCGAAAGGAGCTATGCATCAGTCAAGGCAAACACCAGACAGCGCAAGGACACCATCGAGCACAAGCTACGGCTGTCATATATTTTGAACCCTTGAACGGTCGTACTAGTTTAGTGTCGTTTACTATATAATAAGACTATCATTTCCCCCTTAGAAGGTTGCGCATAACGTTCGTGCTTTCGTTGATGCTGCCACCACGTAAGGCCTTGGATCCCTCGAAGTACGGACACGTGTAGTGGTTCGCCGATTGATTTATATATATATATACAGCAGGGAAGGAAACGTGAGGAGTTCCTTCATCCAGCGACACGCGATAACTACGACGACGACGACGCCGCACCTTCGACGAACGACCGGATCGACTCGTGGAAGTCCGTCACGCCCTGCGCACTACGATCGAGTCGTGCTACTGTCATATGCTCGTCCATAGCGCATTGGATCTCGACGTTGCTCTTCTGAGGGGCGCCGCACGTGCACGAACGCTTGAGGTTGCCGCACTTGCTGCACTTGTAGTTGGCAGGCTGGTATGGACACACATGGCCTTTTTTCGGTTCGCCACATCGACTGCATCGGTAGTTGCCACGATTGAAGCTACTGCTGGTGTTGTTTGCGTGGTGTTGGCTGCTTCCCATGGCCGACGCCGACGGCGGGGAAGCCGCGACGTCGCTGCCTGTGTTGGTTCCAAAGCTGTTCATGTGCATACTCGCGACGTCGGTAGGGGCACCAGGTGGATTCATCATGAAGCCCATGTTGAAGTTCATTCCAGCAGCAGCATTTGGGTTCCCTGGACCACTTCCCATGAAGTATGGACCGCCGCCGCTACCTGCCGAGTTCATATCGCACAGCACACGATGATTTTGTCTGAAATACACTTGGCCGTTTGTTTCGACACTTATCGGCCGTTCCAGAGGGGGGAGGGCCATCAATTTAGTGGTAGATTTTGGCAGAATAGATGGGGGGGTGGGTTAAAAACCACCACTGAGAAACCTGTCACAGTTTATATGCACCCGTTCGAAACATTAAATTTCACAGGCTTCTCCAATCGTTTCAAGATGCTTTGGCACCATACCCATACAGTGTACATATGCCCATGCATCTCTATCGCGGCAGCTTCGCGGCTGCTGGGAATATGTGGTCCACACAGTCAAAACGTGAGTGTCAGAAATATACTAAGTCGTAGGCCAGAACAGTTAAGGACGAGTGATCTTTTGCGCAATCTCGCCCATGTCCTGGGTCAACTTGGTCGCGTTCTCGTCGATCCACAGCAGCGAGTTGTGATGCACGTTGAGCACCTTGAGGATCTGCGCAATGGGTTGATGCAGCTCATCAGTGTCATCTCCGCCGCCGGCCGCCTGCGACGACTGGTTGAGCCGCTCGATCGTTTCCTTGAGCGCGGTCGACATCATGTTGAGTTGCGTGTCAATGTCCACCGACAGTTGCAGCGTGGCCTCGCGTTCCAAGTCGGCGGCGTCGGGGATGAGCCGGTTCGATTCAAACATCTTGTCCACGCTCGATTCCAATTGCTAGTCGCCGTGGCCAATGATGACGTTATCCACACACTAAACACAAGGGCGTGATCAACCAACAGTTGTACCTCTAGCGTGGATTCGAGTTCAGTCTGGTATGACGTGATCGTGTCCAAGTTGGCATTCAGCTCCTTTTGGGCCACTTGCAACCGTCGCACGTCGATCGCCAATTCACCCAATTTCGTCTGGTTTTGCATCAGTTCCGTGTCCCAGTGACTCACTATGACATGCCACCACGTTGGAGAATGTATGTATATAATTGAATGGCAATGTCAAGTCGATTGTTTGAAATATTCAAGTGTGTCGGGTGCTCTCAATCGACATGAGCAGCAGAAGAAGCATCCAATCGGCAGACAATCGACCGACCAATCAAATCCCGATCACGAATCAAGTAGCCAATCAAATCCGACCAATTCCACATCGAATTAGTGCATGTCATAAATTAGTGTGACACTGGGTACAAAGAATCGATCGATACATTTGGCGAATCAGCGCCAAAGGTAGAATCGGCAGCCAATCAGAATCCATGAAATCATCAGTTCAACCAATCAACAGCTGACTAGTGTGGGACGACTTAAATTAGTGTGACGGTCACTTCAATTGGCTTTTTTTTACATACAAAATTCAGAACAATCAATCGATCGATGGATTTGGCAAAAAATCAGCACAAAGTCCAAATGTCCAAAAGACAAGATGTCATCCTGACACCATGCGTACCTCGCACCGCTTCGTTCGTGAACGCCGTCGCATGACTTTCCAATTGTTCGCTCCACATGTTGATAATGTCCTCGACGGTCTTGTCCATGTATTCCGCCGGCGGCTTGTCTTGGAGGGTCACAGCTACTAACCAATACATACATGTCTCTCAATACTTCATCTCTACCATGTTGGGGGATACCTGTGCCGGCGGCTCCACTGGTAGCGGCGGCTGCATCAGATGGCTGTGCAAACGACGATGTGGCGGGGGTGGTCGTAGACGGGGTAGCAGTGGCGCCTCCAAAACTGAACGAAGTGGCAGGCTTATCCGTTGACGAAGTAGCGGACTCGGTCGGCTTGGCGGCAGCACCCCCAAACGAAAAGGCCGTGGATGGCGCGGCGGCGGCGGCGGGAGTGGAAGTGGACCCGCCCAGAGAAAACGCGGGTGCCACAGTTTCTGTCGTCGACGCGGGAGTGGAGGAAATGCCAAACCCTGTCGCCGGTGCCGCAGGCGTTGACGTCGTGGTGGCGGCAGAAGGAGCAGCACTTCCACCAAATGCAAAACCAGTGGTCGACGGTGCGGCGGGAGTAGTCGATGGCGCGGCGGGAGTAGTCGCCGCAGGGGTGGTTTTCGACGAACCACCAAATGCAAAACCTGTGGTTGGAGCTGCTGGAGCTGCAGCAGGGGCGGCCCCGCCAAAGTTGAATGGTGTCGCGGCAGGGGTAGTTGTCGAAGTTGCGGCAGGAGCAGGTGCAGCACCTCCAAAAGAAAACCCTGTCGTGGCAGGGGCAGTTGTTGAAGCGGCAGGAGCAGCAGCCGCACCTCCGAATGCAAAACCTGTGGTCGCGGGGGCTGTCGTCGTGGCCGGAGCAGCCGGGGCACTGCTCGATGCACCAAATGAGAATCCCGTTGTTGGGGCTGTGGTGGACGAGGAGGGAGCCGCAGGTGCTCCACCAAAGGCGAAACCTGACGTAGGAGCGGTAGCAGGTGCTGCTGGCGCGGCACTGCCAAACGAAAATCCACTGGCAGACGCCCCGCCCGCCGCCGGTGCAGACCCAAAGTTAAAGCTCATGATGCTTGGTGCCAAAGTCTTGGAAATGGCCACGAGGCTGGAATTAAAATGTCTGTCGTTTTGTATGCAACCATGTCATTAAAAAATATGTCGGATATTTGAACACCTTTATCTCCAATCTATTTCATTGGGTAAAAAACAAATAAACCATGTTTTATTGCCAAATCAAAATGACCCAACCGTACACAAGTCCACTGTACGCATTTCTGTACTTTATCTAAGTATACCGAGTTGCATGTGTGACGACGATTCAAGTTGTACAAGCACACCGCAGCACACCGCTCAATCCTTTGGCTATCAACAGCAAAACGGCGTCACATATTCTCGACAGCCCATGTTAAATATATTACTCGTCATGTTCGTCGTCCTTGTAATGCAAGACGGTTTCAATCTCGTGGAGGTGTGCGACGGCGTCGGCGCGGCCCCATTCAAACTGCTGGTTGGCCCAGTTAGCGTTGGTCGAGACGAGGATCCAGTGGGGAAGGATCTGGCGCCACTTCCAAAAGTGAAACACATGGGCGGGAGCTAAATTGCCGAGCGGCATCGGGTCGTTATTGGACACGCTGCCGTCAATGTACTTGTGGCCACGGAACGACCGCAGGTACTCGGGGTGGTACAGCGGCACGTGGCCGGACGTGAGCATGCAGTCGACCATGTCTTCGTTGTCGGTCCACGAAGTCACGAGCTCGTTCTCGAGGCTCGGCACGCGCGTGATGCTGCAGTAGAACTTCTTGTCCAGCTTCTGGTACGTGTCGGGTTCCAGCATCATGAGGGTATGTTGTTTGGTCAACGGAATCCAGTCGCGCCAGCCCATGAACGTCTTCTTGTCGGCGTCGCGGATCAGCGTCAAGTTGGCACCGTGGAAGAAGTCGCTGACGTTCTTGTTCATGGCGAGGACCAGCGCGGGGAAGCAGCCGGCAGACGCACCGGAGAACACGGCGTCGGTTAAGTCAAAGCGTTCCTGCGACAAGGGAGATGAGTCCACGAACGACGACACCATCGCATGAATCATACCTGGAGAATTGACGCCACCCCGAGCAAATAGTTGTAGAAGCCGCCGCACCCGCCAAAGCCGATCTGGATCGGCTCACCACGGACGTGCGATGGCTGATTGCGAACGCGAGCGATCGGACGAGGAATATTCGTGACAGTTCCTTCGACCTCAAGGGCGTCGTCGACGGCATCGTGGCACACCCACATCGGGTCCAAGCAACCGGCAGAGGTCGTCGCGTGCACCAGCGGCTAGAGGAGAGAAATAGATGGTATATCAGCAAAGCACCATATGTAAAGATGCATGCTGCTGGAAATGCTTGCTACCTGAAAGACGCGAGGGACGAGGCCGCGAAAGTACTTCCACATCGAGTGGTCTTCGTGGACATGCGCCACATCTGCTGCCTTGCGCTTCATGCTTTTGCGTGTCGACAGCGAGTCTTTCTCTCCGACTTCCACGGTGGCGGCGGCAGCATCGTCTGTCCACAATGCGTCCATGATCGCTCCCGGTGCTCGTTGATGAGAGGGAACTGAGGCGACTTTTGTTACGCCTTCGGCAAGGTCATTCTGATTGGCTCATCGTAACACTTGCTATTTTAAAACAAACCGCAACGAGGTCATACAAAAAGCTAGTAGTAAAAACGGACACAGAATAAAAACGAGCGGGATACGATTTTTCTATGATTAGGTGCAAGAAGTCATCCGGATATTCTAGGAATGATGTAAGGGAATTACGGAGTAATTATCCGGATTCCATATGATTGCCCCAATTGTCATCAACCAAGTTGGGAATGGAAAGCAGCAACAACTGGGACACGACAGGTATGTACGACGACGTACCCCAATCTCACGATGCATGCATGGTAGCATCCTGTAGATGACGAAGGTATAATGGTAGATGAGCAAGAGGTGGGAAGGGGCGGCCGGGGAAACTACCGATGCAGTCGGTGCGGCGAGCCAAAGAAGGGTCACGTGTGTCCATATCAGCCTGGAAACTACAAGTGCATCATGTGCGGAAACGTGAAGAAGAACTGTACGTGCGGCGTCCCTTTGACACGCACGATTGCCGTGCAGTGCGAAATGGATGAAGACATGACGACACGGGTGCTCGACTTGCGAATGCAGGTGAGTCGACGTTCGTGCTTGACTCAAATCTGACCATGGTTTGGTCGTGTTGGCAGGGTGTATTTGACGTCCCTGCGTCCGGGCCATTTGAACTGTAGACGTTATCGAAGAGACTCTTGCCGTTGATTCCTGCAGTGGTGGAGCGACACACTGGTTCCATATCGTTCCTGGGGCACCACCACCACCAGTGGACGAATTCGAATCCTTTCTACATCGACCCGTCCTATGTGACTGCAGCACCTACAGTCGAGAGTACACGCTTGTCGAACGAGATGGTTCCAATATTCGCATGAACTCACAAGGTACAATACAAAAAACTACGAGAAAGCGGCGACTAGAGGGCTTTTATTATTCGACTTCCGCGAGGCGCGGTTCCACCTCCAACGATCGATTAAAGCAAAAGTCTCTGGTGGACAATTGCAGTGGTGCACACATGTGATCCTAGCGTCATCACACAGTGTCACATAGTTGGGGGTAGGGGGATCGATCGTACCAGCAGTCGCTTGTCAGGCGTGAAGATGTAGGGCGTCTTCTGGCACGGCAGCACAAGGCGCACGACGTTCCCACGCAGCCGCATCTTTTTCAGGTTCACCAGGTCGTTCTGGACGAAATCTGGGTACTCTTGCGCCACGATAAACTGCTGTCCCACGAGCCCCAAGTACGGAATCGACGGCAACGCGCCTTCTTTCATCAGTTTATGCAGCGGTCTACACAAAGCATCACAACCACCATCAATCATGGCGTTAAATTGCTCTCCTTGTCATGGAATCATCCCAGATGTGGCTAGTGGTTTTGGCTGGTATCTGGATGTGTGTACGTACGTACCTGGCGCCCTTTTCTGTCCATTGCTTGAGCTCTTGCCACAACGTCCGCACGGGCGGCGGCAACCGGCCCCACGTTTTCTTGAGTCGAAAGATGGACGAGTCGTTCAGTGCGTACATGATGGCCACAAAACCGTCAAAGTTGCGCAGGGGGGTGAGGCACTTGCCCGCGACCTGCAGCCAAACGACATGCATGATCCATCCGATCCCCAAACAGCACAACAATCACACCTTGACGTAGTAGCTCAAGATCTGGCCGCGGTCGACTACGTCTTCGCGGGCTAAGATTTGGTTGATCACCCACAGCGAAATGTGGTTGTGCAGTAGCCGAGACTTGTCATACGCAGGCGTGAGCGTCGCCGACTTTTTAGGCGCCATGAGTTGGGACACTAGGGGGAGTAGGATGACCAGGCATATATATATATATATATATATCGTCAATTGATCAATTCAGTTCAGTTGTGGATCGAAGCCAACTAGAACGTTTCTGCGACGTACCTGGAATTTTTTGGAAAAACCAATGCTGGAGCAGTGTGATTTGAGATGCCATCAAGCCCGGGTCAATGTCGAGTTGCCTACAATATCAACCAACCACGTACGCCCGTCAGAAATATTTTCATTCATCTCATGGTGCAATACTATAGAATTCAACACACAAGCAAGTATATATATATATATATATTGTGGATTCAGTACAAACTTCCACACCCCGTCGAATCACGAATCACGAATCGACGCTATTGGCGAATCCATTTTTGAGTGGATTTGATTGGCTCTTGCAGAAAGGACAAGTATATTCAACCAATCAGAACTCCGGCGTGATTCAATATTGATTCGACAAACCAGGCGAATTTTGCAAGTTTATAGCGAATAAATCACAATATCACGAAGATCCTACTTGGATTTCAAACCACAAAAACCATAGTGTGTCTACCGTACTTACCACAGTCGTGCGACACGGTCCAAGATTGAAAACCGACGCTTGGCAGCGACGACTGGCGTCCTGGTTTCCGTAGACGAAGCGACACCCGCGAGCGCGAGGCGGTCCCGCACGCTTCCCGTGGACGTCGTCGGAGGAGCGGCGGCGGCGGCATCAGTCAGGAACGCCAGCGGTCGCGCTTGGTCAAAGTACGCAGCCAACGCCGTGTATTCGGCATCGCAGTGGCCGTGGGATGTGAACGGCTGGCGTGTCTGGCAGGCCTTGACGAACGGAGCGATCTTGCGCGTGGTGAGCCACTGCAGCAGCACCGCATCCGTCTCGACGATCGCAGGCAGCAAGTGGATGACGAGGTTGGAAATGTCAAAGCAAACGTCCAGCGGAGGCGATGGGGTTTCCTGGAGCAGTTGGATCCACACGTCCAAACACCACAGCACCACCCGCCGCGCGTACTGGACATGGGTCGACGGCGCGTCCGAAACAAACGACTAGCACACTGTTATGACGTTGTCACATATCCACACAATCGACTAGTACACCGTTATAACGTTGTCACATATAGTATCATCCACGTCAAAACGTCGAATGCAATCTATGAAAACGCTGGGGGTGACATGGAAATGTGGTATTTCGAGAAATTGCATCATCCCAACCCACTCAGTCATACACGGGAACCAACACTTTACTCGTCCAGCAGCAGCATCACACATGGGAGCATCAGAGACTCCAATACGTGTGAAGAAGCAAGTGAGTGAGACATGGTCATTTGGGGTGGTTGTGTACCCGAAAGAAGGCGAGGACGTCCGACTTTTCAATGTGCAGTTGCCCAGTCCATAAGAACGCTTCCATGTCGTGGACGGCCGTGTGATCGTACTGCAAAAACGTACCGAGCATGTCTGCGGCGCCCACGGCTTGCACCACGTCGCAGCAGCTGTGTTTGGGTGCTGCATCCAGGATGGTGGGGGCGTCTGAAATCACCATCACGTCGTCGTTTGGTGGATGACTCAATGACGTCGATAGGTCCGGCGACATGGACAGCATGACTAATAATAAACAATCACATGGTTGTGAGTTGGTCAACGTTCCAGTATACCACCATCCATGCCAAACAAACAAGTCGACGCAAAAGGTCTCGATCGTAGGAATCCATACGCGACAAGGGGAGTAGTCCAGACACAACAACAAGAACAACGTCATCGCATACTCATGGACGACGTGGACGACGACGACGACGCGACGTTGGCCGCATCCAAAAAGACCATGCCGCTGCTGCTCGACTGACTCAACGTCGACAAGTTCAAACTGCCGCTGCCTACGCCGCCGTGGCTGGTGGTGGTGGTGCTGGTGGTGGTGGTAGTTAGGCCACTCGTTGTAGTGTTGGTCGTGGCGGACGCGTGGTGCGCTTCAAATAACTGACGCGCCGACTGGCCGCAGAGGTCGGGGGCATGGACGTCTACGTCTGGATGGGACGCCAGGAACCCATACACGTCGGCGCCTCCGTGCACGGCGGCGTAGTGGATGGCTTGGCGGAACACGTTGCAAATATCTTTGGCGTTGGCGCGTTCGTTGAGCAAGAGGCGGACCGTGTCGAGGACCGCCGCCGTGTCCTTCTGGACCACATGTCCTTGGATCAGCGCGCCCCGGGACACGGCGAGCATCAGCGGCGTCCATCCGTCCAACGTGCGCGCGTTCACGTCGGCTTTGCCTTCGGACAGCAGCACCGCGCACGTGTGCAGGTCGGCGGCGCTGGCAGCGTAATGCAGTGGCGTTTCACCTCGCAACGCTTTGACGCTGGGGTCAGCGCCGTAGTCCAGCAGCGCCGTGGCGACTTCGGACTGCCCTTCCTTGGCGGCACACGCGAGCGCACTGCATCCCGTGTGCCACCCCCTCATGTCGATGTTGATTGTCTTGGACAGCTCCATGAGCGTGTCCACCCCCTCCAGACACCCCGTGCACGCGAGGAGCATGAGCGGCGTGTACCCAAAGTGGTCGACGCCGTCGATGACGGCGCCGTGGCGCACTAGTTTGTGGATGATCTGGCGCACCTTGTCGGGCCAGGCGGCGGCGTGTTGCTTGCCGTTGGATTGAGGGGCGTCCATCGACAGCTGCGGCGCCCCGAGCAGGTGGAGGGGGCCGCGGCCGAGCGCGGTCAAGTGTTTGGTTTTCGCGCCGTGTTGGAGCAGGTACGACACGACGTTGACGTGGAAGTAGCTCACGGCCACCGACAGCGGAGTCAAGTCGTCGTCGGAAATGTAGTTGACCTATGTATGCATAAAGCGATCGTAAACGTCAGGACACGATTTCAAAATAGCTCAATCGAATGACCAGAAGAACCACAGACAATCAGACATATACGACCAATCAAAATCCACAACACGACTCAAGTGGCCAATCAAATTCACTCTTGGGCCAACCAATTCCACACCCGAATAATTCGTAGCGTGACTGGAATTCGTACGATCGTTATATACAAAGTCAAAGAATCGATCGATATAGATTTGGCAAAGAATAATCAGCTTAAAAGGCCAAAGTTTGGGTAAAAGCAAGACAATCATATAAGCCATGAAAAAACGTACTTCGGCGCCGTTGGCGACCAGCATTTGGACAGACCCGACGGCACCCCGCTGACACGCTTGGACAAGCGCGACGTTCCACAGCGACTTGTTGCTGCCGAGGATCTTGACGTAGTTTGGGTTGGAAATGAACGCCATGCGATGAGGGGGCGACGACATGTTGAGGAGTCCCACCACATCGTTGTATGGCCTAGTCGTCGCATGTGACATCGTGTTAGTAGGTCAAAACGATCGATGTTATCTGTCCATACCACAGCACAACGTTGGTGCCATTGAGCGTGACTAGCACGTGGCCCTTGGACACGATCCCGCCCAGTGCCGCTTGGCCGTGGGCCGTGATGTTCTTGACCATAGCGCCGCTTCGGTACGTCGATTCGGGCTCAAACCCGAGGCCGAGGCGCCAGTCGCCGTCGATGGAAAATGCAATTTGCTCCTTGAAGATGTCTTCAAGCACTGCGGGAATGGTCACGTTCTGGACAAACTCCATGGCTGCCCCGAGGATGCCCACCACATGTGGTGTCGTCGTCGTCATCGAGGTAGTCTTGTCGGGATGGTGATAGTGATGGTGATGCATCGCCGTGAGCAACTGCTTGAGCGTGAGCAAGTTTTCAAGCCCAGAATTCACGAGCAAGAACGTAAAGATCGGAATCAAGTCGTCCGTGTCGAGTGTCGACTGCGACGTGGACGTCGGCACGAGCGAGTTGAACCCGAGGCCGTCCGACGTCACTTGGTACACAAACTCCGACACGGGATGCTCGTCCGTGTACGTGGCTTGGATCTCGTCCACGGCTTCGACCAGCGCGTTGTACTTGTCTATCGGCAACGAATACGCCCCCAGGTGCCCCAGTAGCTTGCACGCTACAACACGTCCCCGTGGTTACACACAACCGTGTCGTCTAAAACAATGTAACATGCGATACCGTCACGCCATTCCGAAGACGACAAGTGGTGTGGGGAAATGTCAAAGAACGCCTGGTCTTTGCCTTGAAGCCATCGCAACTTTTTGTTGAGCCCGGCTTCCGCGTCGGCGTTGACTTGGCGGCGCACGGCGCTGTAGAGGCCGTCGTGTAGCGGTAGAAACAGCGCTTCTTCCACTTGGCGGTGGATGCAACTGTCAATCAGGCGGTCCTACCAGCAGACCAACATATAGTCTAGAGTAAGCAGCAGCAGCAGCAACAATGGAAATATCATGGACCATGTTGAACGAGGTATGGGTCTAGTTGTATATCACGTTGCCATATCCGCGACAGACTTCTTGATATATATATATATAGCGACAGACTTCTTGATATATATATATATATATCAACAGATCTGTCGCTATATATATATATATCAACAAATCTGTCGCGGATATGGCAACGTGATACACAGCTAGACCCATATCTCGTTCAACACACACACAAAAGCCACCAAGAAAACCTCGTTGAATGCCCACACAATACACATTGTTACACCAATTTCCATGGCGACGGGAGAATTATCTATCATTCGATAGATTCGACGTTAACGAAGGTGTCCATATCGCATGTAGTCGCCACACAATCGAACCAATCGACCAATCAAAACCCACAACACTAATCAAGTGGCCAATCAAATCCTCTCGGTACACCGCAGTCGTGTGAGAGGTCGATTTTTAGTGTGCTTGTTCGCACACAACACATAGATTAAAACACAATCGAAACGCACCATGTGATGGTCGTCGTCGTCGTCGTCGAGATCGTTGAGGTCGCCAAGGCACGCGGCGCGCAAGGACGCGGCGTACTTGGCATGCACATGCGCGCACATGGTCTGGATGAATTCTTGCAACGTCGAGAACGCATGCGTGGAGCGGCTGTCAAAGTGTTTGACAAAGTGCAGACACTTGTTGGCTTCGGGCGACGTCTTGGCGTTGTCGCAGCTCTACAAGCGCGCCCCCGTGTCACATACACACAACATCATCACATTTTGTGCATTCCTCACGGAAAACCAAACACGCAAATGTTAACTTTGGAGAGAGAAACGCACCAAAAGCTTGCGCAGTTCGTTGGACAGTCGCGTGGTGGGGTCGACGACGATCTTGGACGACGACTGCCGCCATGCCACCGACGATTGATGATGTTTCTGCTGCTGCTGGTGGTGGTGTTGTTGGGACGCGAGGACAATGGCGGCACCCGCGGACTGGGTGCTGAAAGATGTCGATTTGGTCAAGTCATAACTGGTGGTGGCTTGCACCACGCGACTGAGGTGCTCGACCCATTGCTTGCAGTCGTCGTCGTCTTTGGCTTGACACACGAGCGAGTTGAACCCCTTGAGCAGCTCAAAGCAGTGCGCGCGCTTGGACTTGCGAATGTCCATGGGACGCACAGTCGTATTGGGGTCGTCCAGGGTGATCTCCCCCTTGAGTTGGGCGAAGCGGTGGCTCTTGTAGTACTGGAGTGTCGAGTACGGCTCGCCTGTCATCGTGTTGGACCGCGTGAGGAGCACAAAGTACCGCTTCTTCCAACTCTTCCAGATCTTTCCCTGTTTGACGAGCCAACCGCTATAGATGAGGTTGCCGCCGCCGCCCATCGTTGCGGGCGACGCTCCGTTGTGGCCATTGCTCCCTAGGGGAAGTTGCGGCGCGCTCATTTGCCGATGGACGGCGCTAGAATGGGTGCGCCGAGCCGTTGCGTTGGACGTGTTTCGTTGGGATCGAGACCGACCCCCGCTTGTGGTGTCATAGTTACCTTTGTAATCGCCGTTGAAGTCATTGTCGCTGTCTTCCATGACATAGATCGTCTCGGACGACATCACTGGCGGACGGGACGACGACGGCCCGTCACCACCGCGATGATGGGGTCGACTGTGACTCCCACTCAACGTGCGCTGGTGATCGTTCAATGAGATCTGCAGCGGGCCGGCAGATCGATGAAGTCGGACTGCTTCCTGTCGTCGTCGTTCGTCCACGCCCTTGGCGAAAATGGTTCGAAGGTCCCCTGGTTCCATTGCCCTCGAACGCTGCCCGAAGATGAAATGCCTGGTGTTTATGTACTTTTTGTGTTTGCAATGGGTTGCTCATACAGCTGGCACTTTTTTAAATTACCACGGCGAAGGTTTTAAAATACCATACAAACCCGTAGAGATTGGGGGGTTCGTCCCAATTAAAATGCGCGTAAAGAAGCCATTTAATTTCGCCGACTTGTGTTGCACTCTGGTCAAAGCCATAGTGTACGTACAGTAGTCAGTGATCGGCACACACATGGACTACTGTAAGCTTACATGCATGCCCTGCCGTCCGCCCATTTTCACGTAACTCATGCATGTGGGAGGGTACACACACTACACGATCTCTTGTAGGCTGTGGGTCGCAGCTCAAACGCCCGCTTGCTCCTCTTGTCTGCTGGGGCCAAAGGTTTGAAAGAAACCAGCGAATCAACAGCAACGACACTGAATGATTTTAGCCAATCCGATTGGATTGTCCGGATACATCCTATTTATCCGGAATACCGGTGCGGCGGTTTTTTTCGAGGATTTTGCGTCCGCTGAGAGATGAGTGCCACCGCCGTAAGCTAGCTACCGAGGACATGACGCGGAAGGGTGGTCTAAATGAGGTTATGACTAGTTTGCGGCCGAGGTGTCCGATGCGATGGACTCCATCAAAAAGTACTCGGATGACTGGCAGAAGCGGCTGCTGGCGTTGCAGGAGATTCAAAAGCAGTTCAAATCCATTGAAAACACCACGGTCACAGTCTCGGTCGACACGTGGCGTGTGCTGAAGCCGTTGAAGGACGTGATCCAAGACTTGCGGTCTCAGATTGTCAAGGAAGTATGCGCCACGCTCGCGGTCATGAGCAAGGTCTGTCTGCGTCATGCTTGGAGTGTCCTTCCTCAAAAACCCGACGTCCGTCCCCATGATATATCGTAGATCACGCGCGACTCGATGGCGCCATTGGTCCGGGACCTTCTACCTGTCTTGGTGGAGGTCCGTGGCGGTGGCAACAAAGTGTGCGGTGCGTATTGTGGTGAATGCGTCGAAGTTCTCGTGTCGAACGTCGTGACCAAGGGACCGACGCTTCGGTACTTGGTGGACGGGGTCGTGGAAAGCAAGAACAAAGGCCTCCGAGCATGTTGCATCGGGGCGCTAACGCTGGTGCTGGTGCATTGGAGTGCAGTGCTGGACAAGAGCGACGTCCAACAGATCGAAGTCGGGCTCAAGAGCTCCCTCTACGATGCCAGCTCGACGTGTCGGTCGGCGTCGCTAGCGTTTTTCCAGCGGTTCCAGCAAAAGTTCTCGAAACGAGCGGCGCTGCTGCTCACGACCGTCGACTTCAAGGTCCAGCGGCGACTGGAATCGCTGCCGTTGGTCCCAGACTCGACCTCGCCACCCCCACCACTTCACTCGAATGTACGTCCTGTGTGGTTGTATAAAAAATGCGATACAGTTCGGGCGTCAAGCAGTAGGGGGCCTTGTCTCACCTACACGACAACCGTTGCAGCTTTTTTCCCATTCCTTGGATCGATCGATCGAGTTTAGGTTGCCCTTGTGCCTCATCCCCCGTCATCCCTTGTAGAGCAATTCAGTGGACGACGGCACGTTTGACGGGGAACGTCCCCATGACTCGGCAGCGGCAGATGACCGGCAGATCTTCATCGACGACGATGAGAATGCTCAAGCCATCGCCGCCGCCGACGGTGACGTGGACGTCGGAGACCGCGTGTGCATTTCCGAAAAGGAACTGTTTGGTCACGTCCGATACATTGGTACGAGATTGGTCGAACCAAACAACTAGATCATTATATTTGGTGATGGTATATATATATATTGTTCACCTGGGGATGTAGGTGACGTGGCAGGATTCAGTGGCCCGTGGGTAGGCATTCAGCTCGACCATGCAGACGGCAAGAATGACGGCAGCATCAAAGTACGCTCGACGAACATGACGATATGCTGCTGTTGTTGTTGTTGATGGCATGACACTGTCGCACATCTGTGTGTATGTAGGGCCAGTACTACTTTCGATGCAAACCCAAGCACGGAGTGTTTGTACGCCCAAGCCAGGTACGATATATCCCATGGAATATCTTCTCATCATAAACATGTATATGTGTAGATCTTTCTCACAAAGCGGTACGTCCCCCTTGTTGCATGTGTATGGGGGATATACATATGGGGATATACTGTATGTATGGCTTCTATGACACTTGTAGTCCGTGTGTCTACTAGATATTGTTTAAGTGTGTTTATATTCTAAACTGGAGCAACATGGAGAGAATATGAATCGACACACAACCAAATTAAATGCACAGAAGAATCATCGGTCGAAGGATTTATTTAGCCAATCAGATTGCAGGAAACGACCACCATCAACGTCAAATTAGTGTGTGAATTCAATTAGTGTGATACCAAGCACCACAGGATATCACCTTTTTACATACAAAATATATCAGTACAATGAAGATATCGATAGATTTGGCGATTCTGCACAACAGTAGTCCACATTTTGCGTAGAAGGGCAATAGCTCGTTTGATTTTGCATGGTGATCTCCTTTCTCGTTATTGCGTTACTACGTAGTACTACGTCGTACAGCATTCATCTGGGGGATTAAGACTAGTGGTATTACTAGTAGTTATTCATCGTGTCGTTGCTGCATAGACTATATACATATATACATATATGTAATATATAATATACATATATGTAATATATAATATACATGTATATATATATATATATATATACCTGCGTAGTCGTGGTTTCGCTACTGTTAGTACCTGATATCTCTCTGTATACGTGTATTTCTAGTGTAGATTTATATATATATATATATATATATATATATATATATATATATATATATTGATCTCAACAAACTACTACTTACTTGGCCAGACACGTGTCGTTTGGTCAAGAGGATGAAGGAAACGACGAGTATGCGATCCGCGAAGAAGGCGACGACGAGTCGGGAGATGGGTGCGAAGAAGCCGAGGCGGAGGACGACACGCTGGTCGCCGGCCGCCGAGACGAAGGGGGCGACGACCCGCCGCTCAAGAAGCTGTTGGATTCCATGCTGGATGCGCAGCGGGGCTTTCTGGACTTTATGTTTCTCAACCTGAACGTGGAAATGGACCATCTGGATGTGTTCCAGAAGAGCGCGGCGATCGCGTCGTCGGCGGACGCGATTGCGTACTGCGACCAAGTGCGCAACATTTGCCAGGAAAAGGTGGACGCTGTGTCGGCGTTCATGGAGAAGATCGTGGAAGCGCAGCAAAAGGCCATGGAGACGTAAGCAAGTGGTGGCCGACCAAGATGCGAGAGAGAGGAACGAACGTACGCTCGTCTGTAGATAGTATGGACATTGGACACGATCCTATTCATAGTGATATGTGTTGGACCCAAAGTTTTATCCTATTGAGACGAGTATGGTATTGTAAACGTTCTACTACGAAGTATGATCTATCCATCGCTCCGTTGAATGTACAGGACATACAGTAGTAGTAGTACTACCTAGTACACTGGTAAAGGCAGCAGTCTCACATGTCCTGTGCAATATAAAGTCTTGGGGGTATTAATAAGTCAGTCTCACATGTCCTGTTCAATATAAAGTCTTGGGGGTATTAATAACTTATAGTATAAGTAGGACCAGAGTACAGAGAGCAATCAATCAAAGCTCTCGTAGCCATTTGACTTTATTCGAAGTCACAACTCTACAACATGGCGGCTCTTCCTTGGCAAAACGTTAGATTTAGTGCCCAAGGTTTGTGAAATTTGAATTACGTTGCCATATCGTGGAGTAAAAGTCGGCTTTCCGACTGGTTGACTTGGAAGAAACAACCCAGTCGGCCGCCAAGTAAAACACTTTTTTTAACCTCGAGGGATAACCCTGACATTTAACTAATTCAGCTTGAAAAAATATATATTCAAGCCCAAATTACCACGGGGTAGCAAACGTGCCTTCGACTAGAACAACCGATACCACCGATTTTTGGACGTGAAGAGCGCATGCTCGAGGAAGCATGTGGTGCCGAGGACCATGGCACACATGACGACCGAGTGGAATCGGTGGTCTGGGTTGAGTAGGTACGGCATGCCGTGGGTGATGGTGAGCAGCGCGGCGGAGACGACGAACGGCAACATCCCGCCAAACAAACCTTCCAGGGCAAACTGCCGTTGGGGCTGTGGATGCATGAGGGCAAAGCCTGACGCAGATGGCAGTCAGAAATAGGGACACGACAGTAGTGGAAGGCTGGCTATTGGGGCGACAACTACCTTGGCCAGACAAGTGGAACAGAGGGGCGCCATGGATGATTGAGTAAAATGAGCCTACGCAAAGCCAGCCAGCCAGACAGACAGACCATAACCCACATGATTAAGACATCCACGAAGATTTGTTGTGGCGTACCCGACAGCGACAGGTACAGTCCAAAGAGACTTAGCCCAAACCAAATGCGCTTCGATTGACAGAACGTTACCCACCACTGCCAATTCGCCGCTACTTTCGGGATCACCGCCACCCCCACGTACAGTACGATGGCGACGGTCATCATCGATGGCATGACGCTCGACGGGGACGATGGCGGCGCTGGGGTAGCAGTGAACGACGCCAGTTGGGATTGCAGACGAGCTACCCAGTCGTCTTCTGAAGTTGACGCCTGAACCATCTTGGCGTTGCTGGCGTGGACGGCCAACGATCGTGGACCAGACGCGGGATACGTGACGACGACATGGAGACCCGACTTGGGGATGGACGGAAGGCTGTGCACGGAGTGGAAGGAGACAATGGGTTCGTCAAAGCCGGCTCCATCGTCGTCCGGGGGTGATGAGGATGGAGGAGGCAACGGCAACGCGAAGAAGCGCGTGGTTGACAAGGCGTCATCGTCCAGCCGCCGCACCGCGCGTTCGAAGACTTGTCTTGCATCAGGAGATGTAGACATGAATACCACCACGTCTTGTGTGCGAGACGCATGCAGCATGAATTCTTTGTACACGGACGCTTGTTCGACGGCAAGGACAACAGATTCGCCCAGGAAATCGCTTGGAATCGAGGTGGAAGCGGTGACCAAGGAAATGGCGTCGTCATCGTAGAAGTAGTCGTCGATAAAGTGATTGTCGGAAATGCCACCTCCATTGCCTAGGGCGACAACGCCACGCAGCGTTGCCATTGCAGCCCACATCACGCATAAAGCCGCCGCAGCGGACCTCATCGTATGACAAATATGACACTATTTTGTAGAAATCAGAATACTATTTCTTGATGCTCACACTATTTCCAAGGGATTGTGATTATCCGGACAATGTGCGTTTCAAAAGGAGGATCATTCCAGCGGTAAATCCAAGCGTCGGCGATGGGTGAATTTGACTCGGATGATGAGGACTTTGCAGTTGTGGGAGCGTACACGATGCATGAGGAGATAGGTCGGGGAACGTATGGTATCGTGTACGTAGCAACACACAACACAACGGGCGAGAAAGTTGCGATCAAACGGTTATTCCAGCGACAGGACTCGAGCACATCCGACGAAATTGAGGTGATGCAGCGCCTCGTGGGGGCGCCACATGTACTACAGCTCCAGGAGGTACTCCAAGAACAACACCAAGATGAACCCTCGACATTCATCGTGTCTGAGTACATGGAGAGTGATCTGGAAACCGTGATCAAAGCCACGGAAGCGATCCCGCAGGTCTCCTTGGCACACATCAAGAGCTACCTTCGCATGATCCTTCAAGGTCTCGCTGAATGTCATGCACGTCATATCATCCACCGCGACGTCAAACCGAACAACATCCTCCTCGCCACGAACGGAGCAGCCATGCTCGCAGACTTTGGGTTGGCAGTGGTGGTGCCCGAACTCGCCACACGTGTGTCGCCGTGGAGTTTAAGTTTCCAAGTCGTGACTCGGGCCTACCGCGCCCCGGAGCTTCTCTTCGGTCTCAAGCAGTACGACACGAGCGTTGACATGTGGTCTCTCGGCTGTGTGTTTGGCGAACTCGTATTGCGCAAAGTTTGGTTTGACGGGGTATCCGACATCGACCAGCTCAACCTTATGTTCCGCGCTCTGGGATCTCCCGACGAGCAACACTGGACCGTACGTTGTTCCTCTGGTCCTTACCTTGACCTTCCATTAGGCGGCCAAGGCGTTGCCGTTCTACCTCGAGTTCGCCCCCACATCGCCTCCTTCCCTCGCCACGCAGTTCCCGACGCTACCCCCCTCAGGCGTCGACCTCCTCACAAAGATGCTTCGATTGGATCCGTCCGCACGCATCTCAGCCGCCGACGCCCTCACCCATCCGTTCTTCGCCGAAGCGCCGCTGGCGCTGGACCCGGCGCTCTTGCCGATGGTGACACCGCCGGAACGAGGACGAAAACGTCGCGCGTCATCGCTCGAAGAAGAATATGGCGATCAAGCCGACGAGGGAGGCGAAGGGCCGATGAAAGGCCGTCGACTGTTCTGACCATACCATAAATAGTAATATACTTTTGCTAGTCATTTTTGGACATTCCGAGTCATCCACAGTATCTCGGCCTTAGTTTCGATCTGCAAGCTCATGCAAGGGGTATATATATATATACCCGTACAACGATGGGTTGTGATCATAGCCCCCTGGGCAGGGGGACTACTTGTAGTTCATTGCCCGAATGCTCACTCAACTCCCCCGCCTTGCTTTATATGCGAAAATGGCAGTCGCAACAGCCGTTGACACTGTTGCGATGAAAGGCATGATGACGTTATCCATATACTTCATGTTTAGGTCTGTCTAGTCGTACCAAGCTCTGTGTGCTATGCTTCGGTGCTGTTGATCAGCTTGAGACTGTCTTGCAACTTGGCCGTGTATCGGTTGAGGGCGTCGATGATTTCGTCGTCTTCTCGTTCCCGGGTCTGCGACTCTTGGACGAGGAGGTTTTGTATCTTGGCAATTTCTTCTTGCGCCACGAGCTGGAACTTGCCGTCACCGCGCAGCCTCGTCTTGGTGTACATGTCGAGGGATTCCTTCAGCTCCGTTGCCTTGACTTCGCGGTCCCGCCGCTCCTTGGAGAACTGGTCGGCTACCAACTGCTCGTGGTCGGATAGGCGCTTGAGGATCTCCGCCTCCCGCTCCAGCCGCCGCGTTCGCTCGGCCTCGAACGCGTCCATGAAGTTGCTCAACTTGGCCGTCAGCTCGTTTGTCCGGGCTTCAATCACCTGCACATGTCCAAGTCAGCCCCCCTCTCGCAGCCACACAAATGGATAGCACCGGGTGTGCCTGTTTATATATACCTCGGGAATGTGCACTTTTTCGTACTCAAATTGGCCTTCGAGGGTGAGGATCTTGTCAGCCAGCCCTTGTAGCCGTCCGTCGACTTTGGCCATCCAGTCGGCAAGGACGCCGTCGAACTTGGCGCTCATGGCGGCGACGCTGTCGTCGCAAAGGGCTTGGAGGGACTTGTTCATTTCAAACCGCCGCTTGGTTTCGGCGTTGAGGGCTTTCTCGAGGCGGGTCATATCGGCTCGCATTTCCGCGAGGCGGTGTTCATCACGTTCCCGTCGTTGCTACGACAAAAAACTCTCGATGAGATTATAGGACGAGGATACAGCGAACGAGAAGTGTAAATGTACCCGTGTGCCAATGCGCATGTTGTCGTCAAATGATGCAAACGCGTTCATCATTTTGTTGAGTTTGGTCTTGGTCTGCGTCGTGGCCAATGTCCCGACCGCGTCATGGGACTCGTCCTGTTGATTCCTCCGGTCAGGAGCGTCGACGTGTGCCGTCGTCGACTCCATCGCACTCAAACTTGAGATTAGTCTAGACGAGTCGTGTGAAACGGTTTCAAACAGCGTGACGGTTGAAGAAGCTGGCGGTTACAAAGGGCACAGTGCACAATATGTCGCTCGCGGTACCGATCAAGGACTTGGACCAATGGACGCATGTGAAGGAAACCAACGCCGACAAACTCATTGGTAGGTACAGTCGTCAATTCGTATGATCGTCCAGGTTTCCGAGCTACCGAATGTAGTGGTGGATGTCTACCAAGACTGGTGTGGACCGTGTCGAGTGTTGGAACCCACGTACAAACGTATCAGTACCGAGACTCCAGGGGGCGACTCGAGGGTGCTGTTTGCATCTGTACGATTGCTTGTCAAGGGGATGCTGCATGTAGTACAGTAGTCATGTGGCACGATAGGTGTCGGCGACGTTGAAGATTGAAAACATTGCCGACAACCAATGCTGCAAGCCTCGCTTTGTGCTCTATCGGGTAGCAACCTCAAGCCCCAATTGCCACTGGAAGGAAGACTGACAGCAGGAATGTGCATAGGACAAGAAGATTGTGAGCGACATTGTTGGTGTGAACGTCCCAACGCTGGAAGCAGCAGTGAAGCAAAATTTGCCTGCGCGCAAGAGCGACGACGATGGAGACCCGTAGAAAGGCTGGGTCTACTAGAACCATAATGGAACTAAAACATGTATGTGATGTTATAAATGCTGACGTCAACCAAAATTGTTGTCAACGCCAAGAGGGCTGTCGAGTTCAAACGAAGGCTCAGAGTCGGTCGAACTGCAGCTGTACTCGTCGGGGGAGTTCATGGGGACCAGCGCCTGAGTGTCCACAATGTATCCAGAGGGACAAAAGGAAGGTGGGGAATGGGGGGGTGGAGATGGCAAAAAAGACGCGGGGGTCTCGTCGTTCTCTTGGTACAAAGGATCCCTGTAGACACACACGATCTCGTGGTCAATACATCAAACGGGGGGTCAGAGGGGGGTAGCGAGGACAAGATGGGGCGCCACAGATGTGAGGAGATGTCATCAACGCCCGCGTCACATTTTCCAAACTTGCACCGCTTGCATTGCTCTCTACGTCCAAGATCGACATAATGCGCAAGGGCATGCCAATTATGGACGATAAAAGTACCTGTAGGAAAAGTTCTGTGGTGGTGCCTCGTGAGGTTGTGTAAAAATCTCAATCCCCAAACAAATATCATGCAGTTTACGTGGTTGCCACAGCGACCGCATTTCCAGTCACCCTGTGTCATGGATAAAGTTCAGGGGTCAACTGTGGCGTGTGGTGTAGTCCAATCATACCGGCCACCAAATTGTGTTTGCCTTTCGTTTCTTTTGTGTTTTCTGAAGGAGATATAAGTTAAGGTGACAATAATGAACACTCGTGGCATACAGGGGGTTCCTGTGGAGGCCACACATCGTCGTCACAGTCATTTTGCGGCTGTAGCTGGATTGGATCCCTACAAGGAGCACGTCGTGTTAGGAAGGGACAATATCATGACGGTAGGTCCTGCTTGAGGGCTTGGAATGCCGGCAGTGCGAAGTACTTTCTCTTTGGAGGACTGACGTGGATATCCCGCGTGTGTTTCACGATCCAAATGAGCTCGTCGCCCTGGTTGCTGGGAACCTCGTCGTTCTTGGACTGAGAGTCAGAATCATGCATGGTTTGATTGCATCTATGAGCCCACCCATCACACCTTTCCGTAGGAAGATGCGAAGTTATTAGTGTCATGCTTACTCGTGCCACATGTCGACGTCTTCGATTCGAATGTCGTCATCTTCGCCAAAGCTCCATATGGATGAGAACGTTGACCCGTTTTGGTTGAGGCGCTTGGTCCAATCCACACCAGGAAGTGGAGGCAACGACGGTCGTATGTTGTTCATGGTGATGTCCTAGACATAGACGCAAACACGTCCGCCTCATGCAATCAGTCGCGAGTGCTGGATGGTTCCATGTCCAGTTGATGGGGCCTCCTTTCGTCGCGCTGCGTCCGAGGTACCTGTGTTCGCTCGTCGTACGTCAAATTCGAAAATGCTCCAGAAAGGACATGCAATAAATATCCGGATATATATTCCGGATAAGCGTAGATGGTCGTGTTTTCTTGTCATCCACTGCCGAGTACATCATGGCGAAGCGCGTGGTGACGTTCGTGACTGGAAACAAGAAGAAGCTCGAAGAAGTGGTGGCGATCCTGGGCAGTGACTTCCCCTTTGAGGTGCGCAACGTGTCCTTGGATCTCCCTGAGCTGCAAGGCGATCCCGAGTACGTGTCGGCGGAGAAGTGCCGCCTGGCCGCGGCTCAAGTGAATGGACCGGTGTTGGTCGAAGACACATCGCTTTGCTTCAACGCGCTTGGAGGCCTTCCCGGTGTGTACATCAAATGGTTCTTGGAGAAGACTGGCCACGTGGGTTTGAACAACTTGCTGGCAGCGTACACTGACAAGTCCGCGTATGCACAGTGCATCTTTGCATTCCAGGACTTCGATCAAGGCCAACCGTTGAACGACCCCATCCTCTTTGTGGGTCGCACCCACGGCAAGATCGTTCCGGCGCGGGGTAGCACCGACTTTGGCTGGGATGCCGTGTTCCAGCCGGACGGGTTCGACCAAACGTTTGGGGAATTGGACAAGGCGGTGAAAAACACCATCTCGCACCGCTATCGAAGCCTCGAAAAGCTTCGCGAGCACGCAACCAAGCAATGAATTGACCTTTAAACCATCGTGAAATGGAAATGCCTTTCCTTCAAACGGACATACCGACGATGTATACTCATTAATGACTTCCAGTAACGTTAACTACGTCGGTACAGATGAGGTAGGTATTCGTATGAGATGATGTATATAGTCCATGAGTCCAGGGGCAAGAAGGTCATTTTCACACATCAGTGAAAGCGCAGCGTTCGCATTGTGCGCTTTAGATCTACATCATTCAATTTACTGCGCTGCTGTTGTTTGTACCTTGTCTGGTGACTGCCACGGTGTGCGTCGTGTGTGATTTGTTGATGTTATCTCACAGTACTGTAATGTATTATGTACTCCTAGTACTACGTAGTACCAATTTCAGAGTAGTACTTCCGTAGCTAGTACTAGTACTACGTAGTACATACCACTTGGTAACTTACACTGTGTACTGTCAGATTGCGAATCCAACACAAACCGATTGTAATGCACACATGTTTTGCGTCCACAGTGTCGCCACTGATAGCCCCATCAATGGCCACCCCTTTGAGTTGCCCCTGTCAACAATATGTCGGTCTTTGGAGCCTTAACGATCGAAGGTGGTGAGACAAGTGGACTGTCAAGATCGTCACTCCAGACGGATGAAACCGACAAATATCTATGTGAAACCGGCATATGTGCTTTCAATTGGATGGAACCGATTGCGGTCATTGGACGCGTCCACGCGCTGGACGACAAGAGTGGCGGCGATCACACCGTGGGGCTGGGTGTGTGTGAATCCACTGTCACGTGGATCCATCACGCCGAAGAAAAGCAGTTTGTGCTCAACCACATCGTCGACGCTTCCGAGTCTCCGTCCTGTGTCGTGGGCGGGGACATGATCGCAGCCGCGGCTGCCGGCATCAACACTGCCGTGTTGGCCATTGGACAGGTGGGGGCTTCGTCCTCATTCCCAATGGCGTCGTTAATGCGGTCGTGTTGTAGCAAGGCTCGGGCAAGTCCACCACTCTCTTTGACCCTGATGGGTTGATCGCGTACGTAACCAAGGGACTGCTCAACGAGCAATGCACTGTGAGCCTCAGTCTCGTCGAAGTCTACGGCGATGTCGCCACCGACGTGCTGCATGGCAAACCACATGCCTTTCGGCCTCAATTCCATCGATTGATCGGAGGCTACGGCCCGGACGTCACGCGCATCGAGCTTACAGACGCAACTATGCTGAAGCAGGCACGTCAATGACGAGAATGCTTCTATGGTGCAGCTTTGAAAAGCGCGAACTACTAGGTGTTGCGGTTAGCCGTTCGCGCCATGGCCATCGATGCAATTGCGTCCAACAAAACAACGACCAAGTCTAGTCGCGTTGTGACGTTGCACGTGGTCTCGATGGGCGGCGCATGCTGGTCACGGGTGGACTTTGTGGACATTGCAGCCTCCGCCAACACCCGCAGCCCCCTCGGGGCGTCAGACGTGGGGTTCCGACTTGAGCAGGTGCTTGTTTGTGTTGAGACGGTCTATTAAGAACTGGACTTCGTAGGGACCGACGACCTTTGCCGAGTGCGTGAAGCTCTTGGCGGACGATCTGCCATTGGACAAAGTTCCGTTGCAAGCGTCGTCGTCGTTGGTACGAAATCCCCGTAACATATGTTGACGCACAAGCTTCCTGTCACAGGTGACGATGCTGAGCCACACACTTGGCGGGCGATGCAAGACGTTTGTGATTGCGCATGTCATCCAATCTGCCCTTCACAACGAAGTTCGTACAGTGAGAATGGTCTTACCACCCAACATACTGATGGGGGACGTCGGTAGGAGAACCTCGTAACACTTCGACTCGCCATGTTGCTCCGAGGCATAAACAATCCAGTGGCGCCCAATGCATTGGGCCCGACCGCAATCGTCACACAGCTTGAAGGTGACTTGCAAGGACTGCGAGATCACTTGGAGCAGGTGAAGCGACAATTGAATCGCGAGTCCAAGTCATTGCACCACGACAGCCTCGAGCTGGACCACCAGCACACACGTGCAACCATCAAGAACCTCGAATCCCTCGTCCATACCTTTCAGGTACATTTATTCCCATCTAGGGAGACATAACTTTGGCCATGACTTGGTTGTGCACGTAGAAACCCGCCCTGGAACGAACTGACGACTGGCTCAAGTTCAAACGACGCGTCGACAACGACGAAACGAAACTGGGCACAAAGGTTCTGGCGTGGGATCGCACGGTGCATCATATTCACCTGGTCCGGCTACACGACGACCGCCTCTTCAGCGGTATGATTGGATACCACGTGGCCGCCTCCGACAGCAAGATGAGTCGGGACAAGGGCGCCGACGTCGTTCTCTTCGGAGGGGGCGCTGGGGCTGCCAGTTGCGAGCTACAAGTACCGGAACCAGGAACCGTTGAATTCATGGTGGCCATGCCTGGGACGACATGCTTGATCAATGGGCTGCCACTTACTGTGGGGGCAGCACCGCGCCCGCTAGCTCATGGGGATACTCTAACTTGCGGGCGTCGCAACGTCTTTCGCGTCGTCAACCCCAACGCGCCAAGCCAAGAGGATGACCATGATAACCAGCACGTCCGAAGTAACAGCCGGAAAGACTGGCTAGATCGCGGGGCTGTCCTTCAGTCGTACCGGCATCCACTAGCGGCTGGTTTGACCCACGAAGACGCCCAGCGCCGCTGCCACGTTGCCCTAGCGTCCATCCTCGAGAGAATTGCCTCCATCCGTACCATGTTTGCGCAGAGCGTGGTGGATCTAGACGACGAATCGGATGTGCATGATGTGATTCTTCAGGTAGTCGCGTCAATGTTGTTGTTTTCGTTGCATCATTGGACGTTGATATAGCGAGGCGCCGCCCCTCCGCCCAAATACATGGCCACCCACGTCCGCCCCGAAACCATTCGGCGGTTATCCGCGGCGGCCATCGCGGAAATGAACGTGTTGGAGTCACGAATCTACTCTCGAAATACGATGAAACTCCTGGATGCAGTTGACGAGTTTGATGCAATGTGCCACGAGATGGACACCCCCTTGACTGTGCATGCAGTCCCCATGGTCAACCACGCTGTGACCACAAACGACGACGATCCCCTGGATCGGATGCAGGTACACTGTTCGTCTTGAACCAACATTCCACGGTGAAGACAATAATGTGAGCTTGACAGCTGTCGACGGACGTTTGGGTCGTGCTGGAAAACCCGTCGAATGGTCGGGAGCGGTTGATTCTACGCCCGGCCGAGTTTGAACTTCGACTCGCGGTTTTACGCACGCTGTTCCACATTCAACCTCCCATTGCTGGGACCAATCATGGAGCCTCCCCTTCATCCCCCCAGATGCCCCCAAGTGGAGGGGGCAGTGCCGATGGGAACCCCCTGCAGCTGGCGTCGTGCGAAGAGCGCATTGGCGTGGCCAGGGTTCACTTGGGCAAGTTGGCCTACTACTTTGATGTAGAGGACGCGTTGCCGATTGTGTCGGACGCGGGCCAAGTGGTGGGGCATTTGATGGTTCAAATCCAGCCCCACGTGGCGCAAAACGACAAGAGAACGACTCACCGGAAGGACGTCGTCAAGTATGTGCACCGTGTAAATCATGACGTGGACAAAGAGGAAGAGCTACGGGAGGCGATTGGCATGGGTGTGACCGTGGCGTACCGCGTGAATGTGCGGGGGGCCCGGGGGCTTCCCCCTCAACTCACCAGCAACGTCTTTGTCGAGTACGTGTTCTTTGAAGATAGCACGGCACACGCGACAGCTCCAAGTGTGTGCAAGTCAAGACACCCTGTCATTGAGCAAGCGTTCATGCATCCAGTGCATGTCACCGAAGAGTTTTGCCAGTACGTGGCGACAGGAGCACTCGAGTTTCAGGTATTTGGGGAGTGTGTATTGCATGGAGATGAACCTTAGAGCAACGTCACCAGGTATTTGGCTATCGCGGCGAGCACGTGGTGACAGGCCCCCAGAAGAAACGAGACGAGGTATGTAAGGTGAAATATAAATCTAAGTTGGCTAAGGTCTGTTGTGTGATTATTAGATGTACTGGATGGAAATGGAAGCCAAGTCGATGCAGTCAGTGGCCAAGAGCTTGCAGGAGAAGGTTCGATCACTCGAAGCGAAACTTCACCAACAAGACGTCGAGCTCCGCATTGAACGACGTAAAACCAACACCATTCAAGCGATTCCGATCGACGGCGACGAAAGCTACCAGCATGTGCCTCAAGAGGTTGTGGAGGTTCGTCCAAAACAATTTCCACGGAGGGGGGGTGATGCTCCTCCACGGAATAGGATAAATCAAATGGACAAGAGGTTGAGGCTAAGGACGTGGACGATATGGCGTGGCGAAGGCGGCGACAATTTGACGTGAAAGTCGTTGGGGCGTTGGCCAAGGGGCTCAACGACATTCGGTCTGGCGTGTGTCTTGTCATGTGATATCATGTGATACAGTACTGAAAGGCTGAATAAACTACAGTATGGGTTGATTACTACTTCAAGTACATAGTACTAGTACTAGCTCGTACTGTAACAGTGCCGTGTTGGACTACACAGTACAGTATCATTCCATGACAAGAATCACATGTGTGATCGCAACGACAGACGACAGTGGCTTTCATCGTAACATATTACAGAACGTTGGCAGCAACTCCATGGAGTCGACCGTCATCAAATGCAATCAACTGTTGCATGCACGGTGCGTGAAATACTACATTGCTACTATGTATACGTATAGTAGTAGTACTGACGTAGACAAACCTGAGTTTCAAACTTTGGATTTGGGTAGTTATCTTTCCGTTTCAAAATCTCCATTTCATGCTCGGGGCAAGTTGTACCGATCACTTTATTCACAAAGGACGGCTCGTTGGGTACAACTATGTAGGTAACCTGTCGCAGTCAGCACTTCCAAACACTGTCATTCATCTCCATTGGACATTCCAACCTTCCTCGGCGCTATACAATTGTTCGTGTTTCAAGTGCGGTTCATCTAGATGGCCAAATTAGCATGGACACGAGCGCTGAAGGAATGGCTCCGGTTACAGTACTGTTCTTTTGACGATAAACGTTACTTGAAGTCAGACTCAATTCATCGCAAGTGCACATGGTACAACTGGGATGGTGATGTCAAGCTTTCCATCACGACAAAGCGTCCGCAGAAATGCACTTGATCCTACCCGGATTGGGTTGTTTTGATTTCCACTGCATTTGACTTGACTATAATATAATACAAACAAGTGAAATGATTTGCGTAAGCAACAGTGGTTGCAGGAAATTCGTCGTGTATTGTGTGGATTCGATACGAATCTCGCCGCCAAATCGAATCACGAATCGACGCTATTGGCTAATCCATTTTTGAGTGGATTTGATTGGCTCTTGCATTCAATATTGTTCGACACACCACGCGAATTTGGAAGTTTATAGCGAATAAATACTATATATATCGTCACATTTTATGAACGTTTGAAAACGACGTGCCCATTGAATGAATGGACCACTCGAACATGGTCCCTAGCCCCCAATTTCAAGTTCAAGTGTAAGAGCAACAAGTCGATGATAACAGCCGAGTGACTGGGGAGCCAGCCCCTCGGAAGTACATAAAAATGTGTTTTTCTCGCGGTTAGTAAAGTGAGTTGAAGCTGAAACCAAGTGGCCCCATGCATCTGAGCCAAATTTTGACGCAAACGAGTGATGCAGAACGCGTCGCGCTGCCATGATTTCATATGATCGTCGTGCGTTCGTCAAGTGTGTGGGGTATACAACCGGCCGGCTGTCGTCGCCCGCCGAGCCACTGACAGCTCCAGGTCCAGTATAAGTTTAGAATTCACACCGACGACGACGGCACACTGTAGCAAAGCTCATTCCGATGTGGCCAACGCAGATACTACAAGTATGCGACACATACAAGACGACACCTGGGAGTACGATTGATTGCAACAAGACAACCTATGGATAAATAACTACAGCGATATTCTACGTTTCAAACATTTCCATGAAATAATCCAGAGATTCCCCCAACGAAGGCAGCGCGTCCACTTGGCACGGCGACGGGCTCGCGTCCATCATAGCCAACAGCTTGAAGCAGTCTTGTGTCGAGAATGCCAACGGCTCCAAATCATCCGGCTCGTCCGCCTTGGTCAATTCGCTTGGCTCTTCGGGGGAAAGGGTCGCCGCCTTTTTCCGGTGGAGGGCTTTCTTCGTCGACCGGTGCTTTGCTTTCTTCCTCTTGACCGCCTTGTCGGTGGGTCGTTCAATATAGTTTGGTCGTCGGCCGTCCTCTGACTCGAACGAGATCTTCCGCCGGCGACTTAGCCCTCGGTCCCACCGCGCCAACTTCTCCTTGTACTTTTGAGCGTGGGTTTGGGTCTGTCGGACGTTACGCGTCCGGACGTGGGCGGCAATCACCTTCCACGGCCCCAACGGGAACAGCTTTGTGGCGGCGAGGAAACGTTCGTGCTCGCTACGAGTCCACGGCCCTTCGCCTTCATTCATGTGCGACATCGATGTCGCAATGTTGGGAGATGATGCCGACGCAGTGGCCACAGGGGATGTAGCCATGGCGGGGGGAATTCCAAAGTGACAAGTATCTTCGTTGTATTAGTTGCGTTGTTGATTGGAACAAATCGTTGAAGTTTGGCAACCAACGTTTTCAGACCGACCAAACCAGCTGGCGTGGACTACACTGTAGCACCAGGTGCACCTGTGCCCCTAACTGTAAAGTTAACACGAAACCAGCACAACGCAACTGCACATTGCACTTTACCGAGTCCCACCAACGAGATACAGTAAGTACGTACGTAGTCGTCGAGTTGTGTGTTCGCCTTCGTCGATAGCAAGGACTAGCAACTTCTTCCAAAGCGGCGGCCCTGAATATACTCACTAGTTATCCTAGGAATCGACTTCAACTTGACACCAATCTGAAAGGGAATAACGTGTTCACGACGACCACATGCGTCATGTGATGGTCTTCATTTTTACGACCAAATCGTTTCGTGGGCACCACCTGGGGCCAGTAAAAGTGGTCAGTTTGTTCGGCGGGCTCGAATTTGTTCCATGGTCAGTTAGCCCTTGTGATTATGCCACTCTGCATAAACAACGTGGCATACCTCCCCAGAGAATCTTTCCACCCGCCTTGAGCTTCGCTCCGCCGGTATGTAAAACAACACTTTGGTTGTCGTCACCAACGATCGGGCCTCGCACAAGGCCAATTCAAGTGCGTGCGTTCGTCCTGTAGCGACTTAAAATCGTCGTACAGTAAGTGCAGAGCGTGTAATTCTCAAGGTGACTGACCAATCATTTTCTTATGAACATACTGATTTCACAAGCGAGCGAGCCCAGCTTTTCCCTCCACGCTCCTTCCAAGCGATAGACGACGTGAAATTGGCTGTCTGCCGTTTTGAATGGATGGTTCCCCGCCCTTTGTAGCTACAGTAATTTGCACCACTAAAGTAGGACCCCAATCTCAACTTCATGTCGGTGGCCCTCTCCCCCTCAGCCTGTCTAGCGCATGTCAGAACACGGTGCTATACAACTACGGTAGTTACATCGCTTGTAAACGTACTTCATGGAACGTTGACTTGATGTCGCTGTCTTGCAATTTGCTTGTTGGGTTTCAACATTCTACAGTATTCCAAAATGACGTGGCACCACGCGGTGTATATTCGAAAAACACGAAGTTTCGGTTGCCGTTACGATGTGACTTCGAACTTCGTGTTTTATACTACTTAGCACTAATTCGTATATGCTCGACGAGCCACGTGAGGCGCAGTACCCGTCGTCGTCGGTTGTCCATCGCTTCCCATACCAGCGTCCGCCTTCCCCGAGTCCGCTCCTTCATCGAGTCCGAGACGTCACCAAGCACCGCCACTCGGACGATCTCGACGACACCACCAGCAGCATCATCATGGGCACGAAAGGGTTCGAAGCCATGGACATCGAGAGCTCCAACGGCCTTGCGTCCAAGGCCGCCAAAGCTCTGTCGCCAGCCCGAACACGCATGGGAGCCCTCGTCGTGGCCCTCATTCTTGGTGTGCTCTTCGTCGTGTTGGTCGTGAGTTTTGCACAAACGTCGAGCATTCGCGTGGATTCGGACCTGCCGGCGTCCGTGGCCGCGCTCATGAACGTGAACGCGTTGCCGTGCTCGGACTTTTACGAGTTTGCGTGCGGCGGGTGGCTGGCCAACACATCGCTTCCGCCCGACCGCCCGTCGTTCTCGCGGTCATTCTCCGGCATTCAAGATGCCAACGACGACTTGTTTCGCACGATCCTCGCTGAAAAGTGGCCGCTCGTGTCCGATTTGTACGACTCGTGCATGAACACGAGTGTGCTCGACGCACTTGGCGCGGCCCCCCTTGGTCCAGATCTCAATGCGATTCGAAGCACCAAGTCCAAACACGAGTTGCTCGCGCTGGTCGGCGCATTGTCCATGAAAAGCGGAATGAACTTCTTGTTCCCGGCGTACATTGACGTGGACGAGCAGCGTGGACACAAAATGGTACTGCATGTTGAACAAGGTAGGGCAGTCAGTTCTGTATATTGATGCTATTGCTTGTGGAAAGAGTTATGACCCTCTCCATTTCTTGATATTGTGTGCTTTGCAGAAAAATTTCGACGTTTGCGTCAATTTGACAATAGCGTTGGACCCTATTTCAGCTTGTTCAAGCTATTTGATACATGATATAATAGATTTTGCACAATGATGATATAATAGATTTTGCACAAAACTCAATCAACTCTTTGGATTGGCAGAAATTTGAAAGCATATTATTTGATTGGCTTAGGCGGTTCTTTACTGTTAATTATTAGGGCTTGTTCCTAGTCGATATATTTAGCAAATGAAAAAGTGGTTCCAAATACTTTTTACCTCTTTTTCTGCGATTTTTCACGCAGCTCACTATACCAAAAGTAGAAAAAAAGTCGTCTTTTTCTAATTCGTGAAAAACAAGAAAGATGTAAATCGATCTTGATTGGCTCATGCTGTTGCTGAAAACTTAAGCTGCTGGCGGCTTGGATTTGACAATGTTGACTTCGACATGTGATGACGACACCCTCAGGCGGGATCACATTGCCTGATCGCGAGGATTACGTCAACACGACGCGGTTCACCAAGCTCGACGCTCCGTATCGATCGATGATCACGTCATTGATGACGTTAGCCGGGTGGTCGGACGACACCGTTGCAGATACTGTCGTCTCGTTTGAGACCGTCGTGGCCCAAGCCATGCTGCCAAAGGCGGCGCTCCGCGACCCGAACGCCACGTACAACCCGACGACCAACATCTCTGGCACGTACCCCAGCATGTACGTGGCGCTCCGTGGCGCGAACATTTCTCTGGATGACACGACGCGCGTCATCGTGGTCACCCCCGCCTTCTTCCGCGCCGCCGAGACGTTGCTGAGGCAATCATCGTTGCAAGCATTGCAATCAGTCGTCGCGTTTCAGTTCGTGCTGGCGTCGAGCGGGGGGCTCGCGGCGTCGTTTCGGAATGCCACGTTTGCTTTCTTTGGCCAAACCATCTACGGACTCCAGACGATGCGGCCTCGGAGTCAGCAATGCACAGACAAGGTCAACCACCATCTCGGTGAACTCATGGCTCGGTATGAACATCACTCAACTAGGCACACTTATTCTGTCCTTTTCGGTGACTTGTTGGTCTGATGCTAGTTGTACTCCACGAGTAGTCCTCAAATGTCTTGTTGGACTGATTAGTACTCAATGAGTACTCCTGTACGAATGAGTACTACTACTAATGAGTAACTACTGATATATATTGAGTACTCATTCACGAATGTGCGGTGTTTTTTTTCTTTTGCATTAGGGACTGGTTACTGTAGTACTCAATGAGTACTACTACTAATATGAATACCGATCATCGTGAGTACTCATGCACGAATGTGCGGTCTGTTTTTTTGCGTTAGGTACTACATCCAGAGAAAGTTCCACCCCGAGTCGTTGGAGAGTATCCAAGACTTGGTGGACGACATCCGCAGTACATTTCGCAGTCGACTAGAAAGAAACCATTGGATGGACGACAGCACTCGCGCCACAGCCGTGTCGAAATTGGACGCCATGACACAACTCTTGGGGTATGAACAGTACATTGTCGTTGAAGGGCATCGTGGAGATATCATTTTAGCCAACAAGAAATCTGAGGCACTTCTGATGGCCATGGATGTTTGTAGGTACCCCACGACCCGAGACGACTACCCCGTGGTACTCACTCGCAGCGATTACTTTGGCAATATCCAAACGCTAACGCAATTGAACCACATGCGCGCTGTCACATTGCTGCACACGGAGGTGGACAAGACCAGGTGGAGCATGCCCGCGCACGCTGTCAACGCGTATTACAACCCGACGTTCAACCAGATTGTGTTTCCAGCGGGCATTTTGCAGCCGCCCTTCTTTGATGTGGATGCGGATGCAGCGATGAACTACGGCGCCATTGGCATGGTCATTGGGTACCACCCCCTTTCTTATCACATATGAAGTTGCAAGGAGGGGGGGTTCAATGCATAGAGTAGACACGAAATCACCCACGGGTTCGACGACCAGGGCCGCAATTTTAACGGCGACGGGCTGTTGCAACCGTGGTGGAGCGACAGCACGGCCGCGCAATTCCAAGACAAGGCCAAGTGCATCGTCGACCAATATGCAAACATGCCAGTGTACGGCCACAAGGCGACGCTGCTGGGCATGGTCAACGGTCAGCTGACGTTGGGCGAAACGATCGCCGACGTGGGGGGCCTCGCGGTGGCGTTCCAGGCGTATGCTGTCCGCATGAAAAAGGCGGCGGTGAATGGCAAGACCTATGTGCGTCACAGCAACTGATCGACACCTGCATCTCATGAACGGTAGTAGACATCGAGCGACACATTGGACCAGCTGTTCTTTTTGAGTTTTGCCCAGGCATGGTGCCAAAAGAGTACCGACCAGCACCTTCAGGTACACGTAATAGTAAGCGATGGCGTGACTTGTTGGGATGACAGACACGTGATCAGGTATCGCTGGATGACGTCCACCCCCCGGCCAAGCAGCGAGTCCATGGCGCCGTCATGAACAACGACGACTTTGCTCGGGTATTCAACTGTCCTGTTAACGCTCCATTGAATCCCGTCAAGAAATGCCGAATCTGGTAGCAGCAGCAGCTAGGGATTCACAGGAATATAATACTTCGAAGTAATAACGAGAATATGCATGGAATGCGCAATGCGAACGACAAAAATATTCGCCAAAACCAGAAGTACTCGATACACAATTGCCAAAACATGAAGTGTGTTACTACTGTAGTAGAGGATTCATGTTTTGTCACTATTTTGGCGCCCTTTGGCGGGACATGACGACGAGTGATTAGGCGCCGTTACCATTATTATTACCGCATTTAGCGTCCATGGCCGAACCGACAACGTCATCACGTGGCGTGCTGCGGTGGGGCATCTTGGGATGTGGGAAGATCAGCAATGACTTTGTCATGGGTCTAGCCCTCGTGCCCAATGCCCAAGTGGTGGCATGTGCATCCAGGACGCTCGATGCCGCCGTTGCATTTGGCGCGCTGCATGGTATGGCCCAGCACCCACGACCATGCGTGCATGAACAGGCTACCTCTGTCTAGGCATTCCGCAGTGCTACGACTCGTACGATGCGCTGTGCCGGGACCCGACCATCGACGTCGTGTACGTCGGCACGCTGCACACGTACCACCACCCGCACACGATGCTCGCCCTCTCCCACAACAAGCACGTGCTTGTGGAGAAACCCATGGCGCTGAATCGCCGGGACGCCGCGGACATGGTGTCTCTCGCGAAGTCCAAGGGCCTCTTCCTCATGGAGGCCATGTGGACGCGGTTCTTTCCCGCCATTCGCCACGTGCGGTCGCTGCTCGCCGACGGCGCCATCGGAGACGTCCACGCCGTCCATGCCGACATGGGCTTTGCGTTCCCAAGTTCCGCTGATCGCATATGGAAGCGCGACTTGGGCGGCGGCGGGCTCTTGGACATTGGTACGATCAACTACCCTCGACGCCAACCCCTCACACTTTTTGCAACTTCAATATAACCCACGACATGTACATGTATGCAGGCATCTACCCGCTGGCGTTTGTGTCCATGGTATTCCCCCACGAAATCCCCGTCCAAGTGCACACCGTGGGCAGCCTCTCGGACGACGGCGTCGACGTGTTTGCAGTTGTGACGTTGCAGTACCCCCGCCACCGCTACGGCACGATCCAGTACTCGTGTTTGGCCGACTTTCGCGAAGAAGTGACGATCTTGGGCTCCAAAGGTCGGCTGGTCATCGACGCCCCGGCGCACACCCCCACGCGCGTGCGTGTGGACCGCGGCACGGGTGACGCGGAGCTGTTCGAGTTCGCCCTCCCCAAGCCTGCCGTCTCCGCCAGCGCATTCAACTTTGGCGGGTCCGTGGGCCTGAGCTACGAGGCGGCGGCAGTCACCCGAGCCATCCTCCATGACCGTGCGACAGAGTGCGCGGAATACCCGCTGTCCGAGTCGCTCTTCCTCGCCGGACTTATGGACACCATCCGGCGGGACCTTGGGGTCGTATATGACGCGGATTTCACGCCGAGTTACTTGTAGACACTCTGATTTGTGTGGACATTACTACGTAGTAGTTTGCTTCAAGGTCTCTAATGAATGTGAACACATGCCGTAAGTTTCAGCGTCACTGGCATAGGCACTTCCAACCAAATTCGTGTAACTTTGTTAACATGATTCATCGATGGTTTGAGCACGAGCATTGCCGAGGTGTATGAGGGGAGGAGAAGATATCACATCATGCTGCCTGTGCTTTCGTCCCCTAGGTCATCTGTCGCATGAAGGTTTACCACCCTCGTCGCCGAGTCCAGGCTCCTTTGGTTGTTCGCGGATGGCTGCCCGGGGGCGTCCTCGATCGTCGAGGTGCGCTCCATATTCCACATGACAAAGTTCACCATGACTTTGGTTGGCCATGTGGTGGAGCTGTTGGTATCGCGCGAACGAAGCGATGGCCGCTTGGAAGGCGCCCCCTTTGGTCCCGCTTCGGGTTTTTGCCCTGCGGCCCTACTTACGACACGAATAACATTCCACTGCGTCTGAGTCCATGCATCCACTGAGCTGTTCGCGACACATCGGACATGTGCGTTTGATGGCAGGACCTTGAGCTGCACATGCCTGCAGCAAGCACACTCGACTACGCAAGCCAATAGTACACATACAGTATCGTCAGCAATGGGGCAATACGTACACTACGAGCAGTGTAGAACGTGTGCCCACATCCCAAGCCCAAGGACGTACCACGGACCGATTCCTCGTCATGAAACCAACACAAGAAGGGCAGAGGCAATGCCCAGGATCGATGTACAGACAATCGTAGCAAGTGATGCACTGGAGCTCCTCCAGCACTTGGATCCGGTCGGCCATGGGCTGCAGTTGCTGGCAAAGGTGCTTCTTGATAGCCAAATATAATCACCCAGTGCTGGAAGGCAACAAATTGCAAGTTGGTCGACATTTGCTGCCGGTATATAGCCAGCCTGCCACGGAAGGGCCCGCGGCATCCATCGCGACACACGATACCCCGCATCCATACATATAATGATGTTGCTGCTACTCATACTCACGACGAGGAGGACTTTGATTGTTGTATCGGCATGGGTATTGGAAGTAACATAGTGTACAATACTATTGACGTACAGTGAACCAGCAATGAAAACACATAAACTGGTTGCATGCATCGATTCCACGACATTGCATCTTGTGTGTGTGCTGCCTTTCCAAGTGATTTTCGGTGGCCGCACAAGACAAGTGCATTAACTGACCTTTCGACTAACCACACAGCACACACTGCCTCGATCAGTGGAGAGTCTCACAAGCTACGAACTACTGTAGCAGCTAATTCCACTTGGTTGCTTCTTTGGACGGTGTGTCGTCATTGATCTTGCCACATATCACCATGAAATGTACATCTGTAGCTTGGAACCCAGCCACTTAGTCATACTCGTCATCTCCATCGCTCGCGTCTTCTATTGCATATCGCCGTCGTTTGCGAGCTTGGAGTGGACGCACGGACGACATGTCTTCTTCTTCTTCTTCCGAGGACGACGAGTCCACTTGGCGGCGGCGGCGCTTCATGGACGACGCGGGCACCACCACCACCTGATCCTCGTCGTCTTCATCTTGTTTCTGCTCGTCGTCTCCGTCCACCCGACGTGCGGCGTGCCGGTCCGCGACCTCCCCAGCTTCGTCGACTACAATGTCATCACCCCCGCTGTCGTCACCCCCGCTGTCGTCGTCCCCAACGTGGTCATTGTCGTTTAGGTCTTCTGCATCGTTGAACTCGTCCGACTGTCGCCTCCGCCTTCGGCTGCTCGTGTTTTCATCTTCTGACGCCAGGAACGAATCGTCGCTGTCGTATGTGTTCTCTTCACCTTCGTACATCATGTCGTCTTCGGAGTAATCGCCTTGACTGTATCGGTGAAGCGTCCGATGCTGCGGTCGATCCATGCCGCCGCCCTGGACGAACCTCCGGGCACGGAGCGCCCGCTCTCGCTGCTGTTGGCGGGCATCCAACACCCCCCCGGCCACGCCTCGTACTCCCCCTCCTCCTCCATCGACAATGCGCGCCATGATCTCGATAAACACCTCTCGCTCAACGTCTTCGATTCGAAACACATACTCCCCTACACGAGATATCAACGTACTTCTCACAAGTCTTATCAAGCGAGGGCGATTCGGTGCGATCGTGTACAGTACCTGCTGGCACGTGCAACCTTAGGTTCTTGAACTCAATCATGCCGTGGCTGCCGCTGGTGGTGCGCGAGAGCACGAGCTCCCGAGGGTCCTCCACGGAGCACACTGTGAGCCGGACGTCGCCAAAGTACTGGGGCAGCACCAGCCGGTCGTCTTCTCCGCTTTCTGCCATGAACACGGGAAACCCTTCAGTCTGTTCTTCGTCCTACAATCCACGTCACCATCACACCAACGCGGACGTAAATACATGTCGACACCGCCGCCGATGACGACTGTGTCCTTGCATGACAACGCTCCATATACGCGCGATGGCGTACGTACCTCTTCGAGCTGAAGCAGCGCCACGAGGCAGTCCTGGCCGTCGTCCGCATACGCTTCTAAAATGCTAGGAAACTCGACAATGCCAAACGCATTCCTACAACGAGAATGATGATCAGCTAGCTAGCTACACGGAGATGACTAAGGATGAGGGGGGAGACGAGAAGGAGAAGAAGGGGTAGGTACCGCATGGTGAGGTGTCCGTCCGTGTTCTCGTCCTGCTGGTCCACGACAATGTTGCGACGGATGCGCAGCTCCTCGGCCTCGAGGGTTTCCACGCGCACCACCCACGGGTTCTCGTCGTCGTCGTCGTCCGGGTCGGATTCCAGGGCGCTGTGCACGTCGTCATCCAAGATCTCGATTTCTTCTTGACCGTTGACGCCTTGGTGGATTTCAACGCGGTAGCGTCGTCGGTCGTCGGGGTTCTCCCCGACATGCACATGGAAATTACGGTTAAGTGCGGGGGCATTGTCTTCTGCTGCTGAAAGCATCAAGCGGCGGAGCTGTTGGTGTAGCTCGAACGAGGCCTTGGCCGCTTGGAACGCAGCCTCTTCGTCCGCTTCGGGCTTGCCCTGGGGGTACATGATACGTATGACATTCCACAGCGCCAGGTTCACGTTCAGCGAGTCCATGCATCCACAGAGCGGTTCGCGGCACACTGGGCATGTGCACTTGGTGCCTTGAGCTGCACCTGCCTGCAATAAGCACACGCGACTATGCAAGTCGTCAGTGTCATGCCGACCAAAGTGTTCTAAGATACGTATTCGTACCAGAACGTATGCCCACACCCCAAGCTCAAGGGCTAAAGCGACATACACGGAGAGATTCCTCGTCATGACCAGCACAAGAAGGACACCGACACTGCCAACATATGTGTACCTTGTACAGACACTCGTGGCAGATGATGCACTGGAGCTCCTCCAGCACTTGGTTTCGATCGTCCATGATCCGTTGCTGTTTTTTGGTAAAGTATGATGGTGGAGTGTTTTACCGTTGCCTCAAATACATGTTAATTTCCCTATGCAATAAAATACATTTGAAAGCCAATCATATGTGAGGATTAAAATCCATTGGCCAATCAATTGCTGGAATTCATCATCCTGCCAAGTGCTTCCAAATGAATGAACTTCGCCGCGAAGTCCTGCATGTGTACAAGGCGTGCCTGGTATCTGCGTCCAAGTGTCCGCAACACGTCCACCGCGAGACGATGCGTGCCTACGCACGCTTGAAGTTCCGTGATAAGATGCACCTCCGAGATGTGCAAGCGGTCAAATTGTGTCTCGCAGACGCCAAGGAAGAGCTCGAGCGAATGGATTACTACCACTCGATGTACCGCGCAGGACAGGCTGACAAGGTCACTGCCTCCAGTGTTGGCGTACCCGTGTTGGCTTCCCATTGTCCCAATTGCAACCACTCGTTCGAGTCAGCCGTAATGCGGTTCTGTGCACTCTGTGGCGTGCAGCGGCCCAACATCGTGTCGTAATCTCCGTCTTATAACAAGAGGATTACTAGTATACAGATAGTTGCAAGTTCTATTGAGATTTGCTACGCGATTACACGCCTATTCGGTGGCGCACAGCAACGCGACTCCCCGTAGTGTCCAATGGACTGGCCGATGTTCCCTTGATGGCATGGTCACAGTGAAGAGAAGGTACCGATCAGTGCGGACGGGGTACTTGTACACAGGGCAGTCAAAGCCTCCATACGGGCCGTAGTCGCCACTTCGGTTCTTCTTGAGGAGTTTGGTCGTGGCCGTCACGTACAGCACCGGGAGCGGCGCAAACAGTTTCTTGGGCTCGGACTCGACCAGCGTCGCGTTGGCTTTATGCCACGCAGCTCCTTCAATGAACAAGCCGTGAACCAGCACGCCTTCTTTCGGTGGTTGGCGAATCTGCTCGAGCTTCTCGTACTCTGTGACTTCGGTGTGGTACACGACGTCGTCGAGTGCCCACTTATCGGCCACGTGATGCCTCGCCACCTCTTGCCGCATCGCCGTGAGAAACCCTTGTGGATTGAAAAAACCTGGTAGCCAGAAACAAAACGGTTTGGCCCGCTCGAGCCACCCCTCCAGCTGCTTGTGGCGCTCCAGCAACCCGGTGAACCACAGCCCCAGCGTGGGGGAGAACCACGAGAGCTCGTCCGCGCCTCGGTACAGCCACAAGCGCGGCACTTTAGCATCAAAGATCGCGTGAATCGTTGTGGCAATATCCGGCGTGACCACCAACTCACCCTTGATAGCAGCTTGGGCTTCCAGCAACACGCGGCGGACTATCGACATGACGGCTTGGAGTTGTTGCAGCTCCTGCCACAAGAACACATTCAACGGAACGTGCAATCCACCCAGCTTTGTTTGGATAAGCTCCAAGCTGGACTCATCCACAAACTCCTTGGGCAACTTGGTCAGCAACTCATCGCATTTGTCCAGCACCACGGCTTCGCGGGTCGCGCCCCCCCTAGCCGACGATTGCGACTTGGGCTGCGTTTCGCTCAAGGTCGTGAGCAGTGCGCCAACTTCTTTGACCCGGAACGTCAAGTCTGCGTTTGGGTGCAGGCCAAAGATCTCGGGCGAGTCCACTTTGGGAAACGATCCGAGAAATTTGTGGAATTCGTCCATGTCCGAGCCGTCGGGGATGCCGTACACGAAGTCCTGAGGAAGGCGACTGACCAACGCCTCCGGGTTGAACGTGAAGCTCGGGGCAAGGGTGCCCGGGCTGAGCCACTCCTCGCAGTACGCCTTGAACAGCCGTCTATCTAGCTCGTCGGTGATGCGGCCGCCATAATGCACTTCGGCAATCATGTACTGCAATGTGGGCCAGCTCAATGACCCAGCATACAAGTGTTTTTCCAAAAATACCATGGACGCTGTCAAGTCGGACGCGTTAAACTCGTACGGAATCGAAAACCCCAGCGGACCAAACTTGCGCCGCTCCTGCACGATCGAATGCAGAAACGACAACGCAAACAGCAGCGTCCGCCACTGGGTTGTCTCAATTCGCTCGAGCTTGTCTTGGTCCACCAGCACCGTGAAGCTCCGCAACATGCCCGCGCGGAGGCCCGCCGGTGGTTCGTTGGTGACTTTGATGCTTCGATGCAACAATGCAATCGAGAACGACGGGTGTGGCTCGGACGTGAGGAACAGCCGGAACTCGGGTGACGACAGCGCCGTGGCCTTGGTCAACGTTTCCGGCAAACTCTCCATGAAATCTAGCCCCAAGTGGCAGTTCTGCAGCAACAACCACGTGCCATTGAGCATCGCGGCCGCCATGGCCTTGGACGCGACGACATCCTGCCCTTCGCCCATGGAAATGCACTGAATGTTCACCCGTTTCTTACGAGCCAGCACCTCAATCGACTCGGTGGGGTCGGCTCCGAGACTGAGCAGGTAAATCACGGGGGTCTCATGGGTCATTTCGCTCCACACACTGTCGGTCGTGTCCGTCACGGGCTCGATGAACCGCAGCCCCATGCACGGCAACCTCCCCCCTTTAGTCTCGACGGTGTCGACCAACTTGATAAAGTCTTGCGCGGCCAGCAACGTCCGGTCATCGCGCAGACACCGGACCAGCAACAGACGAAGGAAATGGGTTTTGGCATTGGCCGCGTCGGGGTGGAACAGCAGCGTTTCGTAGTCTGGAATCGGCACCTTCTCCGGCTCGTTGTCCTCGTACCACCGCCGCCACGGCGCCTCGTTGCGCTCAATGTCGGCGACCAAATTCCGAAACTCGGGCTTGTCTTGGCACAGCTGCTGCACGTTCGTCCACGCCGGCCCACTGAGCCATGCAAACGGCTTGGGCTTCTCCGACGCATGATTCTGCTGCCGCGTGGCGCCAGCCTTGAGGAACAGCGCAATGTCCCCGCCGTCGAGCGTGTCGGCCGTGACGAGAATTTTCAGCGCCACAACCATCACGAACGCGAGCTTGTCCTTCTCGTACAATCCACGGTTCGTAGCACGGTAGACGAGGTACGTCATGGCATCGAGGATGTTATGCACCCGTTTGGACGAGAGACTGGCGCGGTCAGCAATGTCCATGGCTTTCTTGAACAGCGTGAGAAACTGGTCCAGGGACGACTGGTACATGCAATTCACAAGCGAAAAGTCGACGAGTGAAAAGTACAGCACCGACCCGCGGGTCGCCACTGGCCGATACTGCTCCCGCTTCTCGTCGATGCCGAGCTTCATGTCGGCAGCGGCCATGAGCTTGTCGTTGACTTCGGTGGCTTTGGCTTTTGTGGACGCCAACACACCGATCAAGTCCAAGTCGTCGAGCAAGTTGCCCGCGTTAGACGCGAGGCGCTCCAGCAACAGCGCGTCCAGGCCCAGCAACGCCTTGGTGTTCATGTTGACGTCAAATTGCACGCGAATGAGCTGTTCTTCCAACGACTTTTGCTCCTTCTGGATCACTTTCGCCAACAACTGGTCTTCCAGGCCTTCTTGGGTCACGGTAAAGTCTACCAACATGGTCTTGGCCTGCACTTCCGGGGCAAAGTGAGGATTTGGCAGCCGCGTGGTCATGTACAGCATGAACTGGTCGTTGTACTCGCACAACTTGTCGCCCAGCATCATGTACTTACTCTTGGCTTTGACGACAATGTTCTTCTCCAGCACCGCGTTCATCGACGGATCTAGCTCCTGTTCGACGCCGTCCAGAACCAGCGCCTTTCCTTCGCTGATGCAAAATTCGAGCTGGTCGCGCAGTTTGGGGTGGTTGATGGATAAAACGCCCGTCGTCGGCATGCGCGCCGCCTCCCTCGTGAGAATCCACGCCAGCCCTTGGCCCTGGGGGTCAATCAACAGCGGGTACTTGGAGCTCATAGTGACCAAGATGCCATTTTGAATCGACAGGGGGTCCGATGGCAGACCCTCCAAGTTCCAGTCGGTTACCGTGCCCACGTCCACCATGAACGTCGTGAGCGCCAAGTCGTGCGTCACCGGCACTTGTCGGTCGCGCAAGTCTTTGGCAAACTTCAATTTGCACAAAATATCGCGGTATTCCTTGTTGAACGGGCCGCAGTAGCTGACAAACTCGCACGCCACCGCGCAGTCCCCCACGAGGCGGAGCTTTCGATCCGCGAACCGGTTGCTCTCTTCCGTCCATCGCTTCTTCTCCCCCGCCAAGCCCTGAATCAACGCCGTCGCCTGCTCCATCTTCTTGCGGGTGGTGGTCGCGTTTTCCTCCACACGAGCCTTTTCAGCCATTTGCACTTCAAAGTCGCGCTGGAGGTTGTCCAGAATCGTCTGGCATGCCGACAGCTTGTCTTCCGCCGCGCGCAAACCGAACTGCGCGGCTTCGAGCCGCCCTTCGGCCACACGGAGCGTCTCCAGCTTGGGTTTGACCACCTTCGATGCGTGGTGGTACTTGGTCATGGCAATTACCCACGTACACAGCCCCTCGGCGGCCTTGGACGCGTTCTTAGCGACCACGGCGCTGAATCCGTCCAGTTCCAGGTACGGCATGAGCAGCTCGATGGTTTCGTCGTTGATGTTATCCTTTTCAAACTTGGAAAAGTGAAACACGTGCTGGAGGAACCGCGTGTCACTCAGCATGCCTTGCTTGGCAATGCCGTACGAATCCAACAAAAAATCCATCGCCTTCTTGTTGATGGTGATCTGCGACTTTTCGACCTTGACGACGGGATACATTTGCAGCAGCGACACGCAGTCAAATATGAGCTTGATGATGTCGCCGGGCTTGGCGAGTTTCTTGAGTTCGTTCAGATCGTTCGGCTTGATGCCAGACACCGCGCGCTCCGCCTCGTCTAAAAACGGCTGCGCCTTGGCCAAGTCTTCTTCAGCGTCTTCCTTTTCCCGCCGGATCAACACCGCGTCCACCTCACAGCGTTCCTTGATCTTGCCGACAATGTCGTTCTCTTTCTTGGCCTCCATCGACTTGACTTGGAGGTTCTCTAGCATCGTGTTGGCCGCCGCCTCGGCAACGATCAGCTTTTGCTCTTCGCCCTTGAGCATGCCCTTCATCTTTTCAACATCCGCCGCGCCTTGCACTAGTTTCTGCAACCCTGTGTTGATGCTGCTTTCGCTGCGGTGGATCTCGGTCAATTTTGCTTTGTACACGGTCTTGTACAGCGCCAAGTAGGACAAGAACGACTTGGGCGTTTGGTACACGTGGCGCCTTCGCTTTTGAAAATACTCGCCGCACACGTCCACAACCGTGTCGTGGATCAGCCCCATGTGTACGACCAGTTGGTCCTTGACCTGCGGCGCGCACTCCAGCGGGAAGTCGTCCATGAAGCCCTTGCTCACCGCCACGAGGGCATCCTGCGGCCAACTCAAGTACCAGTCCAACGTACACCCAGACACGAGCGCGGGAAACTTCCGGCAACGTTCGGCGAACCGACGATCCACGGGCGACATGGACAAGACAATGTGCAGGTTGGTTTTGACGCGGGCGAGAAAAAACTTGACGAGGTTTTCAAACGAGTCGACGTCGGTGGGCCGCGCTTTGAGCATGGCCGCGCGCAGGTCTGACACGATAAAGTTGAGTTCATCTTTTGGAAACAAATTGGGCACTTCGCCCGTCGAGAGCACGCCATTGAGGACTTCAAGGAACGAATCGTCTTTGATTTCGTTGTCCGTGCAGAGGAACACCACGCCCTTGTTCAACTGCCCCGCCAATTTGAACAGCGTCCGCCAATCTTCCAAGAACGACGCCGTGTTGTACGCCTTGGTGGGGGTGATCTGCACCAACTGCATGCGACCGAGCACCGCGGCCAGCTTGGTCAGGCTTTGCTTGCCGGACCCGCCGACGCCCACGAGCATCATGTGGCTCCTCGGCATCCCCAGCGCCCGCACGATGCGCAGCACATGGAACAGCGCGTCGTCGAACAGGATCAAGTTCACTTTCCGGCTCGGGTTGTCTCGGTTGAATACTTCCACCAAGTGCTCGACCCGCGCACGGACGGTAGAGATCGCCCCCGCGCACTCGTACACCTTGGGCGCTTCTTCGACGAGCACCCCGTCGTCGTCGCGCTTGTCGTCACGCAAAAAATCGACAAACAGTCCGGTCGAGATGTCCACCAGTAGCGGTTGTGATGCTTCGCGCTGCGACGCAGACAACCCGCTACCTCCGTTGTTTTTGCCGCCTTCCTTTGTGGGCATGGGGGCCACCGGTTTCAGCAGCAGGTTGTCCATCGTATTGTGCAGCTCGTCTTTGAGTCTTGTCTTGTCCTCCAGAGTCGTGAGGCGATCCGCAAACAGCCGCTCACATTCGTGGCGCCACAGCCGGACGAGGCCGCGGTCGACGCCGACGCCGTCAAACCCGCGCAGAATGCCCTGGAAGATCCGACCCAAGTCGCGCATGGTAAACAAGTAATGGAACTTTTGCGGCGTCGGAAGCATGACCTTGCGGAGGAACGCCCACACGTGCAGCGTGGCTGACGTCAACTTGCCGGCCATGTCGGCCACAGACTTGTCGACTCTTGGGAACCCCGCGCGCCACTTGAGCATCTGGCCGTAGATCGAGTCCACGACGTCCATCGTCGGTACGACCACGTTCCACGCAAAGAACTGACGTTTGAGGCGGTTCGGAATGTCCTGCTTGCCGTCCTTGGCATGCTGCATGGCGGCGACGTACTGGACATCTTCGATGACCTTCAAGTCGCCGCGCTTGTCCTTGTCGAGAAAGCAAAGGCCACTCGTTTCAATCAGCTGCCGCGCCACTTCCAGCGTCGGCTGGTCGCCCCACGCGTTGCACGCGGGCATGCTCAAGTCGTCCAGAAACAGTGTCATCTTCTTGCCGTGGGGCGGGCCAAAGTTCTTGCCCCCGCGCTTGTCCAGCTCCGCTTCCACCATGAGCTGAAACCCCCCAGGGGAACTCACGCTGGAAAAGATGAGCTTGCGCATCAACATGTCGTCCGTCCGGTGTTTGTCGCAAAACAGCGTTACTATCGACGACTTGCCAGTCCCCGGGCCGCCCACGAGCAGCACGGGGCGATGCGCGATGACGTGGTGGATCAAGAACACGCTTCGCGTCGTCTCCACGGTCGGAATCGTGACGCTCGTGACGTCCATGTCGCCCCCCCCTACGACAGGGGGCTCCCATGTGTCCAGACTCCACCGCTCCCAATCCATCGACGCCGGGTTCACCACGTAGTCGAACACAGTCGTCTTGGCCTGCTTGGGGATGTAGTTGGACGACACGGTCGCAAGGTACTCGTTGAATTTCACGCGGTCGTCTGCTTCGTACAGCCCCCCTACGGCCCACGCCAACGAAAACACAAAGGCGCGCTCGAGCTCCGCCGCTACATCGGTGTCGCTCAGCTCGGCCGTGGCCAGCACACTCGTGAGCAGCGTCAAGCACGACTCGACCAAGCCGCACCGGGGAAATGCCAGCACTGGACGGCACTGCCGAGACAGAAATTTAAACAGTCCGTCGTGGACAAATGTCCCAAACAGCGTCCGCAGAATCTCGCGCTGACTCGCGGCGGAAGTGTCCGCCGAGGGCCGAGAGAGGAGCCACGAATCGATGAGCGGTTGGATGCCCAGGTCCGGCTCGCTCACGTAGATGATGCCGGCGCGGGAGACAGTTGCGGGGGACGCATTGCGCAGGTCCTCGACCTCAAACATGAGTTTGCAGTTGTCCGTCATGGGGATGCGGTCGCCGTTTGCGAGGGTGAGCAGCTTGTTGTCGTCCAGGACCGTGTTGAGGTTTTCGATCCAGATGGCGTCCACGGGTCCATCGCATACGATCCACGACATGTCGCGGCGACTGCGGTCGTTGTACTTGGACCACATGGATGCAAACACCCCGTCCAACCACTCGCCCGACTGTTTGTCCGTTTCGCCAAACATTTCCTCGGGTCGGATCGCCTTGGGGTTCATGCGAATCTGCCGATGGGGGACGTTCTTACTGGATGTGAGAGCCACCTGAAGCGTCCGGAACATCTCGGACTTGCCCGTACCGGCGGGCCCCACGACCATAATGCCGTGCCGGACAAGCAGCGTCTCGTACAACTGCACGATTTTAAGTGTAAATGCCGGCGTGGGCACCTTTTGGTGCTTGGAAAGGACGTCTTGGATCAAGGGAAGCATGGGACTGGCCACGCTGGCGCTGGTTTCCACAGACGGGAAGATGTCATGCAGAAGGGACAGGAACAAGGGCGTGTCCTGCGCCACCAGTTTGGACAAGTTCATGTCCCGTAGTGTGCGCATGAGAAGCAGGTCCTCCGGTGCGTCCAAGTGGTCGCGCTTGGTCTGGCCGGCGGTTCGGAGTACCGACAGAATGTTGCGCAGCCCAAAGTCGTAGTGGTTTTGCTTGGACAATTGTTCTTCGCACAGCGAGTATAACGTTTTAAACTTGCGCGCAAGGTCGGCAAACTGGTCGTACCCGACCGAGCACAACTTGACTTTTATGATGATTTCTCGATCGGGCACCATCATGGCCACCCCCCGGAAGAGCGCCTTGAGGTTCTCCGGCAGTTCCTGGCGCCCTTGGTACCCCGGATTCATCGTGATAAAGTACCCCACGTCAATGTTGAGTCGAATCGGCGCCGCGTCCCCTGGAAAGACAAAGTTGGCTGCTTGCACGCGCTTGGCGTTGGTGATGGCCAGAACTTGCTGTGCCACGACACTCAGCACTGGCAACTCGATGCGGTTGAACTCGTCAAAGCAGCCCCAGAACCCTGCCTGGCACAACCCTTTGAAGATCTTGGCCATATCTAGAAACCGCTGCTGGTCCGTGCAGTTGGTCACAACCACGTACAGCCCGAGCGCGCGGCCGAGGTCTTTGACTGTCTCCGTCTTGCCCGTGCCAGCTGGACCGGTGGGAGACCCCCCAAGGTACATTCCGAGCGCCTGCGACAGCGTCACGTAGGCGCGATCGGTGAGGGGGGTGATTACCAGCCGTTCTTTGCACCCGAGGTACTCGTACGCGTACTTAAACTCGACATCGCAGATTTGAATGATGCAGGCTTCGGGACCAAGGCGGTCGTGGGCCGGCGCCGGTCGCCAGTACACGCGCGCTTGCTTAAGCCATTCAAAGTCGGTGGCGTCGGTGATCTTTCGGTCCTTGTGCAGCCGGACGAGGTCTGAAAAGCAGTCGCGTTGGTGGACTTGGATCGTGATGAGCGTTTCGACTTTGACTCGCTGCAGCTTCGTGCCGAGGTTGGTGAGGCACCACGAGCTGAGTTCGGATAGCAACTGCGCCTGCTTCTTGCTCGTGTCTGTCATCACGCCCTTGGACGTTTTGCACTTTTGGAGCGCTTCTTGGCTTTGTGCAGTCCATTGCAATTGGATCCCCAGCAGTGCAAACTGTCCACAGCTCTTCAGGACAAACTCCCGCAGCGGCAGCGATATGCAGTCCGTGACGCATTCCCTTGCGAGTGCCTTCAGCGTTGTGAACATTTCGTGCTCGAGCGCCGTGAGCCAGTCCTCAATGTTTCCTTCGGCCACGACGGCGGTTTTGAGGACGATACTTTCTTCGTCTGACCCGACCGAGCTCTTGAGTACGAGGATACGCCGCTTGTCCTGACTCTCGTGCACGACATGGTCAACCGAGTCGAACATTTTCTCGTAATACGGCTGGACAGCCATCGGATCCGACCCTTTCGACAGCACTTGCAGCAAAAATGGATTCGAGACAAAGTAGAACCGCGGGAATTTGTTGCGCTTTTGCTCCAAGTACCCCTCCAGACTCTTTTGGCACTTCTCCAACTCGCCGTACAAGATGGGCAAGGTCGACTTGAGCATCTCGTTGGAGCAGCACATGACCACGAGCCCCGTCTCGCTCGCCTTGGCCATCAACTTGATCCAGTCCTTGTCGATTTTCGCAAACTTCTTCGCCTCCATCGGCATCTGCTTGGCAATGTCGCCGCCCGTAAACACCGACTCGAGCGACATCCACAGCGTCTGTACCTTGATCCACAGCTCCAGCACGTCGGACGTGTCGCACAGCTGCGTCAGTTTGGTTTGCACTGTGTCCTTGAACGGCAATACGTGGCGAAGGCTGAGCATGCCTTGGAGTTGCAGCTGCGCGTCTTCGAGTGCTTCAATCACGCCGCCGTAGCCCTTGAGCACGGGGATCGTCCGCGACTTCCACTCGCCAAACTCAAACGCGGCGCTAGTCCACACCTCCTTGATCTCTTTGAGTTTAGTTTCGATCTGCAGCTGCTTGTGTGCACTGTCACAGATGGCTTCGATGTCGTCCTTGTGGCCCAATAACTTGGCGTCCAACAAGTCTTTGAGTTTGAACGCTTCCGATTCCACGGGCAGCGGGGCCGCGGCCAGCTTGACCACGTCCTGCCAGTGGCGCAGCTTGATGCAGTCCGCGCTCAGCTCCCGGATCAGCGGCAGCATGTCCACCATGTCGCTGATGTCCTTGCGCAGCAACCGATACGCCTCCCACTCGCACAATTTTTTGGGCATGCGTTTGCACCGTTCGTCAAACACATTCAAGCTAGACGTCATGTCGTCCAACATGGACGGCACGGCACTCCAGTAGATGCCGCGGTACCCCTCCATCGTCTGCACCACGTCCATATACAGTCCGTACAACTGGTCGAGCAGCGCCAGTTCCTTTCGCGTTTTCGTGAGCTCGGGGTACTCTGTCGGGCGCATTCCAAACAGCTCTTCGCCCGCCGCGTACACTTCGAGCTTGCGATCCCGCAACGCCAAGCTGTCTTTGAACCGAGCGAGGCGCTCCACCGCCTCTGTGGGCTTGATGCCTGACACCATCGGACCGTTGACCGTGTACTCGGTGCGGAACTGCAGCACGTCCGCCTGGAAGTCCTTGACGTCTTTTGTCAGCTGTTTCTTGAACTTGCCTTGGACGTCGCTAAGGTTGTCGGTCACTTCCTCGGCGTATTCCACCAGTTTGCGCCACGTCGACCGAATCACGCTCTTCTGGTCCATCTCTTCCTTGTTCATGTACCCCCCCGGTAAAAAGTGCTCGAGCATCTCGTACATGTCCAAGATCGGGTTGATCTCCATCTCAATCGACGACTCCCGTTCCCGCACTTCCTTGAGCACCATCATCACATACCTGTGACAACGTTACACAACGTTTGAGTGTGATCTATGTACGGATCGTTCGTTACCGCAACGAATCCAACGACTCGACGTCCCGGTTGAGCTTGGTATTGGTCACGCGCATGTACTCCATGAGGTTCGTGAGCGCCAGGCGCGCTTGCTGGTGCACGCGGTCCGAGTACTGGACTTTCCACTGGCGGCATTCGTTGCGGAGTTGTAACTTGAGGTTCTTCGTGTTGAGCGATAGCGCTGCGATGTTGTGCACGGGCGCAATGCTGTTGATCTCAGCTTCCACGACCATAAAGTTCTTGAGTTCGTTTTCAAAATCCTACCGATCAACAACACACACAACATTGTCACATACATGTTATGTTAGGGCAGTAACATTGTCACAGGCACGTTATGTTATGCTAGGGCAATCATCTCGTAATCATGTAGCGTATCTATGCGTCGGACCTGGATCGTTGGGTTTCGCTTGATAAACTGGTTGTATCGAAACTCCATGTCTTCTTTCCACAACCAGTCGTACTTTTTAAACGCACCAAGGTAGTCGTGCACTTGGTTCTTGGTGCCGTGGAGCGCCCCCGTGAGCAATAGCGCGACCTTGATAATCTCCGTGTCGCAGCCCAAGCGATCGAAGAACGTCACGCGGCTGGATTCAGGAAACAAATCTTGCTGCCCCCACGTGAACAGAGTCTTGGAGCACTTGAGCACGGCAACGGCGCTGCGATTGATGGCTCGCTGGATGTCGTCGAGGCTCGGGCTGAGTCGCACCGACGGGACACTGAGCTGGACGTCCACTTCAAAGAAGGGGCGCTCGAGAAACAAAAACCCCGTGCCCGCCTTGGAGCACACCTACAACAAGCCATAGACACACACCCTGTTAAATTGCAACTTGTAGGGCAAACTGGTCCAAACGAACTCGATCTCCATAACTACAAAGTACATTACGTACGCGTTTCTTGATGGCATTTAACGACGTTTTGGTGCAATTCACAAGCGCACGGTACATGAGAGTCTTGTAATGATTGCGAAACGTCACTTGGCAGTCGGTGCGTTCGTCCTGGGCGAGTCTGTTGTCACCCCCTTCCCCCTTGGCCGGGCTGCCGGGGGTCGCGTCCCCCATGTCCAAACTAAAGTCGCCAATCAACCGGAGTACGTCGTCCACGGCGTTCTCCACCTCGGTGTTCTTAGCCGCCAGCATGGTTGTGACCACCGTCACATTTTTCTCTTGTGCCCGCACAAAGTCATCCAGGGCGAACGATTGGTCTGTGGGCAAACTCACGAGCACCGCCTTGGACACGACCTACAGAACCGTTTACGAATAAATTGCATCCAAAACACGTTCAGGCACGTTGCTTTGCTATGTTGCTTTGAGGTAGTCGACATCGTTTGTACCTTGAGGTTCTTTTCCACTCTGTTTTCAATCACGTCGTTGACGCTGTTGATCAGTTCTTCAAGTCGTTGAAGCCCCAAGTGCACTTGCATCTTGTACGCGTCAATGTTCATGCTTGTCCACGTTAATGTGACCATCCCAGGTCGAATTTTGGCCTGGAGGTCTTCCAAATGGGGCTTCAACAAGGCCGCGGCAATGGGAATGATCTTGGAAATCACGCGGTCGTGTTCGCGTAACGTGTACGTGAGGTCGTTAAAGTACATTTTGAACTTGTCTTCTTGCAGCATGACCATCTTGGCATTGTCGGGCACTTCAATGCCCATGCGATCTAAGCACTTGGCTTCGCGAATGAGCTGGAGAATCTCCTTGTCGAAATTCACATAGAGTTTATCCGTTTGGGGGTGTCGAATGATGAGCGTCGCGTGCAAACCGCCCTTGGACGTCTCAATCGATCGACACCAGGCTTCATACCACAAGTACTCGAACGCCACGAGCGTTCGGGCGACTTTGTTGTACCTACCAAGCCAAAACCACATGTCATTGAGTGTGAGACTTTGGACAGTTCGAACGGTACGTTTTGATGACTTTTTTCGAATCTTTGGTCGCCAAGACACTGGGATTGCTTTCAAATTTTCGCATGGGTTCTTCGATGCGGCGCAAGAGATGGCGGGACCAGAGGATGTTGCCGGCGACGGGGGGCAAGTTGCGGGCGATGGGCGGGTCGTGGCGGTACTTTTCATAGATTTCCTGGACGGTTGTTAGGTCCAACCCGTAGTTGTGGAAGATGACGGTGAACTTGGAATCGAGGTCGTTGCGCAGGTTTTCGCGTTGGAGGATAGTTTGGAACTGCTTGAGCAGGTTCAACGACTGCTCGATGCTTGTGATGCTCTCGAACGACTGGTTGATAAAGTGCTGGAATGACAGCTCCAAGTCGCTGATGCGGACGTTGAATTCGACGTAGTCGCGGTCAAACTTGTTGTTGTGGTAGTCAAGCAAGTCGTGCTTGTTGGCTTGGAACTCGACGATGATTGTTTGAAACGTCTGAATCAACCCGTGCATGCCTTCGAGCGAGTGGTCGGCAAGGGACTGGAACTGATGGATTGTGCTAAACATGTCGATGAGCCGAATCACGCGGCGGCAAAACAGGTCGAACTTTCCAAAGATCTGCGTTTCGCTAAAGTCAAACTGCTTGCCCTTGGGCATCGTGAGCAGCTTGTCTTTTGTGAGCCGGTACTGTTCCTGGTACGCTTCGTTCAGTCGCAAGCACGTCTCGAGACTCTCGAGGAGGGTTTCTGGGTCTTGTTTCCAAATGTACTCGGGGGGATGGGTGCCGTTGATGCTGGCTTTACATAACGCGATCATTTGGTTGGTCACCTTCATAAACAACTTGGTCATGCGCTCCGTCGTGTTGTAGTACCGCGCAATAGTGTGGATCATCTTGACGGCATTCATCAGAGCTGGCAACGCGTCGATGACCGCGCCCGGCGTGCCAATGTACAGCGGTTCAATAAACTTTTCCAGCGTCGCGAGGTACTTGACGTTGTCTTTGGCTTCGTTGGTCGCTTCCGTGATGTTGATGTCAATCTGTTTCCATTGCCGGAGCAACGCAAACACGCTCTGTTTGTCCAGCCCCACGTCGTGCTGCTTGGTCACAATCGTCAGCGCGCTGATCACCATCTTGCACTCCTTCGTTTTGAGCTGCTCCGTGATCCCCGTGAGCCGCTGCAACCGCCCTTTCCAGTACTCTAGCTCCGTGTCTGGCCCCGACTCGCTCGACTCCCACCGTGTCTGATCGCTGTCGTCCAAATACGCTTCGGTCTGCCGACACCAGTCTTGCACCAACTCGACAAAGTGAGCGACCGCCGCCTCGTCGCCCGCGTACCGGTTCAAGTTGCGCGAGTCAGATGCGTCGTAGCGCTTGTCGGGCTTGCGGAGCTCCAGGCCGGCGCTCATTGTCTTGAGGCTGCCCTGTATGTCTGTCAAGAACGACTTCATGCCGTGGAGGAACTCGTTTTTGCTCTCGACGTCCGCCTGGCCCCATTCGCACTCGTCTCGCGCGTTCAAGAGCGGCAGGTACAGCTGCGAGAACAGAGTCTCCATCGTCACTAGCACAGACTTGTCCAACACGCCAAACTCCAGCAGCCCGTCGTTGGCGACCGCAGGATTGATCGTCACCAGCGCGGTCTGGTCCTCCGCCATGTCGGTCTGCTGCGGCTGCCGCATGCGGACAATGGGCGCCCGCGCCGGTTTGACTTTCTTCAAAAAGTACACAGCTCGGGCGAGAAGGGGTTCATCGCACCCGTCTGTGATGAACAATTCTGACACCGGGGCGGCGGCATCGTCTCGCCCGGCCGTGGCGACGGAAGGAGGTGCGTGCGATCGAGCGACGATATGCGGGGTGCTCTCGGAGATTTCGGAGGTGTTGTCTGTATTGTTAAGGGAAGGCCGATCATCCATGTCCGTCACGCGGGGCTGGTAGTAGAAGAAGATTCGTGTGGGACCTGCTGGATGGAAGAAGCCAGACAACGCGTCCATGATGCCGTTTGTCTTCATGAGCTCCTCCACTTGACCTTCGTCGCGGAAGCCCAAGCCGATGTGGATCTTTTGGATGATCCATCGATGTCGCGCCTGGAACGCCATCGTGTGGGCTAACGATGCAATGGTCCCTCCCACCAAGTGCTAAACTTCCGCAATTTTTGTGTCCCTTCGGCCTTCAGCGTAACGTTCTTGTGAATAGTGTTAGCAGGCAACTCATTACGGTAAGTACGGTGTGGGAATAGTGTATGCTACGTACTTAAGAGAATCATAGTTCAAAATAGATATAACGTTAATCAAAAATTTCAGGTAAGTTTAGCCAACGATTTCTAAATTATAACATGTATTAATAACAGCGATAACGCCCTCGGGTCAATTTTGATCACGTTCTACGTACTGTATTTACCGGTATCATCAATTGAATAGATTCGGAATCGTCGTGTTCACCACTGCCCAGTACGTTGGCAAAGACACAAGACTTTCGGGGGCTTCTTTGCCAAATAGAGATGAGAGTTGCCGTGTAAGCAATTCCGAGTTGTGGCGGACGTTGGACCTCTGGGCGATCTCCCCCACTACCACAACCTCATCAATAAAGAAAAGTTTTAGCGACTGGAACACAACGAATGTATGGATTTTGGCTCCAACCTGTGAGTTTGAAGTTGAAATCCTGGTCGTAAATTAAAAACTGGACGAGATGGTACAGCTGCGTGGGTTCGACGCCGTGGTGGTCTTGCACACATCGACTAAACATGGTCTTAAATTCGTCCATGCTCACGCATCCATCCATGTCTTCGTCCACTTCCCATATCATGTGCTCCACTTCGACCTATGTTCATCCGACATAACTTCACCCCCAATCTTCACCCCCACAACCCTTCTTACCTTGGACAATGGTAGGCTCATGTCTTTGAGCAACTGGCACAAGTCGTTGCACGTGATTGGGCCGTCAGCCTTGGCAGCGCCCACATCGCGCGTCACAGCCAAGATCTCTCGCCGCAATGCATCCACTTGTTCAGTTTCTCCTTCGCTAAGTACTTCCATGATTTCGTACGCGTCCGTTGCAAACGCCCCCCAAGCTTCTGGCACGTTGGTCGTCGCATTGGCGGCATGCGACGCCATCACTTGCGATTTCAAGTGTAGCTCTCGCTCGAGTCGCCGCAGTTTGGCTCGTGCAGCGTAGCCGCAAAGGAATCGAAACACGCGGGCCAAATCGGCTTCAATCAACGCCGACACCAAAGAAGGCGGCGTCCCGTCGTCGTCTCGGTTGCCGTTCTTGTGATCTGCCGCCCCAGGCATTGTTCTAAGGACTACGTCGATCCCGTTTCGTCGTTTCGCCGACGAACAGTGTGCGTATGTCGAGAGCCAGGCGCGCACGTTTCCAAACGTGGTCGGTCTAAAATTAGGTTTTGAATATCGCCCGCTTCAGCGTTGAAATTCTCGGTGGACATCTCTCGATCGTTGTGCATCCTTCGAGTAGTCGGCAGCGACAACTGCACCATCACCACCACCATGGGCTGCGTCGCATCAAGTGTCGAACCTGTGGGGATTTCCGTGGAAACACACAAGTTTGTCAACGCTAACAAGGCTGGGACGCTCGCCAACTCGGCTCGCGTCAAGTTGAAAACCAAAGAGGACGACGTGATCACAGAGTCGAGGCAGCTCGGCACCGTGTTCTTTGGCTTGAACTTGCCGTTCAACGAGATCGACGTGCGGTCGACACTTGGGGCAGGTAACTTTGGGGTCGTATACGAAGCGTACTGCAAGGGCAAACGCGTGGCGGTCAAAAAGATCTACCTTCGCGACACGAGTGAACAGTCTACGGAACTGGTCGACTTTGCCCAAGAAGTGGACATCTTGTCGGTGCTCATCCACCCCAACATCGTACACTTCCTCGGGGCGGTTCAAGAACACCCCAACTATTGCTTGATCACGGAACTGTGCGAAGGCTCGGTGCGATGGTTTGTACTTGGACGATCCTAACACGCTTGGTGGCAACATAGGTACTCGATCTACTCAAGTTGGTGGAATCCAAGAAAGCTCGCGCGACATGGGGCTTGACGCTTGACATTGCAAACGACTGTGCCTCTGCATGTCATTACCTCCACTCCCTCAACCCAATCGTCTTGCACCGCGACATTAAGGTAGGTTGTCGCCGTCCATTGCTTGACTAAAGCACTTCACATTCACGTAGGCGGAAAACTTACTCATCACAGAACTGTTTCGATGCAAGTTGTCCGACTTTGGATTGTCAAGGTCGCTGGAAAAAGATGCGATTGCCAACACCGTGTGCGGGACTCCACGATGGGTGGCCCCCGAGGTGTATCGGGGAGATGTCTACTCGGAGAAAATCGACATCTATTCGTATGGCATTGTACTGTGGTACGTGTTCGACGAGAATTCGCCTTCCATACTTTCAACATGGTTTACAGTCGAGTACTAGGGAGCTCTTTTGCTTCAAGAAACCCTACTTGGACCAAGACCCTATCAACTTGCCGTACATGGTGGTGCACAAGAACCTCCGTCCGCCATTATGTGCCCACATTCCCACAGTGCTGCATGACCTGATGAAGGCATGTTGGCATCCCGATCCATCCCAACGCCCATCGTTCCATGAGATTCGAGGACTCTTGGACGCTGCGCGGAAACAAGTGATCCTCAGTTTGAGTATCGACACCACAGTCTCGTATGACGAAGCCGTTGCTATCTTCAACAGGAAAAGCTCCAACGGCATGCGTGTTGGGTTTGGCCTCAAGTCTGGGCTGCTGTAATCATAATAAAATCTGTGCATGCCTGGTGTGGCTCTACTGTTCGTTTACACGAGCAAACGTGGTCACACCCTTGGCGCTGGACTGTCATTCTGTAACGTACGTCGATATGATTGGTGACATATTCAAAGTACCCAGCCAATCCAACGTGCCTGTGCCAACTTCAGCGAAGCCATTGGTTGTAATTACGTGACAGTTGATTCGACTCGAATCGCGTCACGATCTTTCAATGTTGAAGGAAAAAAATTTCAAGTTGACACTACACGATTTCTTTCCACCTACACAATGGGACTTCGTCAACGATTCAGTCGTGGAGTGCCTGCTGCAATGACGTCCACCAAGCCAGCTCGCGGCTCCTTTGAGCCACCGAAGCCCAAGACTTGGGACTACTACCTCCTCTTGGCATTACTTGTCTTTCCAGTTCGGTATGTAGTTTCTAGACTTATGGATTGCCAGTTTACCCTTGACCTCGTAGCGCCATCGTCTACGTGGCCCCAGTGGCACTTGTAGTCCTTGCTTTAGACCAGTGGCAATGGTTTCATCCTACTCCATTGAACCCATGGGTTGCGACCCCACTGATGCTGTACTGTTTTGTGGAAGTCGTGTTCACGTTGTATCATCACGTGTCCAAAACGTCGTTGGCTTCCCCCCAAGCCAGCCCCCCACCGCTTCGCAAACAATTTTCCCATCACACAGCCCCCCACGTGGGGCTATTCGAGCGGTGCATGGCGGATATTCCTGACGTCAAGATATTCGTGGAAGAGGTAGGACATTGTATGATTTTGGGCTGGTGGTTCATAGCGTGAGTAGTGGTTTTATGGCACACCACTTGAACGCCTGACAAGACATGACCTTCGACGGTGGCTCGCCTACGTGTTTTACTCGGATGATGTGCCCACTGACTGCCCCAAGTACGACTGGACGGCCATCGACGCCATGGTGGACCAGCTCTACATTCGCGCTGGGGTTCGGGAACCATTGGCAGGAGAAGGCCAACTGAATTCATCGAACCCGTGTATCCGCCACACCCTGGACGAGTTTGAATGTGCCGAGCGCCCATTGATTGCTTACGTCGTTACCATGGGTTCGTGTCGTCTGTGAAGCATGTGTCCATAAATCACATGTGGTCAGGACATGTGAACTCACTACATATCTGTTGCGTAGGTATGGATGTGCTGGCGGCATTGGTGCTGGCACAACTGGGCTTTGAACGTCATGTGGTGGGCACCGGATGCAGCTACTGGTACCGAGGGGGTAGTACCCCCAAGATGTCGGCGGAGGATCCGTCAGAGGATCCTGTTGTGTTTGTACACGGAATTGGGGCAGGTATATGGGACTGATATATGTCGAACAGTTGATAGAGTATTTGATGGCTGTAGGATTGTTGATGTACATCCCGATGGTGCTGCGTATGGCGGCTGAGTGCCGTACGCGGCAACTGTTTTTACTCGAGCTTCGGTATGTGTCGATGCAGCTGGAAGCAAACGTTCCATCGCAAGATGATACCCTGGGGGCGATTTCGCATATGCTGGCGGCGCATGGCGTCGCTTCAGCTCATTGGATGGGCCATTCGTTGGGGTCGGTCGTGTGTAGCTGGGTGTGCAAAGACGCGCCCCAGTGGGTCTCTGGTCTGACGTTGATCGATCCGGTCGTGTTTTTGCTCTGTCGTCGGGATGTGGCATACAATTTTCTGTACCGCGAGCCCACGACGGGGCTGCAAGTGATCATGTGGTACTTTGTGGTAAGGACAGTGTTGGTTGTGTGGACTTGACTGTATGCTGTTGCCGTCGTAGTCGCAAGAATTGCACATTGCCCATGCCATTCGCCGACACTTTTGGTGGTACAACAACATTTTATTTCCCGAAGAACTGCCCCGACACTGCTCGACAAACGAAGTGGCGGCGTCGATTTTCCTTTCGAGCTGCGATCAAATCGCCGATACCCCCGCAGTCCACGCGTTGCTGCAACGAGGGGTCCAGGTATATTTGGCTTTTTTTATATGTTGAAAGGGCGTTGTGGATGGGGACTGGAGAGGGGAATATGTAGGCCAACTCGCCGGACGAACCCCATGCTTCTATTCGCGTGACGATGTGGGAAGGCCTGACTCACGGCGAGTCGCTGTTGCGACCTCACTACTACTCGATGGCGTTGGCTGCACTGCACACTTAACTTTTTCAGGCTTACGTGAAGCCCACACGATGTATTTAAATGTTAACTCGGGAGATTTGCACTTTCACCTCTGTCGAATGTCTATGCGTCTCGATTCCGTACGATGGAAACGCAACCGTGTTCGCGCTTGATCTGTACATGAAATGCCGCATTCCTTCCAAGAAGTTTGAACTTCATTTTGGGGTTGTCATTAACTTAGTTATCGGGGCACTGCCATCTCGCCAGCGTTTACGTCTGCTCAAAATTCACACACCACTTTGCACAACAGTCGTGCAAGTTTGCCGATTTCAAAGTGCGCGCTGGAATATTATAGACATTAACGCATACTAGGATTTCATACTGGTATGTATCAAAACAATCATAGTGCTTCAATATTTAGTTTTGCTTTGAAAGTAGTATTGCACACTCTGACCCCCGTCGATGACTTAAATCGTCCGACAATCATGGTTCGTGATTGGCGCTTGGCTGGGATTGGCTGTCATCACAAAAGGCGCCACGCCATGGCAACCAAAGTGGAATGGAGCGACGACGAGGGTGACGAGTTCACATACATGTGGCTGGAAGGTGACTCGCTGGCGCCGCCATGTCAGTCCGAGTACGACGTCGTTCACGAGATCCTTCAGCTGGCAAACGTCGCCGCCGACGATGTACGTACGACTGGCCGTCGACCTTCACACCAGTTTTCTCCACATGGGTTTTCTCTAGGTAGTTTTTGACTTGGGTTGTGGAGATGGACGCATTTGCATCGCGGCGGCTCGTCGGCACGGCGCATCTGCCGTGGGAATCGAGATCGAAGCGCATTTGATTGACAAATTCCAGCGCAAGATTGACCGGTACAACCTCCAAGACCGCGTCCGAGTCCTCCACGGCGACCTCCTCGAAGCCGACTTGTCCAGCGCCACAGTCATTGTAACTTACTTGCTTCCCGAAGCTCTGGTCCAACTCATCCCTACATTTGAAGTGGCCCTTGCGCGAGGCTGTCGAATCGTGAGTAATTCGTGGCACATTCCTGGCTTGGTGCATCAAGCCAAGAAAGATGTCGGGCACTTCGACAACGTGCCTTTGTATTTGTACCATGGAAGTAGCAGTAGATGAGTAGATGCAGCACCACCGTGAGCGATGCATAGTGTGGACGCAACCTCTTAATATCACCGTAACTTTGCATTTTCTATCATCTCCTGTTGTGAATATATTCTCATGCTCGTGGGGGTTGGAGTTGTTTGTCCTTGGGGCGCTTCTGGTCCTTGACTTCTGGCAACGAAGGCACGACCGCTCGCTCCCGCAACCGGCGCGCGGCGGCGGCTACCAGCGCCATGGCTTTGCCGAACTCGTCCTGTCGAGTCTCGAGATGCCGTTTGAAGAAGGCGTCGGCTTCTTCCAACCGATTCGACTCCATGTATGCGTGCATGGCATGGCGGTATAAGAACAGCGGCATTTCGTCGGTTGAACGAACTTCAGTGTCTGAGGCAGTGTCGTTCAGAATGGACTCGACCAACGACGTGGCAGCATCGAACGCTCCCACTCTGGCAAACATGTTCAAGATCGACTCCATGGACGTCCACGTCACTTCGATTTCGTGGTCCAACGCGGCCTGCAGCAGGCACTGGACGTCTTCCACTTGTCCCCTTGACGTATACTCCCGCAACGCCACTTGCAAAACATAGGCATTCAGCACCAATGTATGGGGCCCACAAGACCCTACATGGGCCAAGAAGAGCGGCGCCGACAAAGACGGAACTGCCACGGGCAAGTAGTACTCTGTGAGGACATATGGATGGAATCGAAGGTCGTGGCGGACCATCGTGTCGACGATTTCGCTCACCAAGATCAGGGCGTTGGCTTGAGACAGCTCGGTCACGTCGGCACCATGGCTTCCTTTGGGAGTTGCCGCGTCGGCGCTGCGCGGCAGTGGTCTGGACGCCATCCCCAGGCGACACAGGGGCTTCAAGACCGTTTCACAAATGCGGCTCGCATCTTGCGGAGCATATCGCGACAGATGGGGGATCCACTGGCGCAGCATTTGCATCGAGAGTTCGTGCCGCCGTGCATGAGTCGGCGTGGCGAGGGCGCGCTGCAGGGTGCGGGCGTTGGGAAGGACGAGCGGCGTATGGCTGGCCATCAGCCCTGTCAACGCTAGAATGGTCTCGGACGGGTGGTTGTGCCGCACACAAGCCTCGATGAGCTCTAGCCACACGAAGGGAGGCAGGCAGAAACCGTCTTTAGCCGCAAGGTGCGCGATGGCCAATGCATTGGGCAACGCATGGTACGTGTACCGAGGCAGGTGAGTGTTGCCTTTGCCCGCGACGAGAACGATCGAATTGGCCCACAATGCGTCAAAGTAGTGTCTGTTTTGCAGGTATAGGGCGCCGTGGCGGTGAGATTCCTGGACCAAGGTCAACGCCAAGTCGCCGCGGCGGAGGTTCTTGGCGGCGAAGAGGGCGGCGTGGACGAGGTACATGCGATCGTGGCGCCACATGGAGGTGCCGTACTCGGCCAAGAGGGTTTCAAATCGCGCAACGGTTTCGTCGAACTGGCTCAAGTGGTTCAAGGCCTGGAGGTATCGACTCCACACGACGTCGTTGATGGTCACTTGCTTGGCCAGCAAATCGTCTACAGTTTTCACCACTTTGTCGAACGCTTTGAGGTTGGATTGCGTTAAGATGGACGCTTGCAACTTTTCCGTGAGCACTCCTCCCAGACGCGGTACAACCGGAGATGCTAATGCTGGTGTGGAGTGTTCATTTGGGCATGTTGAGGCCACGGCGGCCACATCCTGCAAAAGTGCTGGGTTGAAAGACATGACGCTATAGGGAGAGGCAACAAAGCTTGGTCGAGCCTGGTGGTTCCATGCTTTTCGCGAAGCTTTCACAAGCCAGTGGGCTCGCAGAAGGACCTGGCGATTCGTCATGATGGCAATGCTGCCACTTCCTTGGTCTTTATTGCGTGCCCGGAAACCACATCGATTATCCGGTCGATTGTACCATGTTTTGTCATAATTTGCGTTAAAAAACCCTTTTTCCTACCGGAATTACCCTCTTTGTCTGGGAAAGCAACCATTTACTGGTTTCCATCAAAGCATCACCATGTCTTGGTTCGGTTTGGGTGGCAGCAGCACACCGAAGGAAGAGCCCGTGTCGTCGTACTCGGACTCTACTTTTTCCTCGTTGGATGAACAGCCAAGCACGAACTACACGTCTGCCGTCTCGAGCAGCGGCGGAACCAGCGTGAACGACATCATCATGGAGGAGCAGCAAAAGGTGTTGGTGCAACAAGCCATCGCCAAGATCACGGCGATTGCGTGGGACAAATGCAGTGCGGCCAAGCCCGACACGTCGTTGTCCAGCAGTGAAGTCACGTGCATGCAAAACGTCGCGTCGTCGTACTTGGACTCGAGCATGTTCATCATTCGAAAGCTCAACGGCGGCAGATAGACACCTGTCCCAACAGTGGGCATCTGTAGCAAGACGCGACCTGTGTGTTAACATGCATTCGTGTTGCTTTATTGAACAAACCATGTCCTTAAGGAAATCACGCCAACGACAGTTTCGTTCAAAACGGCCACACAACGTTACGCATCGCCATGTGGCCTCGACGGCGGTCGAAAAAGCGGCCACATGCCACCGCCCATCCGTTGCCTCCCATGGCAGCAGCTTCAACTCACCACCACACGATTTGCCCTACTTTCCAGAATGATTCAAACAACCATAATGTCCTTGACGCTACCACATCGTCCACTGACATCATCCACATCACAGCTACCCCCACGTCCCCACCGACCTCAGCACAGCAGCCAGCATACCACACCCTTCTTTCGTATTCCACACTTGTGCAAGACCACACTGTCGACTTGCGCGCAGGCAACTTTATCGCACGAAGTAAAGCTAGGTACGTACGTCGTCAGTGGCGGCAGTCACAAACGCAGTAGCTTTTTGATTTGGCTAAAAGTCCCATATGATCTCATGGGACATTCATGCGCAGGTGGGCTTCCCGCCTGCAGAGGCCACCAGACACCGTGGTGGCGCGACACCGCCTCGAGGAGTCTGCGGCCTTGACCATCCAATGTGCAGTTCGAACGTTTGTCGCCAAACGAAGGTTACACTCCGCTCGACAAGCCTGTCTCATGCTGCAGGAAGACCGGGCGGCGAGCATCTCCATCTGGCGCACTTGCCTTCAGGCGGCATGGTCTGCCATCGTCACCACCCAACGCCCTGCAGCACCTGCTATCCGAGCCTTGTTTCCATTGGAGAACGACCATCACTTTGCCCTTCCATCGACCTCTTCCTACTACACGCTAGCCGCAACATTGCTGCAAAAGCACCTTCATTTCCGCGCTGCCATTCGTCTGGCTCGTCATGTGCGGCAGCCGTCGCCGCTTCGGCACTTGATCACCGACGCCGTCGTCCGAACTTGTACGCTGATGCACCACATTCGAAAGCACATCGGGTATCACGCAGCGTTGGTGGTGCAGTGCAAAATGCGCTGTCGGTGGGCCGTTCAACGGTTCGTACGAGTTTGACTTTGTGGGTTGTCCATGACTTTTAACGTGCATTCAGTGTCGTTTAGTACCTTGTGTGGACGGTTTCTATATGTGGATTATCATATCCTAACTCGATGGAGCAGACACGCCCACCTATATCAAGTTTGGCGACGGCATCAGTCGGCACTCACGATTCAATGTGCCTTTCGCTGCCACCTCGCCCGCCGCGCACTGGTCGGCCGTCGATTCGCCGCGGCTGCCACGACCATACAATGCGCCTACCGAAGCTACGTAGCACGAACTTTGGCGATGCGGCTGCTCTATCGACGAAGTGCGCAGCGGCTTGTCGTGTCCGTCTTGAGTGTCACTGTTCCAGTGGTCGCGATCACCATCTGCCACACCGCCGCTCGTCGTATTCAACGAGGTAAGCACGATCACATCTTTACAGCTTGCATCACAATTCGATTTCTTTACAGCTTGCATCACAATTCGATTTGCCTCATGTTTTCACTGACGTGGTGATTGAAATGTGTGCAGTCCAGCGAGGTCGGGCGGCGCGCAGCCGATTCCGGACGCTGGCGCTGCAAAACGAAACCACGCGGCTGAGTCAAATGCCAACACGGGGCTATTTGTTGTACGCCAGTGGGGCGTACTACGAGGCGTCTCTCTTGCTCGAGCAGAGTTTTTTGACTGGATGGGCAGACGGCGACACCGACAACGACGAAATGTTCTGGATAAAATTTGGTACCAGTCACTTTTACGCGTTTGAAGCATCGGGGGACCGCAGTCATTTGGAGAAGACGCTGGCCGCGTTTCGTCGGCTGCTGCCCAAAGCCAGTGACGTGGAGCGACCAGCGATCGCGAACGATGGGGGCATCGTGCAGCCCATCCAGCCCTCGACGTGGTTGGTCTTGGGGCTGGTGTACGCCACCGCGTTGTTTTACAACCAATCGTTCGCCCCGTGCTTGGCGCTATGCGACGCTGTACTCAATGTCGCATGCACGACCTCGGAACCACTGGACAAGGAATGGGGGGCCACGGCGCACGTGTTGGCATCAAACGTTTGCTTTCAAAACCACGCCATGGACGACTGTGCACGTCATCTCGCCGCCACGCTGGCCCTGGGACCGCTGAAAACGTACTCGGAGCTTGCGTTGCGCTACATGCTGGCGACCGTGTATTCCCTCTTGTCCAAAGAACGAGACTTTGTGCCCATCCCTTCGTTGGCTGTAGAGAAAGTCAGCACATTAGGGGATCCTCAACAGCCAGCGAATGCAAAGGTGGCCATACAAGATGAAAACAACCTTGAAAATACGTCCGCTGTCGATCCAGACGAAACTCAGTCAGTCACGAAGGTGCTGGTGGAATCGAATTCGATCGAAGGGATCGTCGCGGTAGCAGCCGCCGCCACAGAACCATCTCCGCCACCAGAAACTGAAGCGGAGCGATACGCAAGACTGTCTGCTGTGGAATACGCAACTTGTTTTTCGATTGTCGAGCTTTGGCCGGATATGGGGTATACATCTCAAGTCCCCAGCACTACAAAAATACAATGGTAGTTGCGCTTGTAGATTTTACCATGGGGTCATGGCTGCATCCGTGGCCGAATCTCTCTTGCAGGTGTGTGTATATATATGTTACATGTATTCTATGTATGTTTGAAGGGTGTTCGCCTAAGCTTGGAATGGCGTAATGGATAGCAAACTCCACCTGGGACATTCTTGGTGCATCGCATCAAAGCATCGTCGTCGCATGTGTACGTCAAAGTGAAGTGGGACGACGGCGCCATCACGACCATGAAAGTCACGAGAGGTGGTAATGGCGACAGCACTGACAACTTCTACCGCAACCCCAACAGTCCGGATGCGGCTGACCGGACGTTGCTGGGGTTCTTAAGCAAGTTGCCGCGCGCCGCTGGCATTTCCCTTCGCCAGGGACTGCGACGGAGGTCGTCATCTTCTCGTTCGGAGTCCAAGTATGGGGTCGAGTGGTCACAGTGGGAGGAATGGCACCTCTCGGACCACGCCTGGCTCCACGCCGCGCACTTGTGGGACCAGCATTCCGGCTACGTGTTTTCGGGCTTTCTCGCGTCGACTTGTCCAGCATACCTACAATTTCAGACGACAAGAGCCGCTCACGCTGCTGCTGCCAAAACCAAACATGCCTCTTCTTCTAAACGCGGGTGGTCGGGCGCGGGGGGGTGGCACACGTCTAAGCGACACTCCACTGGAACTACCGATGGAACCCCGGGGGAGATTCGCGCACCAGCAGGGGAAGCGTGTCTCATCCTAGCCAAAGCAGCTCGCGGGATTGGAAAACTCACGGACAGTCTCATATTGATCCAACATGCCGTCACCATCAACCCATCCTACGAATGCATTCGCCGGTCGTGGTCGGCCAAGGCAAGCACCCTCGCCGCGGCGATGCGGCGGGTTCAGAAACTCGATCGCCTGTGGAGTCGCGCCCTAGCGTTCGACACGTACACGGCCCGCACCCGCGGCCGCCCCCAAGATGAAGTGCTTTTGTTAGAGTGCATTTACCGCCAGCATTTTCACGCGTTGGCGACTGTCGACATCCATCGACGGCTCGTCCGGGCACATGTTCGAGCGTATTGCATCAATGGGTTCGATTTCGTGCATTTGAACTTGGCCGTGCGGTCCATGGATGCGCTTGCAGCGACCTTTGAGCGCCAGCACAAGTCGACGTTCGCCGTCTTCCCTGTTCCCATCGTTCGGAAATACGGCCCGTCCGTGCCCATGCCCCCTCCTTCTGCCTTTCGAAAGGAGCCGTCCGCCTTGTTGTCAAACGTAGTAGCCCCCTCGTCTTCTAAAGGAACCAAAGGAAAGAAACCAAAGAAAAAAGGGGTGACAGCAACCGCAACTGCACGGGACTCGACAACTAGCACCGACTCGCAACCCAAGCAGAAAGTGCTGCAGAAACGGCAGACGCTGCTGCCACCCACGCTTCAGTCAACCTGGCCCGTGGAGATGTTAGCCGAAATGGCTGAAGTCACGTATCGATCGCTCCAGCTCCCTCGCGCCGTCGACTCTCTCCAAGTACTCGCTAGACGAATTGTCACCACGCCAGCGTACAGCCACCTATATCGGCTCACGCTTCTCCGCTTAGCGTTCTTGTTTGCCCGTCACTTGCAGTTTGATCTGGCTATCCGTACCATGACCACCCTTCACGACACTGTGACCGCACGTGGCGCCGCCGCCGTCGTCGCGGCGGTCCCCAAGTGGCCGGTGCCGATGCCGTTTGAATTCTCCGCGACAGACGTCCGATTCATGCGCGGGGCGGTACACGACATGGCTGCGGCGACGGCAACAGACAGCGCTGCGTCCCAACAACAAAGTCAAGCAAACGCATGGACAGATTTTGCCCCGCTGCACGCCGAACTCGTCCGGCAAGTGCAAACGCTGCTCCGAGACGAACAAGCCGCCACGGACACTGTCGAGTTCCGCGCCACACATGTGAGTGGCGTGGTGGTCACCGTCGGAACTTGTCAGGGCCTCCACATCCCCAACATCCTCACGTCCAACGTCCGCGTGGTGGTGACGATGGACCATCACCGCCCCAAATCCAACCAACTGCACACTGCATCCACCGCAGATCCTCCGTCGTGGGAAACCATGCAGCCCAACTGGAACCACCAAATCGTGACCATTCCTGCCTCGACCAAGCACTCGATGGTCACGGTGCAAGTTGTCAACAAGGTGCACCTTCGAGACATACCCCTCGGATACATGACCTTGCCGTTGTCGACGTTGTTTGCCTCGAGTACGGTCCCGTCCACTGTGTATTGTTGCAGTACCGTATTTGATTCTTCATAGGTCGAGTCGACATCAAGCCGTGGCGGCTGCTCGCTCCTGACACTTCCTCCGCCCACAGCAACTTCACGCTTCACAGTTCAAGTCGCGCCGCGCCGACCCTCGAGGTGGGGTTCCAGCTCACGACAGTTCGACCGCAATTCACAAACGACGTCAAGGAGAAACGGCACATTGCATTTGCCCTCGGCGACTTTCTCAACCAACCGTTCGTGTGGCACTCGTTCGGGGCCCGACTTATGCGCTTGTCAGACCACTTCCTGGCACGGCACTTCATTGTCCAGGCGCTGCGCCGCCTGCCTCCGCCCCACGACCTCCGCGCCATCCACATGATGCTCGACGTCGCTCGATGCGACTTGGCATGTCGAGGCAACGCTGCAAACGCCACAAAACAACAATCGTCCAGTGTAGCTTCGGCCATCGAGTGGCTACAAAAGGCTCACGTGGCGGCGTTGATGTTGGAACCGCGCCATCCGCATGTCGAAAATGCCATTTTGGACGTGATGCAGCAAGCCATGATGCACGACTCGCCTTTTGAACGGAAACTGACCGCGAGTTTGACCCAGCCCTTGGCGGCAGACTACGTCGCGGTCGTGTCGGAACATGGACAGTACTTTGTGAACAAGGACACGGGCGACTGCGTGCTGGACGAACCCTTGGGCTACGAAGTGCAAGCTCAAAAACCGCCTCTTCGGGTATACTAGTACATACTATATGCTTATTCATATGGCAGCATCATATATATGGCCATCTCATGTGGCTGCAGAGAATGGTCGTGTTCAATGACTCGATGAAGCAACGCGTGCTGCGGTTGCGCCGGGACATGAAGGACGCCGCGGCTGCCGACCCCGACCAATGGGTAGCCATGTTCGACGACTTTCACGGCCGAATGTTCTTTGTAAGTCAAGTGCACTCGATGCAAAGCTACACGACGCCTCCAAAGTATATCATGCAGGGCGACGAAATGACCGTATACAGGTATGTACTTTGTTTATGTCCCCACTGATTCTGAGTCTGGATCGGACGATTTGTCCCCAGCGTCCTGGTCATTCAAGATGTATTCCGAGCTCGGCGCCGTAAAGCCGCCCTCCGACGCCGCTTTCGGCGGGCTGTGTGGGCGGTACCACTCGCACACAAATGTGTTTCTTGTACCCTACAGCTATTGTATGTAGGTGGGTGTGGGGCTGTACATGCTTGAGAAATGGAAGGCCCGAGTGATAGCTCGAGCAATCCGGGCCGCCAAAGTTCCCTTGACGTGTATACGGGTCACCGTTCACCGGGCCGATGGGTTGCGCACGGCAGATCGCGTGTCGAGTGACCCGTTTGTGCAGCTGTCGCTTCCCGGATGCAAGTTGCGGCGCACTGCGATTCGGAAAGCCACGTTGACTCCGGAATGGGACGAAGTGTTTCACATGAGGTATGCTTGGGTGGACCACGAACTAGCGATGCAGCGGCACCAGGCGGTCGTCGCCTCTGGCCATCACCGACACAACGACGACGACGACGACGACGATGTGGGACATGGTGTCCTGGAAAAGGTGAACATGCGACGAGTGACGAGTCTATTGGAGCACAACCTCGCGCTCAACGACGACAAAACCAATGTAGACGACTACAATAGCAGCGAACACGACGACACCATTGGTGACGACACTGGTGACGAAGATGACGACGGTCCAATGTTGACCCTAACCGTGCTCGATTACGATACCCCAACCCGGGGAAGCGTGGAGTCGTCCAGCGATTTTTTAGGACAGGCCAGTGTGCCCCTGGACGCTCTAGATCACGGCAATGCTATCTCTGCCACCCTGACGTTGCGAGACGAAGACGGGTACTTGTCGCCCCGGTCCAGGGGGACGTTGGAGGTTACAGTGCAGTGGATCTCGTATTCGTTCCCCCTGCGATTGAAGGTTGCGATGGTGGCAGTACATGCCATTTCGCGGATGGATGGACTCAAGCGGCGGCTGTACCTCGAGCGATTGAAGTCCCAAGTGGCCCCGCGGAAGCCCAAGCCGACCATGTCGGACGACCACCGCATGGTCCTGGAGCTGATCACGGCGACTTGGCACGACGCGCTGGTCAAGTTGGCGGACACGATTGTCATGGCCGACCAGTTGCAGCGCTTGGTGCTGCGCTTGCAAGAAGCCCGCAAGTCGCACACGAACGCCGAGGAGGAAGAACACATTGAACGGCGGTTACACGCCGTGATTCGCGACCAGTTTGGCGGCAAAAGGCAAGCGGTGGAGTCGGCGATGGGGATCGTGGCCAAGGGTCTGCGGAGCTTTGCGAAATCAACCTATGAAGAAGGTAGGGGCATCCCCCATGATGACGTGTGAAGACGACGGTGATGTAGTCGCGGAGTACGTTGGGAGTGGCACCGACGCCGTCCTCAAGGAAAAAGTGGTGTTGTGGTATGCCAGTATCGGGTATGTGGCGGGCCAGTCGACCCCTCGACCGGACACGGTGCCCCCCCCTGCGATAGATACATACGACTGCATCATGCAGTTTGTCTTGACTCAGAAAGAGAAGTTTGTGACGTGGGAAACGTGTCTGCGTGGGGTCGTCGAAGAGGGCTTTGTCGACGGCAAGTGGACATTTGACATGACCAAGGAGTTGGCGATTTGCAGAAAGATTGAAGCGACGCTGCGTGAAACTCCGATCGAGGAACCGCAACTAACACGGGAAGAGGAAGAACGCATCAAGCAACGGCAGCAAGTCCGAGCCAAGAAGCTCGACAAGCAGAAGAAACGGACTAAAAAGTAGAAAGGCGGTGAGCCTACACTTTATTGGTCACTGTAAATGCTCCCAGACTTCACTACCATGTAAGGCCTCACACATGCGCGAGTGATAATTCGGTTGTCATATACTTCGAAGTATGAATTTCATTACTATCTAAAATACTATTGTGCTTTTCACATATTTTGCCCGTTGTTTTAGCTCCTAAAACCATCCAAAGTTTAACCTAAACCGAAGTTGCACTCGACGTAAAAGTAAGCTTCCCCACCGTTCTGTCATTGGCTGATCTAAAACTTGCGTTGTTTTACTAAAACTACTTCGTTTTATTACCTCCCGTGGCCAAGCAGTCATGCAGAGTAATGACCTACTGGGGTAAGCTCGCAGTGCACCAGCTCACACGAGCTTTGCAGCCAGCTTGTTAGCAACTCGTTGGCACGAAAAGTCGAGCAAGAAGCACTCAACATCAACCTTTATCGAGCATAGTCAAGAATCACACTCGCGTGTATTAGTTAATCCACTCTGTAAACCCCCGCGTTTGCCGAAATGAAATGGGCAAACGCTTCAGGGTCGTCGAAGAGGGCTTTGTCGACGGCAAGTGGACATTTGACATGACCAAGGAGTTGGCGATTTGCAGAAAGATTGAAGCGACGCTGCGTGAAACTCCGATCGAGGAACCGCAACTAACACGGGAAGAGGAAGAACGCATCAAGCAACGGCAGCAAGTCCGAGCCAAGAAGCTCGACAAGCAGAAGAAACGGACTAAAAAGTAGAAAGGCGGTGAGCCTACACTTTATTGGTCACTGTAAATGCTCCCAGACTTCACTACCATGTAAGGCCTCACACATGCGCGAGTGATAATTCGGTTGTCATATACTTCGAAGTATGAATTTCATTACTATCTAAAATACTATTGTGCTTTTCACATATTTTGCCCGTTGTTTTAGCTCCTAAAACCATCCAAAGTTTAACCTAAACTGAAGTTGCACTCGACGTAAAAGTAAGCTTCCCCACCGTTCTGTCATTGGCTGATCTAAAACTTGCGTTGTTTTACTAAAACTACTTCGTTTTATTAACTCCCGTGGCCAAGCAGTCATGCAGAGTAATGACCTACTGGGGTAAGCTCGCAGTGCACCAGCTCACACGAGCTTTGCAGCCAGCTTGTTAGCAACTCGTTGGCACGAAAAGTCGAGCAAGAAGCACTCAACATCAACCTTTATCGAGCATAGTCAAGAATCACACTCGCGTGTATTAGGTAATCCACTCTGTAAACCCCCGCGTTTGCCGAAATGAAATGGGCAAACGCTTCAGGTTAGCAACATATGCTGCAGGAAAAGCTCTTGCTCATCCAATCATAGGTACTTCCGATTAGCTAAAACTAAGTTGAATTAATCTAAAACTTCGTCACCCACTGGTTAAAAGCGGGTATTTATACCCAGATTAGCCAAAATATGTGAAAAGCACAATATTATTAATAATAGTACTATTGTGGATTCGGCACAAGTTTCCAGACCCCATCGAATCGAATCGACGCTAGTGTATTTATTGGATTGGCCCTTACAGAAAAGTATACAAATAGATTCAACCAATCAGAACTAGAGCTTGCTTCAATATTGATTACATAAACCACGCGAATTTTTGAAGTTTATAGTGAATTCACAATACAATATATTAGAGCTCTTTCGAAGATTCGTTAATTAATAGTAGTATTTAATATTTCGATGATTAGCTATTGATTGGTTGTATTCATTCAATTAAGTAGCCAATGAATATCCACTAATTCAATCACTCCGCATGGATTGGCCAACGAGATCACAAGATCAAATTCCAACATGCATCAACAACACATGTGGAAACTCGAGGAAAGGACATGCCACATCGTGTGGGCTGCGCAAAGGATTCCAGATGTGCTTAGCGCGCTGAAAGAAGGTAAGACTATGGAGTTGGAAGGTTGCTCTTGAAGCGCATACGTATCTCCCAACCCTTGCCAGTTGTGTACAACAGCGCAGATGCGGACGCGTCGTTGATTGTGATCGCACTCGACGCCAACAACGTTTCGTTTACAGTGAACGACAATGGTAGGTACTGTGAGGGGCTATGTGGGTTCTTTCGAGATCAGTTGAGCAATCTGAATAGGTCATGGTATTCGAGGAACCGATCTCTGCGCACTGGTGTGCACCGCCGCAGGTGACATCAGTCAAAAATTCAACTGAATAACCCTCGCTAGCAACCTCCAAGGACGACTTGTTCAATTCCCAAGGGTACAAGTACAACGGATGGGGAGGAGACAGTTTACTTTGCCTGTCCAAGCTATCCAGAATCACCATCGAAAGCCGAAACAATACTTCGTGGAACACTTACCGAAAAATCGTCACTGTGCGCCGCCCGTAGGCAACAAGTGGACTGACGTGCATGGTAGAACGGACACGTCGAGTTCCAAGGACGGGTGTCGTCGAAGAAGTGCCTTCCTGGGACCATCGTGACCGTGCAAAACTTGTTTGGCAACATCCCCGCACGCCAGCGGCAACTGCTTGGAAATCCACTCGTCCGAGCCAAACTTCTCTCAAGCGTTCGACTCTTCTGTCTTCGTCTTGGCCTCGTGCGCACAAACGTTGCGTTTGAAGTCATTGACAAGCGTAGCGTTTGCATTTGACCTATTCTGTCAAAAATGGAACCACCTACTCACCATGTTCAAGAGAGCACCGTCAATAGCTTTCGCCTGGGCGCATCGTTCGATCCCCGGCAGCAGTTGGCAAGTTTGGGCGGTGCCGAGTGCCCGTCGTACCAAGTAAGTAGGCTGCGTCATCATATGTGGAACGAACGACGTCACATAATTTTCCAGGCGGTGGCATTTGCTTCCGCGCCGACAAGTCGACCTTGCTTTCGGATCGACGGCGTGATCGCGACCAACCCGCCAACGTTTTCGGCGTGGTCAACGGCCAACGTGGCCCGCGCGATGCTCTCGTATCAAAGTATCAGCTTCAACAACCTTTGGATCGACGGCTTTTACACGCAATGCACGTTGCTGCTTCGACAACATATCCTCCAACACAAAACAGGTACGTACGTGATAGTATGAAATTGGTATTTTTTCTAGCCCAAACATACAGCCACGGCAACAGCTAGTGTACGCGATTGGTTAAACGTATTTCTGTGTAGACATTCCCATGGTTATCATCAACGTGCAATGTTCCCCGGAAGAGTTTACTCTTGTGAACGAAGATCCAGGGGTGCGCGCAGTCCAGTTTCGACACCAAGTCGCGTTCGAAGACTTCTTCCGGGCGTTCCTCGAGGTTCTTTCTATCCATGTGTTTTGTCATGTTATGTCTAGGGATTTTCAATGCGATGCTGACAGCATATATATACTTGTAGCACACGCTGCCACGGCTTCCGCTAGTCAGCGACGACGACTCGAACGAGGCTACTTTGAGCGACAGCGACTCGTCCATCCACAGCCGCAGCCTGACAAACGACGAGCATGACACGGTTGTTGGTTTCAAACGTCGTCGCAGGGATGGGGTGGTTGAAACGAGCCCTCTCGGTCAAAACCGTATCGCATTCGACGAGTTTTCCAATGCAATTTGGACGTCCATGCCGAATCGCATGGCCAGTCCGGTCCGGCAAACCTGTTTGGGGAGGACGATCGCCGATGATTCCGCGCCCGCAGGTCGCTCCCAACATGCCACGTTCGACACCGTGTCAAAGTACTTTAAAACCGGCAACACCACGGCAACGTCGCAGCAAAAGCCATGGGACCACAGGCCCATGAGCTACACCAACCCCTTGTCAAAGTTACATCCGTGGATGAAACAACGCTTGTCGGTGCTGGTCCAGAACGCAAGGACGATTCAATCTGTGGCCATTCAGCTTCCGGCGGCGATGCTCCAGCACCTGGACGTTCTGCAGCAAGTCGACAACAAGTTTATCCTCGTGCAATGCAAGGCCCCGCTGTTGCTTTTGTGCATTGACCAGCACGCCGCCGACGAGCGCGTCAAGCTCGAAGCGCTGGAAAACGCCCACTTGTCGGCGGCGTTCCCGAGCCGATCGCTCGACAAATTGCATGTCCTTGAGCTGAACGAGATTGAAAAGCAAGTGGTGCGATGTCACGGCGACTCCATTCGCCATTGGGGGTTTGAAGTGGTGGAGGACGGCGACGTGGACAAGTGGTCGCTTGCTCGGGTGCCAGTCGTGGACCATCGTGAAGCCACCTGCGACGACTTCTTCGAGTACCTGCACCTCTTGGCCACGATGGCCGCACCAACCCTTCCAAGACCCCCCGCGATCACTCGGTTTTTGCATTCCCGAGCTTGCCGAAGTGCCATTATGTTTGGAGACCCACTCACTCGAGAAGAATGCCAAACGCTGATCCGACAGCTCAGCACGTGTCGGTTGCCATTTCAATGTGCCCACGGCAGGCCTTCCATTGTACCCTTGGTGCAATTGACTGAATCGGATTGAGTCGTCTGGAGTTAACGTTGTTTGGGCTGCCAAGAATACTACTACTACTACTTTGGAAGGATTGTACTAACACTTGTGAGGTAGTACTAATTAAAGTTGACCTAGTGCGCGCCACATATTTTATACATGTATTAAATTACTACGTAAAATGTACAATTTGGTCCCGAGAATAGTAGATATAACTTCGATTTGCACTTTTCAAATGTGCAAAAGCGAAGGAGTTGCATAACGACCTCTCTATAATTACATTCTGTAACGACACGGTACGGATTGTCTAAAACACTGGGTTGATGTAACAAACACCCAGGTTTATGGTGTGAATAGCCAAAACGAGTGAAAAGCACAATGTAAACAATGTATTCACTGGTCATCACGAACAACTTTTGATATTACAAATGACAGGCATTTATAAAACCCCAGTGAATTAGCTACTGTAAAACACCAGGTATTAATATTTATTAAACTTTGTATTAATAACACAGTTACATCAGAAGTACCACTCTTTTAGCCACGTAAAACCGACGCCAAAGCAAGTGCAGAGCACAATAGTATAATAGAACTAAGGTAATGCATCAATTGTTGACACAGCACCAAATTATGAGACTGTCTGACTTTTAGCCAATAGCATCTCGATATTTCGTGTTGGCCTTGTATGATTGGATATGATAATATTCGTCTCTATATTTTATTACATGTCTCAATGCTGAAGTCTGGTCAGTTTTTTTCAATCTCAAACAAAAAAATACAAGTATTTAAATAGAGTGCCAACTAGAAACACTCTGACACTGTCCCGCCATACATGCCTACGAGAGCGTCACAGCAGTTGTGCATAGCTACGTGATACATGGAAGTACTCACTTTAGAGCCATCGCTATTATAGACAAAGAAGCAGCAGTGTATTGCTCGTCGCAACGAGTGGATGGCCTCCACTATGCTGCTACTGTTGTGATCAACGTCAGTGAATTAAAATGTGACTGCATTTTTTTAATCTGACTAATTAAATTCATGTAACTTTTTATTACGTATTGCAAAATGCATGCAATTATATTTTTGATCAAATTATTTTGCATATTAATTTAATCAAATACAAACATCAAGGTTTTTAAAGGGTGTCATGAATTGATTCACCTAAAAACAGTCGTGACCATAAAGCTCAAAACATTTAATTTCGATACAAATCTGAAATGTAGTCTAATCATGCTCAATGATACATCAAAAAAATGGTGGCGTTTTATATTCTCTTGTGGTGCTATCAGCATTAAAATAATCGTTCTCGTTCTCGAGCTACTGGGATTTGAAGTCATGGCCAAAACTTGACCAAAAACAGTGTCAACAATTGATGCATTACCTTAGTAGTAATTTATTGGTTCAATGATAACTGCTCCTAAAATCGCATTTGACATGAATATTTGTTGATAAAATTGAAACGTAAAGTTGTTTACTTTGATTTGATTGGCTTGTTTCCGCCAATCCGATCGAACGTGCACTTGGTATTGCAAAAGCATCGGTGGAACAAATGGAGGTTCTGCCGCCGCCGATGCCCGAGGCGACAATTTGCGAGGTGTGCTCGTTGGACTGCCCCTGTGACGACGTGTACATGACGGTGTTTTCAGTGCACATTTGTCCCGACTGCCGTTACGGCAACCCTGCCTACAAACTGCTGACGAAAGACTTAGCGAAGAAGACGTATTTGCTCACGGACTCGACAATGGAAACACTTCCGTGTCTGCGAAAACCCAATCCAAAGCACGAGGCCTTTGCGCCACTGCGTTTGTACTTGCAAAAGACTTGCGAAGCCACGGCCATTCGGCAGCATGGAAGCCTCGAGAACGTGGCGGTCGAGAAAAAGAAGCGAGAATGTGCCAAATACGAAAAGGCTGTGGCGCGAACCAAGTCCGAAGTGTCGCGCTTGGGTACATATGGAAAGCGCCGCAAAGACAAGCACGCAGTACGATAACCATGTTTCGTCGTTCGCACGAGGTCATTGTGCGTGTCTAGGGTGGAGGAGCCGTACGGATCACACGGCGACCAGTGATCAAAGAAGTTGACCACAAGCATACGTTTGAGAACGAAAGACAAAACGACGACGGCACGTGGCTCAAAGAATGTGCGTGTGGACTGTCGATCAACGTGCACAAGGTGTACGAATAACATGAACATATGCAATGTCACAAATCAAATACCGACACTCACTTCCAGCCTTGCACTGTGGAACAAGCCACGTACGACGCAGCAAGGAGTCGTTCTATTGACCAAGCCAAAATGCTAGGCACTGATGCGGACAATTTCATGGCGAATGACTCTATGCATGCGCGAATAGAGGGGTTCACAATAGATTGAAAGAAGTTGTAAGCATGGTGGCACTCCAATTGCAAACAACGAAACGCGCCGAAGAAGCAAATCACGAAGTCATCGTTAGGCTAGCTATGGCAGACACTTGAGCATGAGCCCTTGTCCACTTGGCGGTTCAAGAACTTGATACCGGTACTGTCATTATCCGGGTTATGACGTGTCGTATCCGGATTCGTCCACGGAGGCGACACGCAAGATTTGTACATACAGTAGTACCACGGGCGGGTGATTCGCGATGGCGACGTCATGGTTCAGTACGAAGGTGAACTTGTCCACGATCGTGTCCCAAGGCTTGGAGCATGTGACTAAGCTCAAGGACGATGTCGAGAAGCAGTTTGACGAGGCCGTGTCTGGCAAGGGCACGACTAAGCTTCCACTAGTGCCCAGTACATCATCAGCGGCTGTGGAGCAACAACCTTTGCCGCCAAGCTTGTTTCAAGAGAGCGTGCCGTCAACTGCCACACCGTTGGTTGATCTAGCTCCATCTCCAGCGCCGTCCCAAAGCGGAGAATCTCCACCACCACCTGCGAGTGAGCACATCAACCACGAAGCCGAACAAACTTCAGAAGATGAAGTTCTGCCAGGTCACAACGACGCGCCAGTTCCTCATGCTTCTGGTGCATCGAATGAGCTGCAGACTACTGATTCGACACGACCTTCCACGTCGTCGGAAGGCGCCGACACTTCGCCAATTCTCTGTATTCTCGCTCCATCAACGATTGACCAGTCGTCCGAACCTGCTTCACAGCTCCTTCTTTTGGAATCAAACTCACCACAGGAATCGTCGCCGTTGTTGGCACCATCGCCTTCTTCGCTGCCTTCCCACACCAACGATGCGACCGCCTCCGACGCATCTGGATGGCACACATCCCTTGACGAGATGCAACCAGACGCCGCTGAAAATGCAGCGCTCCTCGCCATCGTCCAGGCTATTCCACCCAACCCAGCCAACACATCCGAGGCCACCTCTACTACTGCTGAACCTCCCAGCCATGTTGGCTTCGACGTTCCACCCTCGGATTCTGCTACTACCACCGCCACGCCATCAGTCGAATCCTCGTCACCATGTGACAATACCATTCCTCCTACTCTGTCATCTGTGGCTGAGAAAGTTGCTCTGCCACTCGAAGCCTCGTTGTTTCTGCAAAAAGAACTGGCGCACGTACAGTCTGAACTCCGCAAGACCCAAACGGTGCTAAGCGAGCGGGAGAACCAGCTCCTGTCGTCGTCTGCTGCCATGTCGAAATTGCATGAAGAGCTCGAATCGATGCGGAATCATGTTTCGCCTACACCTGCTGCCACGACTACCAACGACGCGGCGGTTATCTATGCGTTGCAAGTGGCTTTGGCCGACAAAGAAATGCAGCTCAGCAACTTGCTTGAGGAAGGCGAGGCGTTGTCCAAGAAGCAAGCGGCGTTCGAGTCGCGGCTCCGTGCCCTTCGCAAGGAAAAGACGGACGTCATGGACGAGAACAAGAAGCTCACGGCGGCCCTGGAGACGGCCACGGCCAAGTGGGAAACCGCGCGCATGCATCTGGTCACGGCGGAAGAAGACGCCAAGTTGCACGCTCAGTTGCTCAAGTCTCTCGACGCCACGGACGCCCAGTTGCAGGCTTCGGAAGCAACATTGGCAGCAACCAAGCAACGCCTGGCCACCGCAGAATGCCACGTGGAGGAACTCGTGGCTGAGAACGACGCGCTCAAGGCGCGCACCCAGCTCGAAGCCGTGCAAGATCGCGAGGTATTGTGAATTTTTCGCTATTGTGCTTTCGAGTGAAATTTCGTGTTGTAGCGTGGTTTCTCGTTGGAATTTAAATCGATTTGATTGGCTACTTAAGAAGTGCTCAAAATGATTAGCCAATCAAATCCTTCTCAATGTAATTCAACCAATCAGATCGATTGTGGATCGGTTTGGTCGGCGCGATTCGATTGCACCCCTTCCCCAAATTTGTATCAAATCGACAATATAAATTTCCAAAATTCGCGTGGTTTATCGAATCAAGATTGAATCGCGCTGGAAGTTCTGATTGGCTGACTATACTTGTCCTTTTTCTGTAAGAGCCAATCAAATCCACTCAAAAATGGATTCGCCAATAGCGTCGAGTCGTGATTCGATGGGGTCTGGAAATTTGTACCAAATCCACAATACTACTCATACTCTTTGCTGTTTGATATTATATTAGTTGGTTGTGTGATAAAGAAGAACAAGTAGACGACGAATAGGTGGTGGTGGTTGATTAAATACAATCGTGTGTTTCTAGGCACTGGAAGCTACGATAGCAGAATTGCAAGCCAGCGTGACCCGCGTGGAAGCCGAAGCGTCGGCGCGCGAAGACCAGGCGCGGCTGGCGCTGCATGCGATGAAGCAGCGATGGCAGGAGGCTGTGACGAGGATGGATCACCTGACGCACACCACGAGCGACGCAACGCAGCCTCTGCTTCGACAGCTCCAATTGGTGCAGGAAGAGCAGCGCGTGCAGGAGTTGCGGCGCATATCGTTTGAGACGGATATGCAGGAACGGGTGGACACCGCCGCTCGTGACGTGGCAGCGTTGCAGGCACAGCTAGCCGACGAAACGAGCCGGGCGCGAGACGCGACCACCCAAGCGTCGGCGCTGGCCGAACAAGTCCAGGCGTTGCTGGCAAACTTGGATGCGGAGAAACGTACAGTGGAAACACTCCGGCAGCAATTGGAAACGGACGGGCATCGACGGCAGCAACTGGAGCAGCAACTGGAGGCCCTGAGCGATGAAAACCGACAAATTGCGACACGGCTGCGGTTGGAGCAGGACCAACACGAACTCCAAGTAACGCAGCTCCATCAACAGGAGGCCCAGCGCGCACAGGAAGTGACGACGTTGCGTCAGAAACTCTGCGACGTGGTTAGTAATTCCATGGTACGTCGGCCAAGTGGTGGCTCAAGCTCCATTCTCCCCACCAGCCCATTGTTGGATGTGCCATCCCCCGCTTTCCAACCAGATCCGCAGCACACGACGACGTCTTCGATCGGGCACTTGGAGCGCAAGCCGTCGGGGGACGTGATCGAGGACATGTCCATGATAGAATGGAACCAGTTGCTGCAAAAGGTTCGGTTGCGGGAAAGTGAGACAGCGTTACTCAAGCACCAGCTCCACACGGTCGAAGACGCGCGAAAGAGCGCGAGTGACGACGTCGTGCGCCTGTCGACGAGGAATGCTGCGCTGGAAGCCGCGGCGGCGGACTTGGCGGTCACGAAAGCCGCGCTCGCGGCCATGGAGGTCAAGCAACACGTGCTGCTTGAGCTCTTGGGCGAAAAAGACGAACAGGTCGAAGAGCTCGAGTCCGAATTCAGAGAGTTCAAGCAAATGTACCAAAACCAAATCGACACCCTCACGCGACGTTGATCGTAGTTGTTGAAATGCCATTAACTACTAAAGACCTACTAACGTTACGAAGTAACCTTAGTAATACTACGTAGTACTTGACACCGAACAAATGAATGTCACATGCCAAGATATCGCCCCCAAATTTGTTGGTGGGTGCACGCAGGGTACTATGGGAAAAAATATTTCTTACCAATTTTCCAAAGTAAAAACAATAACTAAGTTAGTAGTATTGTATTGCAGCGCACGTGGCCAATGCAGTTATTGTAGTGCTTGCTGCACTTAAATATTTCATCGTCTACTAGTAAAATTGTCAATTATTTAAATGAACAATTCTAATTCAATACAAATGAAATGATAAAATATTGTTGGCTCAAGTAAAATGATTTTGGATCAATCAATTACTTGAGTATTGTAATTGACCAGCGCTGAGCAATAAATTATTTTCTGTATTTAATTGTCAATTGTTTTTCCCATACCCTAGGTGTACCTGATTTGAATTGTTTGTCCAGCAGCAAGGAGCAGCCTACAGTGTAGTCGTCGACGGCAGTGGTAATACTGTCGTCCTGTGTGGATCGCTCGTCGCGAGTACTACTGTAGTACGGTGCTATATTAAGGATGAGTAGAGTTCTTGGTGCTGCGTCCGAGGCTGAACCAACTGCGCTTCACCGGTGGTTTCTTGGTTCCATCGTTGTCGACGTCTTCTGGATTGCGACTGTGGGCATCTCGTTGTTTCACCTTCTTGTCGTGGTTGTTGCTGTCGTAGAGGGTGGCTGCCGTAGGCTCGCCGTAGCCATCGAGCAAGCTGGACCCGTCCACCTGGCCTATACCTTCACCAAACGTAGCCGTACTCTTCTTGCTTCGACCGAACCCAACCATGGCGTCAATTCTAAAATGCCGACAGAGGTGCGGTTGTTTATCCAAACGAACGAACGTACTGTCGTGTGCTTGCTGATTTCTCATCGGTCCATTACTCTACACGCCCCATTTGCCTATTGCGAGATAAAACTGGTGAAACACCGAGCATCCTGAGTATATTTCGGCACTTTTTCCAGGATCCGTCGTAGTTTAGGCTTTAGGGCCTAAGTAGGTTTGCAAATCGAGGAGCTTACAAAACATATCCGAATTGAAGGCTGGAACAGCCATGCTGCTGTGAAATTTATCCCGCGATCCAAAAATCATCCGGATAATAGATTCGTTTTCCGATTTATCCGCCGAAAAAAGGCAGAGGCAGGCCATATGATGTTATCCGGATGAGGCCATTTTGACCAAAGAACAACGTTCATTCAGCAGAAGTTTTTTCCAGCAAAGTACAAGCATGCCAGCCGCCGCCCCTCATGTCGATCCATCGACGCCTGCCGCCGCGACTGCCAGCTACGAGATGGAGAGTCTCATTCGTCGCAATGCGGCGCTTGAAGACTTGGTTCGTCGATCTCGGGAAGAGCTGGTTCGATTTGGATCCGACGCCGAGCGTAGCGAAGAGCGTCTGACAAACAAGTTGCTCGCACGCTTGGGGCAACTCCGCCTTGAAAAAGAGAAACTGGCGATGAATGTTGAGCGAGAAGAGGAGTTTCTTACGAACACGCTTCAGCGCAAGCTTCGTCAACTGCAGCAAGACAAGGTCGATCTTGAAAACAAGTTGGAAAGCGAGCAGGAGTTCATGGTGAACCGGTTGCAGCGACAGTTGGAAGTGGCAAACAACGCGACGGCCGACAAGGTGCAGCTCGAAAACGAACTCGAGCAAGAACAAGAGTACATCGTCAACCGGCTCCAGAAGCAGGTGTTGGCCGTGAAAATCGAGAAAAAGAAAGTCGAGCAACGTATGTTGGACGAGATGGTTGCCATGGTGTCGTCGTTGGAAGCGCATGCCGAAGATCCGCAGATGATGAAGCACGCTCTCGCGACCGCGAAGGAAGCGCTGCACGAACGTGTGAAGGCACACAAAGCGACAGGCGTCGCCCAAGACACGTCGGACACAACGTCGTTGAATAACGAAGTGCTCCTCGAGTCGGTGAGCTCTCGCCACCACCTCAACCGCCGCGGCACGCTGTAGGATCATGTTGTATCGACGTACAGTACTTGGTGCTTCTGGTGGGTTTCTCCACTGTCAAGTAAATAAATTAAACGTTCATTTGAATTCACTCGTGTTCAATTCTCCATGCATGGACGTTTTATATCAGACCAAATATAAATATTGTGTCGTATACCTAATAATACTATATATATTCACTCGTGTTCGATTCTCCATACATGGACGTTTTATATCAGACCAAATATTAATATTGTGTCGTATACCTAATAATACTCTAAATATATTATAGCACAGAATTGGCAGGAGGATTTAGCCAATCAGATTGCAGAAAACCATCACCCACATCAAATTAGTGTACGACTGCAACGACGATATCAATTTAGCTGCAAACGTTCCATGGATTTGACGATTCATTTTATAAATATGTGGGAGGGATTAAAATAAGGTTAAAATAACTCGGCTATTTCTTGTCGTCTAAAGCGCTTGCCGCAGCAAATCGACTTGCGCCGGCGTCAACCTCGTGGGGAATTGAATGTCAAAATGCACGTGCAAGTCCCCGCGCCGCGACGGGTCCTTCGACGAGGGCATGCCTTCGCCCACAAACACCTTCCGCGTCGTGGGCGTCACGACCGAGTCCAGTTTCAGGTGCAGCTCGCGGTCGTCCAACGTCTTGATGGTCAATGTGCCTTGGCCAACCAGCGCATCCTTGAGCGAGATCTTGGCCGTGTAGATCAGGGTGTCGTTGTCCCGTCGAAACTTGGCATGCGGCTTCTCTTGTATCACAAAGATGATGTCCTGCGCGATTCGACCGGGCATCAAGTCGCCCTCCCCTTCGAACGTCACCTTGGTCCCGGCTTTCCAGCCGGGCCGGACTTGAATCTCAAGGATTTTCTCTTCCTCCCGGAACCCCTGCGCGCGCTCGTCGTACACTTTGCGTGTGATCTTGAGCTTCTTCACGCAGCCCGTGTACAGCTGCTCTAAAGTACAATCCAGGTCGCGCTTCAATGCCTCTGGCCGCTTGCCGCGTCCCCCTCCACCCATCGACTCGCCAAACGGATCACTCCCAAAGAACGAATGCTGGCGCCGGCCACCGCTGCCTCCACCGCCAAACATGCCTGAAAACGGGTCCGCGCCCTCGGCTTCGTGGAGGTTTGATGTACCAAAGAACTGCTCAAAGATCTTGGACGGGTCCGACGAGTGAAACGCGAATCCACCGGGGAAGCCGCCGCCGCTGCTGCTAAAGTGCGCTGATTGCCCTGGGAAGAACCCACCTCCCATGTTCTCGCCGCCTCCGGGAGCATTTCCACCCCCTGCCTTCAATCCTTCCTCGCCGTACTGGTCGAAGATGGTCCGTTTCTGTTTGTCGCTCAGCACTTCGTATGCTTCATTCACGTCCTGAAATTTGGACTGTGCCTGTTCCTTGTTGTTCACGTTCTTGTCGGGGTGCCACTTGAGCGCCATCTTGCGATACGCCTTCTTGAGCTCGTCGTCTGAGGCGTCGCGCTTCACGCCGAGCACTTGGTAGTAGTCTTTGCCCATACTTGCTGGTTGATAAATGATGGGTTCATGTGGCAGTTAAAAAGCGGATATCTGGTTTCGAGAAGGTTCTAGGTAGAACCAGCCAATGAAAATTCGAGAAATTTCGCGAAAAAGCCAATCGCATCGCGGCATTCTTTTTATGAGATCCACTTTATATTTCACATTCTCGAGATGGCGTCCAACGATTTGGCATAACATAGACAACACACAAGATGATTCCGAGTACTTTTCGTTAACGTTAACAGTTAATGGAAGGACGGACCGGTTGCCTTGGCCATGTTGGTTTTCAAAAATGTTAAATGCTAAACTATAAATGTAATCGAAGCATCAAGCAGCACTTTGGCGCAGAGGAAGCGTGTTGGGCTCATAACCCAAAGGTCCCTGGATCGAAACCAGGAAGTGCTATTTCTTTTTTCTTTCATTTTGGTTGGCTAGACTAATGCTCGTCATGTAGTAACATCCATAGCATTGCTGCGTTGTTTGCTGTACCGGTACAGTAGTCGTCGTACTAGTAGCCCAAGTCAGCGATTCTAGTGCCCATACATGTGCAGACTATTCCTTGTTTCCATCACCAGCATTTTTGATCTACAAATCTGTAGCATGTTTGCTTACAGTTAACTAATCTTAATAATTAGCAACATTATTACTTCGAAGTACTACAAATGTAGTATTATTAATGTAAACTACTCACATTTCGCACTTGCTAAAAGTCTCTAATAACGCTACGGTAGTACGTACGGAGTATTCTTAATCATGTAGGATTAATATTTTAATATTAATCCTACGTGATGTATTAATAGTATTAAAATACTATTAATATTAATAACATCACGTAGTATAAATAGCCAATGCTACATTTTAGCCCCAAGCAGTTTGTATTAATACTTGACGTTTGACTTTTCCGGTCCTATATAGGGCTAATACTCGCAAGGACGGGAGCAACAGCAGCTTTACAACATGGAGACCGTATACAAACTCGAAATTAGGAGATAGATAAAAAGAGAGCCTGCGGTCGCTACAACGAGTGACGACGGCTACACTCGAACCAACATGACACTGCTTATTGGTTCTTGCACTCGGGGGGTTTTTCCGTCGAATCGGCGCCAGCGGCCCCTTCCAAGGCAGGGAAGGGCTTCTTGCCGCCCTTCTTTCTCGGCGCGTCGTCGTCGTCGCTGTCTTCGTCTTCTTCTTCGTCATCGTACTCGTCGTCATCGTCGTCTTCGTAGTCCGAATCGTCCAGTTGCGCTTCGCCCGTGAACCACAGCACCGCTTGGGGCACAATGGTTTCGTGGATGGTGAACCCAATCTGGAAATCGGCGTCCAATTGGCGCATGACGTCTTCGTTCTCTTCCTCGTCGTCCTCTGCGGGAATGTCCACGGTCGAAAACAACTGGAAGAACGAGTCGCACGGCTCGACCTTGGTGATGAAGCGCGTTTGGCCACCGTTCTTGGCCTTTTGCTTGATCTTCTTCTTCTTTTCCGTCAAGTTCTTGCCTTCGAGCCACTTGATCTCGGTGCCTTGAATGTTCTTCAGCAACGCGTCGCCGTCGGGGCCTTCCGCGACGTCGTACGCCTTGGTCAACACCGTGTTCTCGAAGAACGGGTTCGGGGCAAACGTGAATTCCAAGCGGAATCCATTGTTTTCCGTGGACGACTCAGACTTGACGTCCTTGAGGAATTCCAACGCCGGCATGTCGCGGTCCGTGATCAATTGCTCGGTTTCAGGGTGGTTCAAGAACGCCTTCATCCAGAACTGGGGGATGCCCACCGTCTTGGTTTCTTCGGTTTCCGCGGCCTTGTCTTCGGCTGTCGCGACCTCCTTGTCCCCAGACACCACCAGGGCGCGCTCGGAATACAAGGGTTGATACAGCTTTTCGTACTTGAGTTCCAACAAGCGTCGTTCCTTTTCGAACTCAGCTTCGAGGACCCCATGTTGCTCTTGCAATGCCTTGAGGTGGTTCACGCGGGTCAACACTGCCGCCGGCAAGTCCAGCGTGATATCTTCGCCTTCATCCCCGACATCTGCGTCGATCACGAGTTCATTCAATTTGGTCGCGACGGCATCGGTCATGGTACAGTATCCCAAGCAAATCAAAAAGTGACCGCCAATGTAAGCCCCACATACAAATCCATAGATATTCCATGAAATCCAAATGACTGGGAGCAGTCTTCTCGCGTTATCCGGACGCGCTTTCTCACATCGACTGTTTTTATCCGGAGATCTTGTACCCGGCCTTCGAGGGCTCTGCACCCCGCTGCGTAGACCTACTTATACTAGTAGAAAGGTCGCGTCCCCACGGACATCTACGTCTGGCCCGCCGCGGCGTCGTTATGCACCCCTATCCTGGATAGCACGTCGCCTCGTGGCGGACGTGGGAGGTGGTCGACCTTCGGAAAATCAACAACGCGATTTGATTGGTGCAATGTGAACCAATCCTAGTGCCGGGATATGTCGATGTAATTGAAGGACATTTGGGTCGGGTGAGAAGACATGGCATGAATATGATTGCGTGCAATGTCGGGGAGATCATGCGTGTGCTAAACGTTCATGGCAAGCAGCCCTTGATTTAAAAAGCATGACTCATGTGTGTCCAAGCGGTCGACGGAAGGTTAACTGGACTGGTCGGACACTGGATTTCACAAGGCGTGCGATGCTTTCGATCTGGGGGCCGATGGCAACACCCTGAATTTTCACCAGCACGTCCCCTTTCTTGATCACCCCCGATCGCGAGGCTGGAGTATTTGGTAAAACGTCGCCCAGGACAATACCTTGTGCAAGTGGTTTTAAGCTCAGCCCCAACGGACCGCAACCAAACGCTACCGTATACTCCACAATAGAGGGTGCTGTTCGTGACATGTCTGAATGTTGTGGCGTGACGTGGGTGGCGTTGACCTGCGTTGAACCTGTCGTTGGTGCTGCCACGTCATTGTAGGTGGCCACCATCGGTCGAGGTAGGGTCTGGCTTGATAGACTGAGGCAGCGTGGCAGTGAACCGGTTACGGAACCATTCGGAATGGGACGACCAGTCCAGAACAGGTCGAAGCCCTGTAGCACGTCCTCGTGCATCTTGTGGAGCACTTGGAATTGCCGAAGCGTTGTTGGAATGTGTCTCGTCCGCCAGCCAAACGAGAGCATGACGTCCTCCGCGCAAGTCGGGTCAGACGCAGCGTGCCGAAAAAAGGTCTGCACCATCTCCCACGTCGCGAGAGTCGTCTCTGAGATGTCGTTCGACACGGTGGTGGTCAAGCGAGCCCACTGCTTTACGACGTTGGGCTCCAATTGAGGTACGACTACGCTGTGCAACGACCACAGCAACACGCTGAAGAAGCCGTGTACGAGACACTTGTCTGGTAGGAGCAGCATCACGTCCATGTTGCGACGAGTCCAAGCGTCAAAGACAACGCTCATGACCAACGTGCGCTGGATCGTTCGCATGGTCGTGGGTGGGGATGTTGCCAATGGATTCGTCGACAGGAAGGTGGCAAGTGCCATCACTGTGCCGATTGTCGCGTCCAACGACAACGAAAACTTGGCCATTGACTGGTCCGTAGGACTGGAGCGGAAACAATCCCAGTGTTGTCGCAACGAAGTTTCGTGCAAGGCGATGTCGCCCAAGTGCGTGTCCACAGCCGCCGCGGCGACGGCAGGTACTGCTGCGCCACCCGCACATCCCGATTCGATCAGCACCGGCGAAGTCGTTTGTTGTGGGGCTGGTAGTGGAACCGACCCCTTTGTAAATGCAATACTACAAAACTCCTGCGTCGTGGCACATGAGCTACATTAGCCGCCACGGATTCATACAGTGGGAACATGATGATCCTACCTTGGCTTCCGCAACGGCGGCGGCAAAGCTGTTTAGCACTTCGTCGGTTGAAGCTGCGAGGACGGGTTGTCCATGGAGACATTTCGAGTGCTCAACGCCCCGCCACCGACGTGTCATCACGTGCGCATGTGTACTATACAAAGTAACATCACCGTGGCCCCATCGAGAACAAGCACACAATGACGTACTACTCGTGCGTTCCAAACTGATACGCCGTCGGCCCGGTTGGGTCTGCCATGCCCCAGAGCGGATGGCTGCCTACCACGGCAGTACCAACCAACAACACAGGCCACCAGACCTCGCTCTCCAGTAACGCCCACATCACACCATTCGACGGATTTGACTCCTCCGTCGCTGAGTCTGTTGAGCTGTCCATTGTGGCGATGGCGCTTGACGCTCTTCTCAAAGTCTGGGTGAGCTTATTAGCTAACTAACTGTAAAGTTAACGTTGCTTTATTCTCTCAAATGTGCATGTTGTTGACTAACAGTAAATCAAAATCACTTGTTCATGCGTATCTTTTCAAACACTTCGACACAAGCGGCGTCGAGTGCTGTGGAGTACGACGTAAGGGGGGCTGTGGGAAATGACGAACATAGCCATCCTCGGTGACATAAGCGAGGATAAACGTATAAGGGCATCCCCAATGGTGCGACGGTATAATCAGACGGTATTTTGACGTTTACCGTCACTGTATTTTTTACTTTTGCGCAACCCCAATGGTAAAACGGTATAAAATCCGCATAACTGTCACTTCCGGATATGGAGGCTTGGCGTCAACCTTGTGCAATACCATCGAGGCATGGACGAGGACATGGACGACGCTTGGGAGATGCTAAGCATGAGTAACGGACCACACCAAACACCGGGGCCAAGACCGCACGTTAAAAGAGACCATAATGACCACCCAACAAACTTATTGCATTACTCCAGTATGTTGCTCCACCAAGTAGCTACGGATCGTACTGTGCGATGGCAGTCCGGATCGCAATAGGTGCAATAGTCGGCCCCACGCGGGCCCAAAACTGCTCGGCCTTATGCCCGCTCCCTTTAGACTCATCTTGGGATATGTTCAACCACGAACAAACTAGCTGGCAGTCCTCGTCAGTGGTGAAGTTCGCACCCCACCCGTTGAGAGCCATTCCAGCAGTGTCAGTATTGGTATGGAAATGTCCATGCTCAAATACATGCGTTTTATTGGTGGAAATATGCTGGTTTGTGGTTTATGATTGGCTCCGGTATTTTACCGTCGGGTGGTCACAAAACGGTAAAAATGGCCGATTTGCCGTCTCGCGGTAAAAATATGCCGTTTCCGGTAGATACCGTCGCACCGTTGGGGTTGCCAAAACTGCATATTTGACCCCAAAAACGGTAAAATAGCGTTTACCGTCGCACCATTGGGGATGCCCTAACTATCTGGACGAAGGAGACGAGTTTTGGTGCAAGGCGACGTTGTTATTCACAGTAAATTCCGCTGTTCAAGATGTATACGTAGTATGGACTTCAAATTTTGGCCGCCAGTTACGATGCTTTTTGGAAACGTATCCACTATTAATGCATTCGACGAGAATACCGTTACGTATTTTTAATATAAAATAAGTATGTCATAATTTAAAAAGATAACATCGAAATATAGCATCAAGTTATTAATAACTTTTGTCATAATTTGTGACAATTATGATTATCCAGAAAGTACTTGACTTTGTCGTTGAATTGCGCAGCAACGGCATATCTGGGCGTGTTACATTTAATTTGAAAACTGAAGACATGGTTGCAGGCTACATAACTAGATATGGTGTGCGGCGATTGCAATTATTCAGCATGCGTGAAGTGACCTCAAACATGCCAAAAACTGAAATATAGCTTACTTTGAGTGTGATTATATCCTGCAATAAGCATCGTAGCACCGTCCATGACACTTCATTACGCAGTATCGATGTTGTTGTACACGCTACCATGTTCTTGCATTGATCAGTGATCTCTGAGCCACGAAGCAGCACATTAAAGCCAGCATTTTGGTGAAAATTTCAAATGTAGCGTAAAGATGGCAATTATTGACAATAATTGTCATCTTGAGCTATAATTTATAGTAGCAAGTTAATACATTGATACTAGTATGTTACTATTAATAGTATGTTACTATTAATAGTATTGTCGATTTGATACAAATTTGGGGAGGGGGTGCAATCGAATCGCGCCGATCAAACCGATCCACAACCGATCTGATTGGTTGAATTTCATTGAGAAGGTTTTGATTGGTTAATAATTTTGAGCTCATCTGAAGTAGCCAATCAAATCGATTTAAATTCCAACGAGAAACCACGGCACAACACGAAATTTCACTCGAAAGCACAATATACTAGTAGTAATTTTTTAGGGCCACTCTGGGTGGCACAAAAAATGTCAGAGCTCTTTTTGCAACTTTTCAGAAATGTTTTGAGATTTTCAACTTTTCAAAGGACGACTTTTGCGTGTTTGGCTACCAAATACAAGTATGACATAAATAAATTGACATGTTAATAAAAAAGTTTCACCTATTGCTGACCTTTTTTACCAACATGATACAGAATCAGTATTCTATCAATACTGGAGTAGTTCTCATTCCGCATGGTATCCAAAGGTCGCATCAGAACATTTTGAAAATATT